CGCTGTCCCCACTAGGGCTGTGTTACACACAGCCACCCACACGGTGCTGTCCCCGCTAGGGCTGGTGTCACACACAGCCACCCACACGGCGCTGTCCCCGCTAGGGCTGGTGTCACACACAGCCACCCACACGGCGCTGTCCCCACTAGCGCTGTGTCACACACAGCCACCCACACGGCGCTGTCCCCGCTAGGGCTGTGTCACACACAGCCACCCACACGGCGCTGTCCCCGCTAGGGCTGTGTCACACACAGCCACCCACACGGCGCTGTCCCCACTAGGGCTGTGTCACACACAGCCACCCACACGGCGCTGTCCCCACTAGGGCTGTGTCACACACAGCCACCCACACGGCGCTGTCCCCACTAGGGCTGTGTCACACACAGCCACCCACACGGCGCTGTCCCCACTAGGGCTGTGTCACACACAGCCACCCACACGGCGCTGTCCCCACTAGCGCTGTGTCACACACAGCCACACACACGGCGCTGTCTCCGCTAGGGCTGTGTCACACACAGCCACACACACGGCGCTGTCCCCACTAGCGCTGTGTCACACACAGCCACCCACACGGCGCTGTCTCCGCTAGGGCTGTGTCACACACAGCCACACACACGGCGCTGTCCCCACTAGCGCTGTGTCACACACAGCCACACACACGGCGCTGTCCCCGCTAGGGCTGTGTCACACACAGCCACACACACGGCGCTGTCCCCACTAGCGCTGTGTCACACACAGCCACCCACACGGCGCTGTCCCCACTAGGGCTGTGTCACACACAGCCACCCACACGGCGCTGTCCCCGCTAGGGCTGTGTCACACACAGCCACACACACGGCGCTGTCCCCACTAGCGCTGTGTCACACACAGCCACACACACGGCGCTGTCCCCGCTAGGGCTGTGTCACACACAGCCACACACACGGCGCTGTCCCCACTAGCGCTGTGTCACACACAGCCACCCACACGGCGCTGTCCCCGCTAGGGCTGTGTCACACACAGCCACACACACGGCGCTGTCCCCAGCTAGCGCTGTGTCACACACAGCCACCCACACGGCGCTGTCCCCGCTAGGCTGTGTCACACACAGCCACACACACGGCGCTGTCCCCGCTAGGGCTGTGTCACACACAGCCACACACACGGCGCTGTCCCCGCTAGGGCTGTGTCACACACAGCCACACACACGGCGCTGTCCCCGCTAGGGCTGTGTCACACACAGCCACACACACGGCGCTGTCCCCACTAGCGCTGTGTCACACACAGCCACACACACGGCGCTGTCCCCGCTAGGGCTGTGTCACACACAGCCACACACACGGCGCTGTCCCCACTAGCGCTGTGTCACACACAGCCACCCACACGGCGCTGTCCCCGCTAGGGCTGTGTCACACACAGCCACACACACGGCGCTGTCCCCACTAGCGCTGTGTCACACACAGCCACCCACACGGCGCTGTCCCCGATAGGGCTGTGTCACACACAGCCACCCACACGGCGCTGTCCCCGCTAGGGCTGTGTCACACACAGCCACACACACGGCGCTGTCCCCACTAGCGCTGTGTCACACACAGCCACCCACACAGCGCTGTCCCCGCTAGGGCTGTGTCACACACAGCCACAACACGGCGCTGTCCCCGCTAGGGCTGTGTCACACACAGCCACACACACGGTGCTGTCCCCACTAGCGCTGTGTCACACACAGCCACACACACGGCGCTGTCCCCGCTAGGGCTGTGTCACACACAGCCACACACACGGCGCTGTCCCCACTAGCGCTGTGTCACACACAGCCACCCACACGGCGCTGTCCCCGCTAGGGCTGTGTCACACACAGCCACACACACGGCGCTGTCCCCGCTAGGGCTGTGTCACACACAGCCACACACACGGCGCTGTCCCCACTAGCGCTGTGTCACACACAGCCACACACACGGCGCTGTCCCCGCTAGGGCTGTGTCACACACAGCCACACACACGGCGCTGTCCCCACTAGCGCTGTGTCACACACAGCCACCCACACGGCGCTGTCCCCGCTAGGGCTGTGTCACACACAGCCACACACACGGCGCTGTCCCCACTAGCGCTGTGTCATACACAGCCACCCACACGGCGCTTTCCCCGCTAGGGCTGTGTCACACACAGCCACACACACGGCGCTGTCCCCATTAGGGCTGTGTCACACACAGCCACACACACGGCGCTGTCCCCGCTAGGGCTGTGTCACACACAGCCACACACACGGCGCTGTCCCCGCTAGGGCTGTGTCACACACAGCCACACACACGGCGCTGTCCCCACTAGCGCTGTGTCACACACAGCCACACACACGGCGCTGTCCCCGCTAGGGCTGTGTCACACACAGCCACACACACGGCGCTGTCCCCACTAGCGCTGTGTCACACACAGCCACCCACACGGCGCTGTCCCCGCTAGGGCTGTGTCACACACAGCCACACACACGGCGCTGTCCCCACTAGCGCTGTGTCACACACAGCCACCCACACGGCGCTGTGTCACACACAGCCACCCACACGGCGCTGTCCCCGCTAGGGCTGTGTCACACACAGCCACACACACGGCGCTGTCCCCACTAGCGCTGTGTCACACACAGCCACCCACACGGCGCTGTCCCCGCTAGGGCTGTGTCACACACAGCCACACACACGGCGCTGTCCCCGCTAGGGCTGTGTCACACACAGCCACACACACGGTGCTGTCCCCACTAGCGCTGTGTCACACACAGCCACACACACGGCGCTGTCCCCGCTAGGGCTGTGTCACACACAGCCACACACACGGCGCTGTCCCCACTAGCGCTGTGTCACACACAGCCACCCACACGGCGCTGTCCCCGCTAGGGCTGTGTCACACACAGCCACACACACGGCGCTGTCCCCACTAGCGCTGTGTCACACACAGCCACCCACACGGCGCTGTGTCACACACAGCCACCCACACGGCGCTGTCCCCGATGTAGGAACATCGAACGGCACGACCCTTCCGGGCCGGCACCATACAGTGACATCCTCGATGTCACTGCATATGTAACACGTGCTTCCCCGTTGTGTCGATGCCAAAGAGCTGTATTATAGCTCTCCAGTAGGAGGGTTCTCGATAACAACGTCGGACAATCATGCCGGACCATGTGGTGCACGACAAATAATAATTAAAAGACTCTGCAGCACAACCCCGAAGACGTACGCAGAAGTAATGAAATTCTGCGGCAAGAATTGTTATGTCCCAGAAATAAAGTTGAGAAATTATATATGAATCATCTAGATTTAATGTTTAAAGTGTAGGGTAAAATTGTCTGTAAACATGAAAATTGTAATATATTGGTAATTAACATTGGCATAAATTAATATTTCTGATTGCTTTTGTAACCGTTGATTATGAATCATGCTCAGACAATGATTATGAGTGATGCACGGTTGATGAGTGCTACCCCACAGAGAAGTTCTGTAGACAGATTCTCTGTATGGTGCGGTGGACTATTCTATCCCAATGAGCTTCATGCATTAAATAACAATATCGATAGAGGGAAAGCCCCAGCTAGCCGGATTTCGCAATTAGCCACGCCAGGTAGGCTAAGTAATACATACTATCCGTATTTATATGCAATATAATCAATAGACATTAAGTTATTTACATATCTATACTTCAGAGAATATTATACAATGTAACGTATAAAATAGAATGCACTTGAATGCGTTAAATTGCGTATCGTTTGTATGCACTTAAAGTGTATTCAATGTTCATAATAGAGGGGTTTGGGTTAGATCGCGCAAATATAAATGTGTCGCTAAACCCGCCACCACCTGACAGCCAATTATCAAGGTTTATCACGTAAACAGAACGTGCTAATTTGTTGCTAGTTCAGCACCCCGCTTGTGTGTTCGAGAGCAAAACCCAAAACATTTACAATTCGAGTACGGCGTTTAATCAGTAATTACAACGAGTATCATCAAGCGGACGGCTATAGTTGTTGTATTCAATGTACCAATGGCATTATGTTCATGAGTGGGAAGGGCGCTAGGTGAGATGCAACCCAGGTCCTTACTATAGCACGCACAACACACTGTGCACAGCACAGTCAAGTGTAGGATTACATTAGGTACACCTATGCATACTGTGCACTACACAGGGTTGGTTATTCGTTGTTGTTTTTACAATGAACTTTCAGCGATCCGCACCCAGGGTTTGACTCCATCTACCAATCTGTACTTCCCGAAGTCATTGCTGCTTTTATTTTTTGTTACATGTCTGAGTTATGTTTGTTGCTGCATTTCCCCTTGTGTTGTCACGGAATCTTTACGCTACATACAGTACACGTACAGCAGCAGTGCAGTGGTTAGCGCACTTGGCTACGAACTCGATTCCCACTCTCAGCCAACATCGGTGCCAAAATATCTGAGCTGGTTCTGGACCTCCTCTAGGTCGACTCAGCCTTAAATGGGTGTCTGGAATGGTGTGTCAACATCAGTACTGAGAGACAAAGGTGGCCAGGTGATAGCCGTCCCAGCTATCATAGGTGAACGCTAACAGCACTTGCCCCAACGGTCAAGTCAAGTTTGTTTTGATTAACCAGATGAGAATTGAAGCAAGTAGGATAGTCTAATTTTTCAAGCATGACCTGAGGCATAATTGCTGCGTGATCCCCAATCGAGTGATTCGCGGGTACATTTACAACTTTGGCAAATGTGGACCCTGACGCCCGGCAACACAGCTGCCCACTCTTGCCAATGGAGTCCGGGGATGTTCAACACGATAATTGTGAAGGCGATGGTTTACTACACACACCACAGCATTAATCGGGGTGGCCGCCGCTCGATTCGAAACCAAAACTGCGAACCTCTGCAACGACAATCGGCTGTCGGCCGCTGGGCTAACGCGATCGTCACCGCCCCTGTTTGTGGCTGAGTAGAGGAGGACCTCTTTCTTCCTCCTATTCTTCTTCGTCTTCTTCATCATCGTCTTCGTCGTCTGTGTTCTCGCAGAACGGGCTCAACGCGCTGCACCTAGCGTCAAAGGAGGGCCACGTGGACGTGGTGACCGAATTGCTGAAACGAGAGGCGGAGATCGACACGGCCACCAAGGTGAGGGGACAAGGCAGCGGCACGCGGCAAAGCGCTTGTAACTGAGTGCCATTTGTTGCTGGCTCTTTGGCGTTTCTGGCCTTTGGGGCCTGTGGCTCAGGAACCGTGGTATAACTAAAATAAAAATAATAAAGCAACGTAAAATGTGTTTACGTGCACACGCACGAGCATGCTCGTTGAAAGGTTTTATTATTTTATTTTTTATTAGTTTAAGTTGAGTTTTAATCATGAAATACTCTCCATATCAAGGTGCTGCTTAAATTATGGAATACGTTATTTCACTTGTGGCTTTTGGCTTAATTTACATACGTTTAAATATAATTCCAAAAACAATTAAAATTAATGTTTGTGCCTAAATAGGGTTTAGCTGCTCAGAAAAACTTCGCTGGATGGCATTGGGCCCGAAGGGGCATAGGTCAATGAGCTGAATTGCTAGTTCCGTGTGGAGAGACAGACTTTTGTCAATATATTTGTTGGACGGGTTTGTGGCTTTAGACAGCCAATATAATTGAAAGAAGAAAACCCATCATGTACTGAAATTAACCAAAAATTCACAACACCTATGCAGGGGTGTCAGGTTGGGAAATTAGTGAAAGATATCAGATTTCCATAGCAGGTAAGATATTAATGGAGTGGGTGTGAAAGTTACATGCTTACGATTGATGGCATAACAAGCTTATAAAGGCGCTGCTCAGTGGCAATGTTGGGGCTCGGTACAATGTATTTGCTTGCATTCATTTGCTAAGTACCTTGGTCGGGAGGTAGTTGTTGTTTCGTCAAGTTTATGCAATAACTCATCGCAGCAGCCAAACTGGTAGTGGGGACAACGTAGCACACATTTATAGCTTTAATCCCATCAAGACACATGCTGGCATGGAGCGGCAAAGCAGTCTTTAGGACACTGCACTATGAACCTGGCAACCCAAGTTTGAGTGGCAAGCAGCATGTAAACAATCTCGGGTGCTGGTCTGGCCTTAAAAGAAGCACTTGGCGCATTGTGTAAAGATCAGCGCCTGGGAAAAAAAGACGCCCGTGCGTGGTAGTGGCCACACACCGCCGCTCCTTTGTAACACTCGTGGAAGGAAACAGAGGCAGAGGACAAGCGAGAAACACGTGGTCTCGTGAAGTGGAGGAGGAGGTAGATGGGATATGATGAGCATCGCCAACAAGAGGACTGCTGCTGCTGGGCAATAATAGAAACCCGTGCTTGTATGCTGTGCCAACCTTAATAGGTGGTTTCTAATCACCCACTACCAGTCTGGCTATATGGCTGAACTTTGCCTTTGCGATGTTTCCATGTGTGTGTGTGCACGTGTGTAACTGTGTGTGTGACCCACAGAAAGGAAACACAGCGTTACACATAGCAGCGCTCGCTGGCCAGACAGACATTGTCAGAGTTCTGGTGGAGTTTGGTGCCAACATCAATGCTCAATCACAGGTTGGTTTGACACAAGACATGGGGGCGCTTGTCACATCACGTTTTCTCTCCCAACAACTGGCGATATATACAAGACACAGACACTGAACCATTGCGGTCCATTTATCAAAAGTATATAAAGTGCACGAAGAATTCTATTGTTTAGCCAAAAGCGGAATTCAAAAGCATTTCCCAAAATTGACGATTATTATAATTTGAGCAAAGTTTTTACGTTGCATCTCACGGCAGCTGATGAAGTGGAAATTGCTATCTTTAAAATGTCAACCAAAATAATCAGGCATGTATCCATGGTGTACACCACAGTGTTGTGATGTAATGGGAGCATGGCCTGTGCTGCTGATTGTGACTATGAAAAAATGCTTTGAAATGCTGACTGTTCCACCCAGCTCAGCAGCACAAGCACATCTGAAAAATGTTCATAGAAAGGAGGGCAGATGGCTTGATGGCATGAAATACAAAACATCTATATTTTTTGTCACTTATTACATAATATTGTTTTGTTTTATATTGTTGCATTATTCGTGCAAATTGCATCTCACAATCACTCACGAACCAAGAGACAAGCTGGAAGCCAGCCAGATGGCAATCCACCACCACCAATTGTTGCTAAAGCTCTATGGCCCTCTAGCCCAGTGGTTATTCTCAACCTTTTTTTAGCTTCTATACCCCCCTTTTTGAATTTTGTTTTAACCGAGTAACCCCCCTTGCCTGACCCAACGTGGTTCTGAGAAATAAATGTATGAATAATGAACATCAACATTTTAACCAATTGTGCATTTTGTGAGCTATCCTAAGTAGCCAGTAACTGCAAACGAATAAAAAAACAATTAACGGACACGCGTTACGTCGTTTGTTCGTGCTGGCTGGTTACTCTTGGAAACCACATGGTTTACGATTAAAGTTATTTTATATCATTCTAGGTTACTATATGAATTACATTTTATTATAGTTATTTTATATTGGCATATTCATTCATGATTATTCACCAATGACTCTCGTGTATGATATAATTTCACACATTTATAAATCACCTCACGTACCCCCTCGGGCATTGCCATGTACCCCCGGGGTTGAGAACTACTGCTCTTTAAAAGAAGATGTTTTTCAACCATTTCAGTGTTCATACATGTGGGAGGAAATCATAGCACCTTGGAAAAACCCACACTAGCAAGGGGGCAACGCTCTATCCCACACAGAAAGGATAGATATTTGTCTGCGCTTTTGCCAAACTGCCTTCTCTTGGCGAGCCAGGGTAAGGCACCTCCTCGACACCGAAGGGAAGGAGATTTTGCAAATATATTTGTGCAATCCAACCAGCACACGCCTCCACAGTGTCGGAGTACAGGTATGCACCACCATCGTTTGGCTATATTTAGTGTAAGAGACACGATAATCCAGAAATTGTAGTAAAAAACATTTCAGTACAGGAAGAGGATTAAGGGTCCTTCCCCCATACTTCTGATTAGCACGGTTGGCTTCATATGGTGCGAAATAAGTTCAACATACATACAAAAGGTTGGTATGTGTGACCATGTACATTCATCATCATCAGCCATGGTCAGTCCACTGCTGGATGAGAGCATCCCCAAACCGCCACCACCCATAATGATAATTTGATGCAATGATACACCTTCAAATAAACTAATCTCCGCATGTATATTTTAAAATAATATATTTACAGTATATCTTGCGTCACCATGGCATTGTTACATTACCATTGGTGAGGGGGCGGGGAGATGTGCTGATTGTCGTGGGCCTCCTGACCCTCCAGGCCTGGTCCAGGGCGTGTCAATCGTCTCCTTAAATCCACCGTGAAATCAAATATTTTGCAAATAGTTAGAGTTACAATGAAAACAAATATATACGCATTTAAATTAATGTATCATCCAGCACATAACTGATAATATAGCACAACTACATTGATTACACGTCAGTGTATTGGCGATTAAATTGTTCTAAACACGTTTATTGTCAATATTCTGGACACGTTTTATGCAGTGAATATTCTCATGGCACGCACAAGCAATAATCACGTGCTGCGTATATGCTTTCGTGTGTTTATTCATTTTATTTGTTCCTTTTTTTATTCTTGTGGATTTCGGAGCCCTCATTAAAGTGTAACTATGAATGCTTCTCAAAGCAAATTGCACTGTATTATAATGAGAATGTGAGAAAAAAATATTTCAATTGAACTGCATGAATATAAAGATGCCTCGATGGTACAGCCCTTGCTGTCTGGCCACATTTCTGCAGCAGTCATGGTGACGGAGCAGTTACCATGGTGATGGATCCCGAGCGAAATCTGATTGGATGAGATTGAGGTTGTTGCTAAGCAACAGCAGTAAGGACTTGTCCATTGGGCTCTGCTGAGGGGGGTGGCAGTAGGGTGGCCATTATCAAGAGAGCTGAAATGAATCGTTCCATTTCATGTTCTGCCAATTCAAATAATTATTGAAATACTTAGAACACATTTAAATTATCAGTATATTAAAACTGCAGCAAAACAGAGGCTACCATATATAGAATTCATTTAACACATTATTCCAAACGTTTTCAACATTGTACTGTATATAATGACTATTTGAAATATAACAACAATTTTATTTTCACAAATCACACACATTTCTTTTGTGCAGATAGCCAGCAGCAAATGCTTAACTCGTGCTGAAAAACCTCAAAGCCGGAGAGCCTTAGATTGTCATTCGCGTATAAATCCATTGCCGCAGCGTGATTTATTATTCATCATTGCTGGGAATATGTGGAAGTTATTTCCAGTTGGGATCATCAAGCCGGTGGGCACGATCTTAATCCGCCGCCGCTGAGTTTTTTCGTGACAGGGGCGGGCAGGCGGCTGGAGCTTCCCGCCGCTGTTCGATCGCTTTGATGTCGGCGCAGGCGCCAGTCGCACGTGTATTTATTTGTAATAAAGGTTTTTAGGGTTAGATCGCGTAAATGTAAAAGCGTCGTTGACCCACCACCACCCGACACAGCCAATCTGTAAGGTTTGTCACACAAACGAAACGTGCCAATTAGTTATTACTTCAGCACACCGGTGTGTCGGAGAGCAACCCACAACCTTTACAATTTGAGTACGACGTTTTGCTGGTGATTACAACAGCCAGCTTCATCAGGCGATTTGCCATAATTGTGCAGAAGTCTTCCTGTTTACGGTCTTAAATACAGGCAGATGTCATCACTGCGCCTATCGGTGGTGGTGGGTTAATTACACATTTATATTAACACGATCTAACGTGTATTTACGTCTTGAGACCAGAACGCACATTTAACAATAACAGCTGCTGTCTGCCTCATTTGAATATTTTACAACGTAAAACGCAGCCCCACAACAATTCTTCTCACGTGACACTCAGTGGAATTCAGTAAACGTCCCAATGTTGCATGACCCTCCTGAAATATAACAAAGGAGTCTTGAGACTTGCTATTGCTTCCCTGGGTAAATAAAGGGCATTGCTTTCTTAGTGAATTATACAGTGGGCTGATGGTTCTGGCAATGTCCATTTTGGGGCAACATACATGTGGTAGAGTGAGCAGCTCTCAAATCAGAGGGTTATGAGTTCAATTGCGACGCTCATTGGGGGTTGACGTGGCCAATTATGCCATAAAAGGAGTGCCACTCTGTAGGGAAGTAAACAGTGGTTGTCCTTCGTAGGAACTCACCCCCATTTTAGGAATGTGGATTTTTTTTTACACCGGCTCAGGGATTTAAACAGAGGAGATGAGCACTGCTTAATGCTTATTTGCGCAGGAAATAATTTTGAGTAGCTGGATCTAAACACACACACCGCTTGGGAGCAAGGCCAGGTGTCTGCTTGTATCAAGTTTATTTTATTTGACCTGGTGAGATCTCAAAAGACCTGGGTCACGACAATTAAAAAAAAGTCAATTAAGTACAGCAATGAAGCAAATAGAAATCGGAGAAAAAACAACTCCATCACAGGAGTTGCCCTTTGCCTTCCCCCCACCAGTGTAATCTAAGTGTGTTGCTTATATTAGAACTGTGTTGTATAATATATGCTTATATTAGAACTGTGTTGTATAATATATGCTCATATGCAGTTTGTATGTACGTATGTTGAACTTCTTTCCCACCGTATGCAGCCAACCGTGCTAATCGGAGGTGCGGGAAGCTTCTACTCTCGGTGTAAAATTTCCCTCTGAATATATACGCATCTCTGCTTGCTAGTGTAGTGACATAGAATTGGTAACGAAGTAGTATAGCGCTAACTGCTGGCAGGGAAGGGGATCTGCAGCTTGTAGCTGCCCTGATTGACAGCAGGCCACGTGATAGACCCGAGAGGGATCTAGGGAAAAGGTTACGGACGGGACACGTCGGGACCCTGCTAGTAGGTTCTAGAAAGGGGGCGTGGCCACGCTGGGAGGATAAAAGGGGACCCCAAGCAGGAGCTCGGGGCTGTCGTTTGGAGTGGGATCCCGTCGTCGTTGCTGTTGGAAGATCGTCGCAATTGCAGCTGTCGTCTCCACTTGATAATTGCGCTGCTAGACGTAGTTGGCTGTCTTAGTTCAGCGCCGTCAGTGTCAGACGGCTAGCGTTGTGTTGTAGGCTAGCAACCAGTGTAGAGTTGCGTATAAGCGAGAGACAGAGAGTGTGTAACAGCGTAGGGTGTGTATTGAATACGGTGTATAAAGTATGCTCGGTGTTTAATTAAAGAATTGCCTCCAAGAAATTACGTCTCCAAGTCAGTCACTACACTAGCATGGAGCCAATTGAAAACGTAAGCTCCGAGGAGGCAGATGCGGGTTCAATGAGACGTCGAGGCAGAGAACACGTCGGGGAGTCGGTGACTAACTCTGCCGATTCACCCTCGCTTGCAGCATGGACCCTGTAGACTTTTTTGGCTGGCCATCGAACAAAGACGGTGACCACTTTCAGATGCGCTTCTGCGGCCGTCTAGAATGCTCTTCCTTCCGATGTTTGGAAGCGACAGGAGCTATGCACTTTTAAATCAAGATTGAAAACTAATTTGTTCAGAACTGCTCTTGGTGTTTGGTTTGTTGTCTTTCTTCCGCACCTCCGATTAACGCGGTTGGCAACGAAAGAAGTTCAACATACATACGTACGTAGACAGAGTCGGGGTGCGGTCGCACCAAGCCTCCACCTTTGTCTTTGTGCACAGAATGGCTTCACCCCGCTCTACATGGCAGCGCAGGAGAACCACTTGGAGATTGTCAAGTTTCTGCTGGACAATGGGGCCAACCAGAGCGTGGCAACAGAGGTACCTGCTCCGTAACGCCGGAGATGCTTCGCCGTGTGTTGTTTTATGGCTTTCAGTTGTTGTTACCTGGCCGGGTGGCTCAGCGGAAGAGTGAGTGGCTCACAAATAAGAAGGTTATGGGTTTAAATCCTGGTTGGGGGTTGTTTTAGTTGGCTCAATTCATCATAATCCTGCTGAGGTTGGTAAAATGAGTACCACGTTGTATGAATTTTGAACATCTTTGGTACCATACGTAGCCAACTGTGCTAATCAGAGGTGCAGGGAAGTCAGCAGTGCTGATCCTATGAATAAACGGGACCCGTCATTGGAATATGGAATTTCCACGGCTGACCTAGGGCTCTAAATAGGAGATGTCATTGTGTTTATTGCTCATCCCTGTCAGGTGGAGGGATGTTACCTGTAATTAGCCCATTCATTGCTTTGTGGCTTACTGATTTTTGCAGCTGCAGTCACAATGAAGTGTATTCTGCTTGACAGTCATAAATGATACTCTTAGTTCTTTCGGTAAAGTCACGTAGGTAAAAAATGAAATAAAAATTAATAAAAATAAAACAATAAAAATCACGACGTTTCGGAGGCAACACAAGCTTCCGTCTTCAGGTGAAACCGTCACAGCAAAATATCTGTACCTTATATAGTGGTTAAAGGGGGAGGAGCCAGGAAGGGCAGCGGGGGAGGAGGAGTTGTGAAGTGGTCAATTACTGCTTTTGTTCTACTGCTGGGTGGGTAAATGAATTAGATACGATTCAGCCGCTCTTTGTTATGCTGTTTGTGCGCAAGTCACTGTGGGATGAATGGACTCGTGGTCAGGGACGTGTTGCGCAAGTAACTGTGGATGTACATAATAGAAAAGGAGCGGAAATGCCCATGTTTATACCAGTGTTGGCTGACAATAAAGAGTACTGTTAAACGTTAGGGATGTTAACACTCGGTGAAGTAAAATAGTGCCTGTCAGCAGTGGCGGCTCCTGCAAAATCTCTCAGGGGGGGCAAATGTCTGGATGATTGATAAGGATAAGGTCCACCCATGCAATGGATAAATTAACAGCTTAAGCATGTAAAGGCAACTTCACTTCTTTAATATTAATGAAAAATAAAGTGACTCTTACAATACATCTTGTTTGTTTCTATACTCACTATTAAAACAAACCACTCAAGTTTATTTTATTAAATATTCCACTAGGTGGCCACTAATTATATTGTTGGCTGAAACGTGCTTACGTATGATGACGTAAGCACGTATGATGACGTAAGCACGTTAGTGCATGCCCTCCCGGAAGCCATAGAGAATGCATTGGAGCGCCCCCCGGTCGAAAAAAAACATCTTTGAATGTAAGTCTATGGGGCCACTCGGGGCGATTCTCAGCCAGAGTGAAATCGCCCAAAAAGAGGCGGTACTCCACAGAACGTGACATGACGCTGATTGGACTATATCCAGAGGCTGACAGTGACGGCTAGCGTGACTCTGTGGTTCAATGACATTGGTGGTGCGTCGCCCAATCGCCCTAATGAAGAAACCGCCCCTGCCTGTCAGATAAGATGGTCCAACAATGTGTAATTAAATCTTTTTTGCATGGTTGATAACATCTTTCCAATGATTACTAAGTTTGTACCCATCATCACGGTTGAAATTATGTCTGTGTTTGTATATCCGAATGGCTTCGTGTACAAACCTTTGATGGTAGCCAGAAGGCTTGCAGATCACCTTAGTCTCGGAGAAAACAATCTCATGAGAGCCCACCGAGTTGTAGCAATGATCGGCAACGGCGGACGACTCAATTTTGCCATGTTTCAAATCTGACTTGTGCTCGCGGACACGATCAGAGACATGACGTTTCGTTTCCCCAATGTAACAGTCACCACAGCTGCAACTCAGTTTATAGACTCCAGGGTATTGCAAGTCAGGGATGACATCCTTCACAGATGGAATTAGATCACGGATTTTATGTACTGTACTGAATCGGACTTGGATCTTACGTTTGTTTAGAATTTTGGAGATATTTTTGGTCACGCCTGCTATGTATGGTAACGTGACAGTTTTGATCGGAGTTTCAAGTGGCTGTTTCTGTATGGTGGGAGAAACAGCTTGGCGGATGGTGCGTTCAGAGTATCCGTTCATCCTGAGGGCCCGATGTACATGTCTCAATTCACTGGCCAGGTGGTGTTGGTCAGAAATGCCATGAGCTCTGTGGTATAGCGTTTTGATGAGAGAATTCTTTTGAGATGGGTGGTGGTGAGAATCCGGTTTCAAGTAGGAATCTGTGAGGGTGGCTTTCCTGTAAACAGAATGTCCCAAGGATCCGTCAGGTTTCCTCTCAAACAGAATATCTAAGAATGGTAGTTTGCCATCTTTCTCCACTTCCATGGTGAATCTGATGGATGGATGTCTGGAATTGATGTGGTCCAAGAAGTGGTTCAATGCTGGGAGGCCATGTGGCCAAATGACGAAAGTGTCATCCACATACCTCTTCCACAGGGAAGGACGCAGGGTGGATGTCTGGATGGCGTCTGATTCAAACTTTTCCATGAACATGTTGGCTATCCGTATGCTGATGGATATTGTGGAAGTGATTCTTAGAGCTGTTGATAACAGCATCAGCCAATGGAAGTAAATCAGTTGTGTGCTGTAGCACCTGCAGCTTTAATGGCAGCTGTGTTTACAGCTGACTTGCTCACGCTGAACAGCTGCGCGTATTGCAAAGCAATGAATTCACGACAATAAAAGTGTAATTTATTAAACTGCGTTTAAATGTGATCACATCTCAAAAACACTGCTGAAGCGGAGGGCATGTTCATGTATTAAGGAGACAGTCCGTCACAGGCAACGGAAGAAAGGAAGGATTGAGCCTGAATTTGAACAGGGGAAGCAAGTCAACAACACAGATAGATGGGGGTAGAGAAACTTGCGGGCCGCAGAGGAGAATTGTTGATCATCCTCTGAGTGAAGGTTGACTGGGACGGCTTCAATAGCAAGTTTTGCTTTCATTCATATCGATTTTCAATCTCACCTTGTGCACAGAACATGCACGGGGCCGCACGTGTGTGACGACGCGTCTTTGTGTAGCTCTCGGATGGGTGTGTGTTTTCGGGTCGTGCCGCGTCCGACGTTTCGGCTCTACGTGCTGGGAGTGTCTCGGCCATCAGAGAGCCGGATAGCACCACCATGACAAAACCTCCCTGGCGGCGGCGGCAGTAACCGGCGTCCGTGCGTGTTGCAGGACGGCTTCACCCCACTGGCCGTGGCACTCCAGCAGGGCCACGAGCAGGTGGTGGGGCTGCTACTTGAGAGCGACACAAAGGGTAAAGTGCGGCTGCCGGCGCTGCACATCGCCGCGCGCAAGGACGACACTAACGCCGCCGCGCTGCTACTGCAACATGAGCACAACGCCGACGTCACCTCCAAGGTAGCGGCACCACTCCGTGTGCCAGCGCTCACGTGTGTGCGCTGGCACACTTGCATGCGTGTACACGCGTTTAAGACAAAAGATCCCCCCTGTAGCCTTAACAGACTGGAGGACCAAGTGCTGTTAGTGAGCACCTTTGAAGGCCGGAACGGCACACGACGGGGTGGGTGGCCAGCCACGTCCGCCCACCTTTGTTTCCCTAGTGGCGATGTTTACACACGGCACCAGGTATTTATGTGTTGCTGAGTTGACCTAGGGGAGGCCCAGGACCAGTTCGGTTAATCGTCACTGGTGTTAAACATGAGCAGGAATCGAACTCTGCTCTCGGGGTTCATAGCGCAGCGTGGTAACCGCGACACTACTGCTCCCCATACACACCTATATATGGACAAACATCCCCCCCCCATGCAGCTTCCATGTAGCCTTTAACAGATTGTTAGGGCAAGTGCTTTTAGCGAGCAAGCATGATATGACATACGCAGAAGGACAAATATTCGACCAATAGCCTTGATTGACTGTCCTGGCAGACACGGCAGGTTGCCAGCACCACGCCCAGCCACTTTTGTCTCCGCAGTACTGATGTTTACACACTGTAAAAGGTACTACTTTAATGTTGAGTCTACCCAGGGAACCGGTTCAGTTATTCACTGATGCTTGCCACGAGCGGGAATCGAAATCGAGCCACCGAGTTCGGAGTGCAGTGCTCTAACCACAATACCCCTCCCTGTAGACATATACACACGCACATACGCACACAAAGACACATCAACAGACACACACACACACAGATTCACACACGCACACACATCCTAGTACCTATCGATCTCTGTGCCATCCATTGGTGGGTCTAGGAGGGGAGCTATTATCATAAAAAGCTGGCAGGGAGAGTGGCTCTGCGGCCTGCGTTGAGGCCGCGTGTGAACTGGCGTGAGCTACTGTGGGGCGTCCAGGTATCTGCAGGCATGGGACTCTTCTTCTTCAGCGGTCATCGTTTTTGCAGCGGGAGTAAAACACAATTTATTTCCATGCCGCAATTGCAAATAATTTATTTCATAATTGTGCGTTAGTTCAGCTTAATTCCGGTGATGCATGTTTGCCATTGTATTTTGACAATTGATAACTCATATAATTGATAATGGCCAATACCATAGTAAATGTAATGAATTACTTCTTGTGTAATTGACTGCAAGCCAGGGATTGCCGCAGAGCCTCGTTTCTTGTATGGGGTAAAACATTATCCGTCTCCATCACACATGGGTCCTCGCCTAGCTCCCCTCCCTGGGGGTTGCGATACTAAATTTTCTGAGGCCATTAAAGAGCAATCCTTTGTGCAGTTATAATATATGCAATGAAAATATATGACGGCAAAATGCAAATTACAAATGTACATTCTATTACGAATATATTTTTTCCCCCAATATACAATGTGGTATGCATTCAAATAATATTGTTAAGGAAAATGCAACGATTAGCAAACGATTGTAATATATTTAACCGAATTTCCTTGTTAAAAACGGTCACAAAATGATGATGATGATGATGTTGTTTTTTGCGCATGACATGCATGTATTCTTGAACAATGTTGTCATATGGTAAACACAAGAACGGCTTTGCTTCACATGAGTAATGCACAATGTTTTTTGTTTATATATTTTTTGTAAATTTTCAGATCACGTTTCATCATGCCGTATTAACCATTCACTCTCCGGCGTGCTTCCGCCAAATGAATGACAACGGCTGTATGAACGGCAGGTTCCACCGTAGCCATGCGGCGCTGACCCAGCGCTGCTGCCGCATTCGCCTGCGTCCGTCTTTGCCTTGCCGCTGCCGTGCATAATTAGGCCGCCGGGCTTCTGCACTGTTTCGCCGAATCACGCACACCCCCAGCCAGTGGCGTATCTAGGAAAAATAATAAAGCAGAGAGGCACGCAGGGGTAGGTGGAGTCGTAGGGGGGCTGGCGGGCAGAAGGCAGTGGGGGGGGGGGGGGGCCCGATTTGATCTATAAAGGGGTTGAGGGTTGTGTGGGGGTTATTGCTTGAGTGAACCCGGGAACATTCAGTTTTCTGCCTGACCGAATTCAGAAGGCACTAAAGGAGTGTGGGGGGGGGGGGGATGGGTGGGGAGAAGGAGATGGGCAGAGCGACAGATACTCCACTGGCACCGGCCATTGCTTTGTGATGCTCACTGTGCGCGCGGTAGCAGCAGCACGACACCGATCACGCGGCACCGTTACTCATCATCCCACGTGTGATCTTTGTTTTCTCCACGCTGCCTGGCTTGTGCTCAGCTCTCGCAGATGATGCTGAACCAAACCACTGAGGTATAACAGCACGCGCGTGCCACGCGCGCTCGCCTACGTGCGAGCGCGCGTCCCCCGATGCCCGTGCACACACGGCTCACCTGGCCCATATCGCCCCCATACACGGGGACGTGACGCGTCTTGATTTTTCTCCGTGAACGCTTGCAGCTGAGCATCGAGATATCTACATGCTTTTTCCACATGTGTATGCATGCTTGCATCTGTATATTATGTATCTAAATGTGCATACACGTAAAAAAAAATCCAAATATACTGTGAATGTGTTTTAATAATTTTAATATTTTCATACCAATAATTCGATTGGGATTGAGTGTGCAAAATTCGCTTTTACATTCATTACAAATCTCCGCATTTGTAACACGTATTTCCTTGCATGTTAAAATTGGGGATTAGTTTTAATGCCCCGAATAGTGATAATTCTGGTGCAGTAACTCCACAGCGGTTCACTTTGGGGCAAGGCAGTGCACTCGCGGGACGGAACGTGTGGCAATCCACGCGTGAGAGTCTTTCTATCTTGTGGATGGCTCTTGCCTAATAAGGCTAATTGGGGAATATAAAGCGGATAACTCTTCTTTACTGGCAGCAACTTAAGGGAATTTGTTGCCCGTGTATCGTTACCATCCACACAGTGGAGACAACTCAGACCCGTTGGATCGCACATTCACTCGGGATGCCGCTTGTTGTAGTCTCGAGTGATGCTGGGGGTGAAAAACCTAAGCCCTCGTGGTTCTAAACCAGTTAATACATTTTTTTTAAACATTCCTCAAATCCATGTTAGTGTAGGTTTTAATGTATCCAAATATCCTATAATTCATTTGTGCAGAGGAGTCGAAGATAAGCTTACGAAGTTAGCATATAGATTAGAGCACAAACTAAAAAAAAATCTCAAAGAAGGAATAAAAATAACCTCCATTTAGCTCGGATTCAACTGTTGTAACATCATTGCAGAATGTGTTTTTCTCTCAACATGCGATGTGCTTTGCCCCAACAGTGGCAAGTACCAGTCTTAAACTGAGGTCTGTGTGAAAGGAAAGAGGCAAATTTGAGTTGGTACGGGGGAGAAAAATTATTATAATAATACACATCTGGTGTGGGTGGGCAGACTTCAGATATTCGGCACTCAGTAGCCTCATTCACGCTGTGTCCTCCTCCTCCTCCTCCTCGTCTTCCCTCGTCGTCCTCCTCCTCCTGTTTCCAGAGTGGCTTCACCCCCCTGCACATCGCGGCGCACTACGGCAACATGAATGTGGCCACGCTGCTCCTCAACCTGGGCGCCGCGGTCGACTTCACGGCACGGGTACCGATCCGCTGAGCGCGCGCTCCTCGTGGTGCTTTTGTGTGGCTTGTTTATGTTTAAAAAATGCGGGAGCCAATATGCCACTTATTAAAAAAAATCAGGAGGTGTTATGTCCCACTCAGGACGTGTGTGCTATATTAGTGTCGTGTCCTGAGATGAATACAAAGTCATTTGGATCTTCTCTCAATGGGCAGTGCTTCACCCCGTGCCAGGGAACATCCCCTGCACATGACATCATAGAACTATTTCTGAAGTCGCTGCAAATAGCCCCCTTTATCCGTGCGAGAGACACAACTTTTAAATACACTGCAAAGAGTGCTCATCCCATTTCAGTGCAACTATGTTCTTAAAATTTGGAACCTAAGTAAACCGTATGATGCGTGTAACGAAATAAAATTAACAAGATTGTTTTTTGTACGATCAGAAGTGCCTGTGCTTGGGCCATCAACTCGCTACTCATGAGAATCCAGTTTCACCACAGGTGGTCGCCCAAATTCAAAAACTATAATCTACTTAAATGTTTTTTTTTTATTTAACCAGGGGAGGCCCACTGAGCTATGTAGCTCTTTTTCAGAAGTGACCTGGCTGCCACAAATGACAGCTCAACGAAGTAGCTTTTCACGTGGACATTTACAACAATCAAATCCTCTAAACGTGTGTTTCTAAATGTGGAGAGGAAAACCGTAGGACCCAGAGAAAAAACTACAAGACCACACAGAGACCAGGCAAACTCCAAATATACATGCGTCAGGGTCGGGATCAAACCCACGACCGATATACCAAGCGAGGCAATTCAAATCTCACCACCGCAGCACCCCCAAGGTTATGATCTCAGCTAGGTCGAGTGCCAAGCCCCTCGGCCCCCTTTATTTGAGACGATCTCAGAGTCGGCCGTTCCCTGCGCGATGTTTTACAGAATGGCATAACTCCCCTCCACGTGGCCGCCAAGCGAGGGAACAACAACATGGTGAAGCTGCTGCTTGACCGGGGAGCAAAGATCGACACCAAGACCAGGGTACGATGTCCTGCAGTGCCCTCTCCACAGACACAGCCTGCACAATGTAGCAAGCCACTGCTGTTGGTACTGTCACCAATGCCAAAGACCCCCTCTTGGCCTTATAGATCTTTCAGGGCACCTATTAAAACCACAACAACAGACCACTTCAAGCGGATGGTGTGATTAGCACCAGGTCCAGTCACATTTTTATCCTCAGGGCTGATGAGCAGAAGCCACACCGCATATTATATATTTTTTCCTGAGTCAGCCGAGGATCTTCAGATACAACTTGTCATAGATGATATCTGTGACTGGGAATTGAACTCAGGTTTCTGGATTTGTGGTGCAGTTCGCAAAACCACTGCTGATACCACATACCACAACAGCCGGGACTTTGGAGGTAGCCCAGGTGGTGTTTCAAATCAAACTCTGAGTGGTCCACAGGAGTTGTGCGCATTTGAGGCCTTTTTATTGTGGGTGTGTAGAGCCCTGCTCAGTTCAGCAGCTAAACATATGGTTGCTGCCAGACCTATAAATTAATTTTCCTACTAAAATGTGGGCTAAAACTTTTAAGTTTGTCTAATAGAAGAAATTGAATCAAGTTAAATTAATTACATTTCCAGTAATGAATAGCAGACACAGACATGAAAGCCTGAAAACTTCTCTGTGTAATGTAATGGCATAAGTGGCATTTTAATATTACGATCTTGACTCAACATTAGCCGTGGAGCTCATATAAGATTTCACGCGATTATTACACTTGAGAATATTCAACTTTAAACACGTGCACGCTGCTTGGAGAATATATCCGACAATGAATTGCCATGCCATTTCAACTAAAAACAGAAATGGTTGTTTCTCTTGGCACGTGTAGGACGGACTGACGCCGTTGCACTGTGCTGCCCGGAGTGGGCACGAGAAGGTGATTGAGATGCTGCTGGAGAGAGACGCTCCAATCCTGGCCAAGACCAAGGTACAATGAGCAGCAGCAGCGCTCACTTGATTGTCACCCCTCAAGGATAATTGTTCCCAGCACCACGCTCTCTGCCTCGATAAGGAGCCCGTACAAACTAAGCCAACGACACACACCCCTGATCAGCACGGTTGGCTACGTACGGTGCGAAAGAAGTCCAGCATACATACACACAACAGAGCGGCATACGTCGGTTTTAGAAGTAGTGGAGAAGTATCTGAAGGTCGTTCAGGCTGCCTTGCTTGGACCATGGGAATGATGACCATAGCATTTATTATTACACCCCATCAACCATACATTTATTTCAACGCTGCACTTCCATTGTTCGTTTTGCAACGATGCGACTCTTCTGCACGTGATGTGTTGACGTCCCACTACGGCTGACAGAAATCACATTCCACAAAGTGTGGCGTGTCACAGCGAATCGCCAGAGGTGGCTGGACGCGTTTCCACCCTCATGCTCCGCTGGACACCATCTCACCATGCACCCTGCCGACACCGATGCTTTATTTAGGTTTAGGGATTTTTCTTGGCACAGGCAAAACCCCATTGGATGATAAATGCTCATTTTACGATGGGGACCCTGGTTACAGAAACCTGGTTGCACAGCATCAAGAACAAACACATGAGCAAAGCAATCAGACAACAATATCATGGAATATTTTTTGCCCATTATATAGCTGCTCACCCCAAGCCTTTTCGTGTTCTCTTATCTGACACTGGTGAGACTCGGCCTGAAAAAGGCTGTCTCTGGTGTAGGCCAATCAGTTTCGAAAACAATACAGACATTACCAGAGTTTGTTTGCATATTCACCACAAGTACGTGTGGTTAATGAAGCCTTGATTCCTTGCGAAAGGTATCTTTTTGATGTTTGAACATCTTTCCACCAGTTTTATTGCCAGAAAGGGTAAAACCTATTCTTGTTTTTCATCATCAAACAACAACTTTACAGAGTCAAGTACCGAATGGCAAGGTCGTGCATCAACACCACGGCACAACCGGCACTCTCATTAGGAGGCTGATAGACCACATCACGTGCGATCTGAGTTTCTGAGTTTCAATAGTCAATTTCAAGTCGGACAAGGATGGTAAGGTTCGGTTTTTATCCCAAATTTTATTAATGCTCGGTTATGCCAGAGATCAGGGGCCGCCACACAGAAGGATTTAAACCGAGTTTGGTTCTCACCGACCAGGGGACTTGGAGCAGAAACGCGGAGGGGGAACTTCTTAGGATACGGGTATTTATCTGGGGGATTAGAGCAAATTAAATGATCCAGAGCAAAGCTGTCAATGTGGCTCCATTCCATGCGGGTGATTCACCCAATATCGGCAAGGAATGCTTACGGTGCTGTTTCCTGCCACCAGCCGGCCCGTGCTGGTATTCGCATGCAAATTCAGCACAGTGGTCGTCACTGGCAAACGTAGCACAAGCCTGGAACCCAGTGCTTTAGAGGCAATGGATGGTGGACCACGTACATGTATGCAATTCCCAAAACCCACAGAGGTGTGAAGTGGCTAGGAGATAGCAGCACTGGACATAGACTCATGAACCTATCTGAGTGGATCTTTGTGTTAGAGAGATGTCCTCCCATATGTGCCACATTTCTGTGGGTACTCAAGGTGCCCCTAATGTACTAAATGCTCATTAAATGCAAGGAAGGACTGTATCTGGCAGTTTAAGAGTCGCTCTTCTAAATTTCTAGAGTGCTTTACAAATATAATCTTTAGGCAATGTCATGCAGATGTCGAGAGCATTCCATTTCCGCTGTTTTTGTACAGCATCTTGCAATGTGGTCACATTTAGACGCCAATATATAAAATGCAAATAATATTTTTCAAAATGTTTTTGTTCTCAACAATACGTACAGGAGAAAAAAACCAGAACTCGAGTTCACAGATCACCGCAACTGAGATAAACACGTGAACCTATAGGCGCCCGGGGCTGTGCTCGAGGAAAAAAAAAAACGTCTGAGGCGAAAGCAAAATATTTTATTACATTGTAAAAACATGACTTGCCGTCTTTCTCAAGCGTGGAACGACGATCGCGGACGCGTGCCTGCGTCGCGCTCGCGGGTTACACAAATAACGCTTTCGTTGCGCTCACCCCGCGGGCAGAACGGGCTGTCCCCGCTGCACATGGCGACACAGGGGGAGCATCTGGCGTGCGTGCAGCTCCTGCTGGGACGCCAGGCGCCCGTGGACGACGTCACGCTCGACTATCTCACGCCGCTGCACGTCGCCGCACACTGCGGCCACTACCGCGTGGCCAAGCTGCTGCTCGACCGCGGCGGGGAGCCCAACGCGCGGGCGCTGGTGGGTGTTGCAGGCAGTGCAACTGCCCGAGTTGCCCGGGCTACAAGGAGGGGGAGAAATTGGACGGACGAATGGATGGATGGGGTGGAGGGGGGGGCATTACATTTTTTGCAACGTTTCCCATGTATGTATGTGTGTTGGACTTCCTTTTCGCACCGTACGTAGCCAAGTGTGCAAATTGGAGGTGTGGGAAAGGACAACACAAAACAAAAAGCAGTTCTAAAGAAATTAGTTTGTCAATCTGAATGGTTTAAAAGTGCATAGCTCCTGTGGCTTCCTAATATTGGAAGGAAGAGTGTTCCAGATGGCCCCAGAAGCGCATCTGAGAGTGCGCGATTCATTGACCATCTTTGTTCGATGGCTAGCCAAAAGCTGCTGTGAGGATGACCACAATCAGACATTTCCATAAAATCGCATAGGAAACATGGAATCATATAGAGGAGGAGGCGAAGGGGGTTGGCTACGGGCCTCCTGACTGCATCGGATTGACCACTAACAGTAAAGACTCGGGGATAGGGGCTTTGCCAAGGAAGGGACACTAGGGGTTGGCATTGGGTTCATAGCGCAGGGTGCTAACTGCTACACTACCTTAACAGGTCACACACACAATGGCTCAGAGTTCAGAGCATATCTCACATTGACTAAGGGATGGCAACGGTTGAATGACCACTTGCACTGGAGAAGGGAACACAGACGGCCGAATTGCCAGGGGTGTTGATGTTTGCAGTTCGCCTACCCCGCTGAAGGATTGCACATTGCGCACACTTGGGGGATATCACACGGCAAAGGTTAGAGGTCAGCACTGAAGGATGAGGAGGCTTTGTCAAGCCTAACGTCTCTAAATATTCATGAGAAATTACTCCAAATTGAACGTATGTGCATTATCTTGAAACTGAAAAGGCTCTGAGTCAGATTTACATCTTGATGAAATGGCAAAGACACATTGTTGTTGATAATGGAAAAATTGGCCGACTGTGCCAAAAAATTTCCAATCATTTAACTTCCAACAACATGTTAATCAGGCCCCTTCTATTTGCATAGCTATGTCCGTGTAGCTGTGTACATGTACAACCCTTTAGTGAATCCACTACTGGATTAAGGCTCCCTGACACCATGTTGGTCATGAGGGTTTATTTGACCATACTTCACCGCGCAGTTCAGTGCACATTGGTGGAGGTGTCAGTTTAACACGTAGGCTTTCGCAACCAATATTTTCTATAATAGGCTATTGGATTAAAATGCGTATTATAAATATGTTTACGCGATCTAAACCAAAAAACCTCTGCCATGGCGGAGGTGTGCAGCATGAGACTTTCGAGCATAGTACGGTACAACGATGGGCATTGCTCCACTGCCGTGTGCTGCCACTGTGGAGCCCCAGTAGCCGACTGCATCCGTTTTAGGCACGGTGGTCGCCTAAAACCACAGCACTATCCAGGCTCAAAATGCCGCTTAGCTTCCGAGATAGGGCGCATTTCCTGGCGATTTGGTTTCCAGGTGCGTTTGCGAAGTCAGATTATGCAATATCCTAAATCAACTGTGGAGGAGCAGAATAATGTGTTTGGGTCAATCTCAATTTTAACCGCTGCATCTACCGCTGAAATTGATGTATAATTTAAGTTACATTTGGGCACCTGTTGTTTGTGATTTGGTTTGCACTGACTCACAAGGGGCTTGCTCAGGCAAAGATTTCGACATCGCTGTCAAACTACGACTCTCGTTTTTCATCCAGAATGGCTTCACACCTTTGCACATTGCGTGCAAGAAGAACAGGATCAAGGTTATGGAGCTTCTCCTGAAGCACGGAGCATCCATACACACCACCACGGAGGTACCCGCTTAATCTCGCACTGAGCCACCTCATTATCTCTCTTAAATGTAATTAATGTTTTTTTTTAGCTTCGTGTAAGGGTTCACGTAATTTTTCAACTAAATACACTTTTCTGGGTGCGCGACTTACGCAAGGGATTCAAGTAGTTTTCTAAAGTACCCTCTATGTTTTGTGTTCCCATCGCGTGTGTCTTCGCCTCCGAGGTGGGTTTTTTTCTTTTTCCAATAATTACAGTCGGGGCTTAATGCAAAGGGCACCCATTGCGTTTGGAGACCACGTTAATAGTGTCTGTGTTTCATTGTGGTTGTGTGCTTTTGTGTTTTGTCTGCGCGTACCAGTCTGGCCTCACTCCTATACACGTCGCCTCCTTTATGGGACATCTCAACGTGGTGCAGCTTCTATTACAGAATGGGGCTTCTTCCAACGCCACCAACGTTGTAAGTTATCTCCAGTGTGACGGACGTAGAGGGGAGATTCAAATAGCTGCCAGATTAGACGCAAAATTTGGAAATTGTGTTTTCTCAATGACGCTCGTATGAACAAGTGCCCGGTTGATGCCTTCTGATGTCTCCGAAGCTAAAAGCACTGTGTCACTGCTATTAGCCCAAACTTCCCTGTGCTGAATAATGACCTGCAAATCACTCAATTGCAAATATCTATTGCAATTATTGCCCATTATGATGAACACTTGGAAGGACCCTCCTGAAAGACGGTCTTTGAAACTCAATGAGGCATTCTGAGCGTAGATCGTAATAATGCTGTTGCAAAAAAAATGCGCGCTTGGGAGGATGTGACAATAATCATCCCTTCTGGGTCCTCTTATTAATTTTGGGGGCGCATACTTTGCCTGTGAGCTGATGGGCGCGAACGTGACGGAGGAATAGCATTGATGACGTCCTGTGCGTATGCTTTCAGGTCATTCGCCTGCTTGTCATCACCTCACTGTCTGTGCAATGCTGCTGCTGCTGCTGCGAGTGTCTTGTCCGTTATCCCGTTGCATCATCACAGTTTGGCCGTCTCGTGTGCCGTGCGACACCCACGAAAGACGCCACCGTCATATACAACATTTGGCCTCTTTTGATTGAGTCGCGTAATAAAACGTTGTCTGCACAAGCGGCAATGATACGGGGTGTCCGTAGCCGGGCGGTGTTGGTGGTGGTGCACGCCCATAATCCAACACTGTGTTTGGCAGATCACACAAGTGTTGTGGAGCTCCCTTCCCGTGGGGTGCTGAGGTGCCATAACCCCCCCTGGGCTTATCAGGAGAAGGCATGAAAGCAGTAGACCAATCTCCATCTGTATGGGATAGAGTGTTGCCCCCTCACATTGCATGTGATTTCTACAGTTTCTTCCCAAATGCAAACACTTATTAATTTGGGGGAACATTTGGTACTGACTCACCGCCTGGCTACTTTTCCCGCTTGTCTGTGGTTCCTCCCACTTCTGTGTGAATACTGTGCAGCGTGTTATAAGTTGACCTTATTATACCGGTGCCGTCCGTTATTAAATTATTTTAATGCGATGGCAGTTTCAATTCGGCCTATAGATCTATGCACTCGGTGCCCACGCTTTCGTGGCGGCGTGGAGATTAGGTCTCACCCGAGGCTGATCCCTCCACACCTCCATGAACGTCGCATCGCCGTTCGCGTGAGCCCCACGTGTTCGCCAGCTTCTTGGCTGCGATCATTACACGTGCTACCATTCCGCGCTGTGAAAAATCACTCAAGGTTTCGATTGCTTTGCCACTTAATTTTTCACATCTCCCACGGAACCCGCAACATTCAACCGGTTCAAACTGCTGCCTAATTATAATTGCCAAATAATGGAATATACCTTTATATGGACACCGCATATGTTATCACAGCTTGCATCTACAGGTGTGCTGCGCAGTGAATTCACTTTGTAATTGCACAAAAGTTATATTGTGGGGCTCTTCGCTGTGTTTTTGGTTTGTACCGCGTGATATGAACGCAATACAGACCCGAATGCATCAGAGAGCTGCACAACCGTGAAGAGCTATGCAGTGGTGGTTTGCTTTGCTTTGTTGCTGCTGGAAGTGAAACTCACAATAATGGTTCATAATTTGGAACATTTGGCATTCGAGCCATTCTGATAGCGCAAGGCTATTAGGAAGGGAGACGCTGCTGCGCTTCACAGACGTAGTCTTCAGCAGTTTCACAGTAGGGGGGGGGCGATGTTGCTGTGTGCAATCCCAATTGCGCCATTTGCAATGTAATTTTTTGAATTTGGACCATGATGCCTGCAACGGCCTCATTTGACACGACGTCACGGGATCTTTAGCCTCCACTATGAAGCAGACGGCTTGTAGGATTTTAAGGTCACGCGCCCACAGTAATAACCGGGGACCAGCCTACCGGATTGCAGCTGCGAACCCTCGCAACGAGCAGCGAACGTGCGACCGCCGCGCCATGCCACCGCCCTCACGGAGTGTGGCGTGTCGTGTGTCTGTTTGGCTCTCCCGCAGCGCGGGGAGACGCCGCTGCACATGGCCTCGCGAGCTGGGCAGCTGGAGGTGGTGAAGACGCTGCTGCAGAGTGGGGCACGCGTGGGCGTCAAGGCGCGGGTACGCAGCAGACACACCAGCGCTTGGCCTCCTTGCAGAGTTGCAGACCTCCGGTCACTTTCTCCATGCCACTGCTGGCAAACGGGCCTCCGCAGGAGCGAGCTTAAGAGAGCCACTCTTTACTCCACCATAATTCGAGCGACTGTGTTGGATAGATTTATACTGCTGGGTGGACAAAGGAGGTGGATTTGAGAAGCTTTCACTTTTTGTTTCAACTGCCATGCCGGGAGATGGTATCCAACTGGTGACCTCTGGATTAAATTTCCAGTGTGCGCACCATTACAATCGGGGGTGGAGCAGTGATCTAGTGGTTAGCGCACTGCACTATAACACTTGCATCCTGAAATCAATTCATGCCAACATCAGTGGCGATAAATATCTCAGGTTCATCAAGAGTGGTTAAATAAGCGCAAGAAACATTCTATTGACTGCATACAACTCTCTCTGTTCACTGTCTCATCATCCCCAGCAGATCTTTAGGTCCAGCATTCACTTCTCTAGCAGTATTCTAATTGTGCATCTCTGCATAGCAAACTACTCTTTGTGATTTTGTTCCACACGTGGCTATGCAGTCCAAACAATTAGAAACCCTTCCTTGATTTAATGTAACGCCACACTTGTGTGTTCAGTGGACTGCAGGTGAAGCTATCCACGAAATTGTGTGCACGTGGTAAATTGGTGGTGTTCTCCACAAACAACCCCCCCCCCCTCCCTCATTTCCTCCGACCTGTCCTCCCCACTCATCCATTCCTCACTTTGCCAACTTGCCTGGAACTTACCCCTCACTGCGCCATGCCCCCTCTCTCGACACGTACCACTTTCCCCCCCGAACCTCCCCCCCCCCCTCCAAGGAGGACCAGACGCCGCTGCACATCGCTTCGCGGCTGGGCAAGGCGGAGATCGTGCAGCTGCTGCTGCAGCGAGGCTCCGACCCCAACGCGCCAACCGCCAGCGGCTCCACGCCGCTCTACTTTGCCTCCAGGGAGGGCCACGGCGACGTTGCCTCGCTGCTGCTGGAGAACGGCGCCGACATCTCGCCGGTTACCAAGGTCAATTAAGGCTCGGTACATCACGGCGCTTGCTAACAGACGGTGCTTTACTTTGCATCCGAGGTGGCTCTTCTAGGATAGATAGTCAGGATTCATTTTTTCACTGAATGTTTTCTGGGTCGCTGCTAGATTGGAGTCGTGACTCAAAGTAGCTGCGGGCATCGCACGAGCTTTACAGCCCCGAACTTCGACTTTTATGGAAGTGCTCCCATAAATCGTGTAAAAAATTCAACATGCGGAAATGTTTGCATTAGTTACGTAATCGCAGATAGTGCAGCGCAGTGAGGTTGCAGATGAATACCGTGGAGCGAGGCCTAAGTCCCGCCTTATGCCTCGCTCCACCAAAACTAAGCCTTCACCGAGCACGAGCTTCACGAGGAAGGATTCAGGTAAATGTATGTTTTATTGCATTACGTAATTCTTTTCCTTTTGTAGCATTACGTAATTGTTTGTTTTCTATGCTTAGAACAATTTTTTCCCATGTTTCTACTGCTAGTTTTCTTCATTTTAAGTTTATTTCATGAGTTATTAACCGTATGTACCTTATTTAACACGATTACACTTCGATCACTCATGGTCTCAGCCAACAGCGATCGGAGAAGTCTAGGCCTAGCCTAATGCTCGGTAAATGAACATTCGGAAGTGACTGCTTTCCGTTAACAATCAATCGTAAACAATTGGATATAGTATATGTTCCATTTGTTTAATTATGGGTAGCGTTAGGGTAGATATTCGACGCAATGAAAGAATCATAGGAAGTGCAGAGCGGATGTACAGCGATACAGACAGCGATATAAAATGGACGGCAGTGCAATAGAGTGCTGAGAGAAAACAAACCTAGTGATCGGGTAGGGGAGGCACAACTATTTCCGGCTCTAAGATTTTATCTTGATTTTGGGGGATAATTGTTCAGTTTCCGACATGAAAAATTCGGGTTACGGATCATGCTCGGAAACCTAACCCTTCTGTAACCTGAGGACTGCCTGTACCGGTCGTGGTATTTCTGGGCATGGGAATATTTTCCAGGGCGCCAACCCAGGCAAATCCAGCTGCAATTAGGCCCACGTGTTACGGTTATTTGGTTATCCAGGAAAGCTTTCAAGAGAACCTTTTGCAGCATTGGTGTCTTCGTTTATTGGTTTTTGTTTGTTTTCTTATTTAATAAATGTTTTGTGTCTGGGAGGAAGTCTGGATCTCCCCGCAATAAAAAAAAATCATACTTAGCAAAGGACATCACTCAAAAGTTTGCACAGACGGGTTCGTGAAACCACTGCTCGTGGTCACCTTGCAGCCAGCGTCTCCCGGTGCACTCTCACTATTAACTGTGACTCTGTGTTGTTAAACCAGGCGAATAGAAACATCCCTTCACGACATTTGTCTTCTCCATTGGGGCATTCACGTTTACTCCTTTTGGTGGAGTTTGTTCGCGCTTCATGGGGCTGATATTAACAGCACAATGCTCGCTTTCCCTACTCAGACGTTGGGCTTCATCCAAGTGTCGTCTTTTCAAGCATAATTTAATGCTATTGTGCAGTTGACTCAGTGGGGCAATCGCAGATGAGAAATAATGGCAGTAGTTACTTTATTTTTATCGAGATTGCCTTGATATGTGCAATAAATGTACGGCTATATTGCATTACATCAAAGGCAGATCAAAGACATATAGAAGCTATTGCACGTATAAAAACCAAAAATATGCGCTGCAGTGTGCGACCACATATACGTCAATAAGTGCATTACTAGAGTTGTAAAGTAATTTATGCTGCAGCATGCAACTATAGCTTTACAGCTATAACAATAATGCATTACTGCTCTGCTTTCTTATCCCATTTTATACAATAATAATATGTAAGGACATTCTCTGGGTCGTGGGGAAATGTGATCTATGTTGCTTATGGAACGACTTTTCCATGAGCAGTGATTATAAACCCCTTATGGACCTATGGGCCACGGGCAACCCTCTAAACAACGATTTCTGAGGACCACCACGCGCCAACAATGCACTCTTCCAAAGTCAAGCGACTCGTTTAATTCGTAGAATGTGCAACACTTCCACAGACCACTTTGCCACGGCCTTGCAGGCACCTCGGTGGTAACTCGCTGGGTTTTAGTTCACAACCAAATGCATCAGCAGGAGTTGTGGGGTGTTTAGTAACTTTCTTGGTGTGCCCTGCAGAAAGGGTTCACGCCACTCCACATTGCCTCCAAGTACGGCCGACTGGAAGTCGCCACTTTACTTCTGGAGAAATACGCGTCTGCTGACCCCAAGGGCAAGGTATTAGCACTGCTGACCCATCACACATGCCCACCCACATGTACAAATGCAAAGACAAAGATTATCTGTAGAGCCTTAACAGACTGTTGGGGCAAGTGCTGTTAGCGAACAACTATGAAGACCAGCATGGCATACGAGGGGGTGGGTGGTCAACCCCACGCCTGGCTGTCTTTGTTTCCTGAGTTGCGATATTTACACACCACACCAGGTACTAATTTTAGGCTGAGTCGACCTAGGAAAGGCCCAGGACTGGTTCTGATCATCATTGGTGTTGGCCGTGAACAGGAATCAAACTCGGGTCGCCAGGTTCGTAGCGAAGCACGCTAACTGCTCCACGACCGCACCCCACCAACATTCACACTTACACACACACCAATATGATGTAGAAATACAAGAGTAGCAGTAATTTAGTTAGAAAAACCTACAGTAGATTCCCTACTTAATAGAACCATTGTGAAAGTGTATATCAATGTTATGACAAAGCTATTTACGCAAGAATAAACGTTCTTATTTCTCGGCCAAGTTACATGTTTTTGTTTCCAAATTTCATTTCAACTATGCTTTTGGCAGCGTCACGACATGAGATGAAGTTTCCATTTGGGGAATCTCACAGAGCAATGTAAAATGGCCCCTTGTCTTTGAAAACGGCAGCTCGAAGAAGGAGCGGTTACAGACCTAATTCTGAGATCTCTGAAAGTGACCCATTTTTCGAGGAACGGTCCGACCAAATCTAGGTAGGCACGACTCAAATCTGCCTTTGGAACACGGAACAGCCATTCGTCATCAGGCTGGGTGCTGCTATACAGCAACAGACTGTGAAGCTTCATGTTCAGCCGCTCGTAACCTTCTTCCGACTGCTTCGACATCACCAGAACTGATTTTGACTCACCACCCTGCAAGATTTTCTGACCGGGGTTGCGGATCAATAAAGAAATAAATAACGTGATTAAAAAAAAATCTGCACACCACCGGTGTACTACCGATTCGTTCATTTATATTATTGTTGTATTTGGAATTTGTTATGAGATGGTTTGTGCTCAGCTAATGGTTACTGGGCTGAGACTATCCACTTACTACACCTTAATCAGTTTCCTGACACCGTATTCAAACCCAGGGTCTCGGCAGTTGCAGCTCAGTGCTGTGAACTCGAAGCGACCGGGCCACCTCAAGCCAAATACAATTATTAAAGACGTGCATCCACGCATATGCTATAACAATTTGTTATTTTGTTTACTCTGTAATCATTCAGGGATAATATGGCTTAGTTCACGATCAGCACCCCCCACTTACGCAAATTAACGATATGGATTATGCGTGCGATTTTTGGGTATGTCCGAGGAGTGATGGTCCAGTGGTTAGCGCACTGTGCAATCTGAGTGTTCTTTCAAATGCTTCTGGGCTCCTTCCTAAACCTGGGCCTCCGAAAGTCAACGAAAAATGTAGCACTTGGATGAGGTGTGTGAACATCATCACTGTGGAGGCAAAGGTGGCACGGCATGGTGTTGGCCACGCCACCCCCTTGGGCACCATACCGGCCTCAATATGAATAGGTGCTCGCAAACAATACATGCCAGTCTACAAGGCTATATAGGCACCCACCAATGAATTGTTTGGTTTTTAACAGTCCCTGTTTGCTCCGGGTCTATGTGCACGGGTGCTAAATAATGATTCTGGCCAGTAGGTGGCTGACGGGGCTCTGGAGTAGAAACCTCGTATCCACACAGCCGCGGAGGCAATGCAGGCCTGCTCAGTGTGATATACATATTGTTGCGTTTGACAGACATTCAAATAAATGGGTCTCCATCGACCTGGTGCCCCTCATCTATCCACTTCGAATGTGCAAGATATACAGGGGAACCTATGTGTGTCTGTGTGGGTGTGCACGTGTTGTGTTCTCGTTGGGGTCTACAGGTGGTGCATCGGCCAGTCATCTTAGTCAGTCAACCCATGGCACTTGGGGTCTGTCCCGTGACCTTCCTGCCAGCGGGCTTTCGACACTTCACGTGGCATTAGAGTGCACATAAGCTGGCACAAGCGCCATAGTGATGGCACTGCTGCTTCATGCGAATGGCGGTTGTTGTGTTCTCGTTGGACAGAACGGACTGACCCCGCTGCACGTGGCCACGCACTACGACCATCAGAAAGTGGCGCTGCTGCTGCTCGACAAAGGGGCCTCCCCGCATTCAACTGCCAAGGTCAGCCCAGCTCACACACCTCGCCCTGACGTGCACGCACACCGTACACTGCCCCGCGCTCCCTGGATATGGTAAATAGCCTACTCACAATAGCGGTGATTGACGATTGTTCTTTCTCTCCATTTTATTTTTTTCGTGAGCAAATTTGACCACAAGAATATGAAAACAACTATACATTTTGTTGATTGCAGTTTTTCAAGTAATATTGACATAGTTTTAATTTTATTGAAATGCATCGTATTTCACTTTGTGAACTTTGGAAATCTCTTTGCCATTGTGTGCAACAACAAGTGCTGACAATCACCATCAATACTGACATTTTTTCACTTTATGTTTTCCTTTATTCTCAACGTTTCTTCCAATTGTCATCACAATTGTTATTCACTGCTCAAATTCACTCTCCTGAGGCATCGTAACAATAACAGAATGATCCAAGGGGCCGGAGCTTATAGGCACGGTGGTTTGCACGCTGTGCTGTCTATCGAGTGACCAGAGCTCTATTCCAATCCAAGGCAAAGTATCAGCGGCAAATGATATCTGATCCGGTCGTTGGGTCTTCATCAACACATTTTGGCCATCGTTGTGCAGTGTGGTCAAACAGCCCCCACGATCTAAACAAATGGAGAGGTCCATATCCAGCAATGGTTTGGAAAATGATTGTTAATTCTTATTCTTATTATCAATTAGATATATAACATGATCCATGTGCCATTTATATCACTGCAGTGGGACAGTTTTACTTAAAATAGATTTCACCTGTTCATTCCGGTTCAGTGAAGGGACATCTGGCCATGACATTAGCACTTCGTGCCCTATCTTTATGATGGAATTACTGGAATATTTGATGCCAAATGATCGGATTATGTACTCACTCGGGAATATTTCCACATCGCGATTTGCACATCCCACCAACACTGTGCAAGAGGCACGCACTCCGACTACCAGGCGACCAAGTCGGCCTATGCACAACGTACCTCCAGACACGGTCCTCGTTTTGCGTTCAAAATTCGCGACTTGATATCCAAATGACTCAACCGCTCTATAGTATGTATGTACGTATGTTGATCTTCTTTCACTCTGTACATAGCCAACCGTGCTTATTGGAGGTGTGGGGGAAGGACAACAATCTAAACACAAAACGCAGTTGTAAAGAAAGGCGTTTTCAATCTTGATTTGAAAGTGCATAGTTCCTGTCACTGATGACAATTCAACTCTGCTGAGGATTTTACCTGCTTTGTTTAATGATCAATATCGGACAGCAAACCTTCTACCTACCTTACCACCAATATCATTAATGAAGCACAGAATGCTCTGTTTGCTGTGCTGTATGTATGTATGTTTAACTTATTTCGCAGCACACGTAACCAATCATGCGGGGGAAGGACAACAAACTAAACACAAAAGCAGGTCTACAGAAATTTGTTTTAAATCGAGCATTAAAAATGCATAGATACGAGTGGCTTCCTAATATTGGAAGAAAGAGCGTTTCAGACGGCCACAGAAGCGCATCTGCTAAGCGCGTGATTGCCACATCATCGAGGCCAATCCACCTTCTCACTCCATTTTCTTGGCCACTATCATAAGGGGGGGGGGGGGGGGGGCGTTCTCCACGGTGTGGGACCGCCGTGTGTGGGGGCAGGTGCCCCAGTAGTCGCACGAAGCGGGGGGTCACGGGCGCACAAACGCATGCCGAATCGGCGTGCCAGTTGCTGTGGCCAGATCGATGTTCATGCAGAAACAGCGAGACGCTGCCGTTGCGTGAACAGCTGTTTGTTCCTTCTGGGCACGGCCTGTTAACAGCTCGCGTACGATTCGTTGAATTCAATCAGAATGTTTATTTATACTGGAGGAATCCGATGAGCCGTTAAGCTCTTTTTCACAGATGTCCAGTCGGGGCACGGGGTAAGAGCATTACAACAAAGTGTCATAAGAGGAGAGCCGTGATTCTGTTCACTTTGTTGTATACAGTATCTCGTTTGTAGCTTCTGTCTCATTTGTGCTGTGCTATCCCGTTCACATCGTCTCATTGGTACGGCCTCGTCTGGGCTGCCTATTTCATTGGTCGTCTCATGTCTCCTCTCTTGTTTTGTCATTAGCATGTCGCATTCGTGCGATATCATTTGTTTAGGCTCATTTGTTTGGTTCATTCGTACCGTTAGCCTAAATGTACATGAACATGGATGGGCTTTTGTCAATCCACTGCTGGATGGGGGCCTCCTTGCACCACGTAGGTTGTGGGGGTTATTTTAACCATGCTTCAACACGCTGGTCAGTGTGGGTTGGTGAAAGCGGGACACATGGACGTGGGAGCACGAAGTACAAGACAACAATGGATTTTGCTGCACTGTCCTCTGCTGCTCACCATGTGGCTCCGCACCCTATAGCACCCTGAAATGCATTGTGGTTAATTATAGATTTTAAGTTTTCGTGACTGCAAGGATCGGTAAAGTCACGTAGATGGAAAAGAAAAATTAAAATAACTAAATTAAATCACGACGTTTCGGAGGCAACACAAGCTTCCCTCATCAGGTGGAACAGCCACAGCAAAATTACTGTGGCTGTTCCACCTGATGACGGAAGCTTGTGTTGCATGGTGGTTACCCATCCAAGCACTGCTAAGCTTCCGAGATTTGATAAGAAGGCATTGCCTGAAGGTACCGGTATATCATTTGCCTAGATTATAAATGATACATTCTAACATGCCAGATGTGATGCGTGTATTGTGAGCATAAGAATCAGTTTCGCTCCACGACTCCATGAATAACTCGGGAGTTGTTTTGATCACACACAATAACTTGTAAATACATTTACGACTAATTAAACCACGACCACTTGCATTGGTTGATATGTGAAGGAACAGGGGGTGCTGAGAATCGCTGGGTATGAACAGGACGCCTTCTGGGTTTGATCATCACCACGCACAATGCACGGACTCTGTCTGGTGCGATCACACATACTTACGTGTGTTGAATTTTTTTTTCACCGTACATAGCCAACCGCGCTAATCGGAGGTGCACGGTTGGCTAATCGACCTTGTTAAAGGAATGGCGTCCGAGGGGACGTTCGCCAAGGAAAGACATGGAGCAGTGAAATGATCTCACGTGCGGCCGCCATACGGCTGTTGCATCGCAGCATCGTGACGGGTGGCAGCGGTTTGAGTAGACCTCCATCCAGCAGTGGATTGACCGTGGCTGACGATGACGACGATGATGATAATCCGAATGCGCCACAGAACGGCTACACTCCGCTGCACATCGCGGCCAAGAAGAACCAGCTGGAGGTGGGGAAGGTGCTGCTGGAGCTGGGAGCGGAGACCAACGTGCTGACCCAGCAGGGTGTGGCGCCGCTGCACCTGGCCGCCCAGGAGGGCCATGCAGACATGGTGGCGCTTCTCCTGGGGCGACACGCCAGCATTAGCCTTGCTACCAAGGCGAGCATCCACATGCACGCGCACACTCACGCCCGTGCACGCACGCTCAAACTCATGCACTGGCGCGCGTACGAGGACAAAGATCCTCCGTGCGGCATTTTACAAGTCCTGTTGGGGCACGTGCTCTTAGCGAGCACCTTTGAAGGTCGGCATGGCACACGACGGGATGGGTGGTCAACACAAATCTCTGGCTGCCTTTGTCTCCCCGCTGCTGATGGCGTTTACACACCACTCCAGTTCCTCATTTAGTACTAAGTCGACCTCAGAGGCACTCAGGACTGGTTCAGATATTCGCCACTGTTATTGGTCACAAGTGGGAATTGAACTAACTCCGGTTGTCAGATTTCTAGTGCAGTGGTGGCAAAGGACAACAACACAACAAAGATACAAAGACAAAAGTCCCCCGTATAGCCTGGACAGACTGTTGGGGCAAGTGCTGTTAGCGAGCACCTATGAAGGCCGGCACGGCACACGAGGGGGTGGGTTGACAGCACCACGCACGGCCACATTTGTTTCCCCAGTGACGATGTTTTAAACATTCATTTGACACCGAGTTGACCTAGGGGAGGCCCAGAACCTGTTCAGATAATCGCCACTGGTCTTGGCCGTGAGCAGCAATCGAACTCAGGTTGCCGGGTTTGTAGCGCGGCGCACTAACTGCTACGCTACTGCTCCCCACAATACATGCACACACGCCGTGCACACACACGCGCACGCACACACACGTGCACACGTGCTAATTCGTGCAATCACACAAGCCAGTACCTCATGTTTATGCATGTGCTCACCCAAACTTGCATAATTAGAAATGTGCCTAGAGTGCAAGTAGTATGAAAAGAAAAGTAAAAGTGCCGCCCTGCAATTTTTTGCTCACATCACCATTGGCAGAATGATGTCTACTAGAGGGAGCTTTAGAGGGTGTTTGGCCTACTTTTCAATGCTGGACAACATCTTGAAAGAGGTGGAATTGCCAGTGCTTTATTCCACCATCCAGGACCTCCCGATCGATTATCTGTGGTGACCCCACGTAGACGCCACGAAGGCAAGATGTTTACTACCTCACCTGGTATACAGGAGATCGTGGGTTCGATCCCGATGCTGATGCCTGTATATTTAGTGTTTGCATCTTCTCCGTGTGGTCTTGTGAATTTTTCTCTTGGTCGTCCGGTTTTTCCCTCTACATTTAAAATCATGTGAATATTTGGCTACTGTAAATGTTCACGTGGTAAGCCACTTCGTTGAGCTATCATTTGTGGCCTGGTTGCTTCTGAAACAGCTATCTGGCTCAGTGAACCGTCGAGAATAGTTTTTAGTCTGAGACAACTGCCGCCGCACCAGGTAGATGGAGCCGGCGACCTCTGGATTGAAAATCCGGCATGCTAACCATGCCACCACGGTAGCCTTCTCCACAAGTCAATGGCCCTTTGCCTTAAACAATGTGGAGGCGTTTTATTCTCGGTTTTTTTAAACTGAAGACATGCAAGACAGCAAGTGGACCTGTGCCGTGTAATGGTGCAGGTGTGCGTTCACAATGCGTTGTTCTCATGCCCACGTGGCTTTTAGAACATGGCTCTCTGTGTCTTCTCATTTCGTGCAGGGTGGCCTCACAGCCATGCACCTCGCCGCTCAAGAGGACAAAGTGAACGTGGCGGAAATCTTGACGAAGCATAAAGCTGACGTGAACACCACCACCAAGGTACCCCGACCGAGAAAACGCCGTCAAAATGCTGAACTGGCCATGATAATTATTGCTATAATTTAATACATTACATTTTGACGTGAAATGCACTCACGTGCACAAGCTAGTTTGGGCAAATGGAAATAATGTGACCGTGACCAGTGTGTAAATGTAAACTGTGTCCATGGGAACTATTATGTTTACCACTATCCATCTGATCTGTTTCTGCCTGCTTCAATGCAGCTCTGCTACACACCACTGCATGTGGCAAGCCACTACGGAAATATCAAGATGGTGAACTTCCTTTTACGAAACAGAGCCCTCGTCAACGCCAAGACCCGGGTAAGACGTCACGCGCAGATACTGGGCAGCGCTCGCCGATTCCTTCTAAACTTTCGTTCTGTAACGCATGCCGCTCGGGAATTTCTAGGAAGGTGTTTTTAGGCCTTTTGCGATAACCTGCGGTCGTTGTTTTATAGCAGCACACCGCTGGGCTGTACGTGTGTTCCCGCGGATGGAGCGGTGGTGGAGGTTTCTGTTTTGTTTTAATGCACTGCAGAACGGCTACACGCCGCTTCACCAGGCTGCGCAGCAGGGGCACACGCACGTGGTCAACGCCCTTCTGCAGCATGAAGCTTCCCCTAACGAGCTGACCACCGTGAGTTTCCTGTCCGTCATTTCTGTCGCCCCACACAGCCGAGCAGTTCACTTGACAAGGGACTTTGCTGGGGGATTAGCACGATTCCTGCAGTTGTGGCATTCTGGTTATAATCTGCAACAATGGCAACTTTATGCAAAATTCTTATTGAAGATATAAATTATTTTCTTTCAGTTAAGCCTGGTTTTGTAGAGTATACGTATAAATAAATAATGAAAGTCCAGCCATTCTCAATAGACAAATGGATGAAGGCTTCCCAATGCTATGTAAGTCATGGGGGTTTTTGACCATACCTCACCACACTTTATTAGTGGTCGTTGGTGAAGCGGGGAGAGGGCAGGACCAGTTCTGATATTACTTGTCACTGATGTTATCCATGGGCAGGAATTGAACTTGGGTGACGGGTTTAATAGTGTGCATTGCTGACCACTGTACCACTGCTGCTCCATCATTTACATACTCAACATGTCATAAACAACCTTCTACCAAAATGTAAATTTTACAAAAACGTTCGCGCCAGTGATGCTGAGCGCCGCGCCCCTTTGCGACCCTCTCGCACAGAACGGAAACACTGCGCTGGCCATCGCACGGCGCCTCGGCTACATCTCCGTGGTGGACACGCTCAGCATCTTGACCGAGGAGCCCGTGACGGGCGTCAACGTGAGTGTCCGTCCGCTCGCTCAGCCACGCGGCGCGCGCGGGGCAACTGAAGCCACTCGCGCTCTCTCTCCGTTTTGCCGAGTGTGGCTGCTACACTTCCACGCGGATGATCCCCCTGACAATCTACCTAATTACATTAAACCCCTTTGCTGAATTTGCATTTTTGAGCACGGACAGCCCCTCACTTTTCATCCTCTGGTGGATCGTGCTTTTGACGAGGCAGAGTACAGGTGCGGGTTTGCTTCTTGGCCATCCGGTCTCCTCGCTCACGTTGAAAGCGAACTCGCTTCGGTCACCCGGTGCTCGCAGAACAGCAGCGTACGCCGGGGCTGCAGCGGCCACACGCAGGGAAAGTCGGAAAGTTCAACACATTTAGAACTGAGCGGATTAATGTGATTGGATTATAAGGAGATCGTTTGGTCAGTTGGTGTCTGCTGAAGATGTTACATAGCTGCGGTGCTGCTGCCGTGTGTGTGTGCATGAGTAAGGTGTAAAAACAAAAAGAGTTTTTTCATTGGTAACATTAGTATACTGTAAGCGGAGTGGTGGACGGGTGAGTGACCTTTGAAACCATTTCGTTGTTATCTCAATCGTTCCTGTTGTGATAATGTGACCACGCGGATGTTGGCAATAACAGTGCGGCTTTATCCACCTCTGGGTACAATTTCAACCAGGGTGAATAAAGAGACAGCTGATGGCCGTTACGCGTGCTCTTTTGAAATGTGATTCAAACGCGTTTGTTTTCCAGGTGATTTTCCCTGCGGGGATGATCGAGTTATACGCTGTTCACGCCCAAACGCCAGCAGGGACCCTTGTTTTTATTGCCACGCTTCTGCTCAAGCACGTGGAGTGATGCCACTCTAGCTTAGCATGCGCCCACAGGAGGGTGCTTATCTCATGTCTCCTCCTCCCCCACCCGACCCGACCGCCCCGACCGCCCCTCTCTCCTCCTCCTCCCACCACCACCGCTACGACTCCTCCTCCGCTACCCTTCCCACCTTGCAGACGGTGATAGAGAAGCACAAGTTGAACGTTCCTGAGACCATGAATGATGCGCTAGACCTTTCTGACGACGAAGGTAAGAGCTTGCGCTGTGAGCAAGTGTGCTGGCACACGGTGGCTGCCACTCCCCCCCCCCCCCCCCCCGCCTGCTCAATCTGGATCCAAAGTTCTTCTTTCGGTGCCACAACAGCACCGTAGCATGGCCAGGAAGTGCTTTGGTGCCGAGGGTTAAACTTGCATTTCTGTCGCCAAAGTGGATTGACCTGTCAGGGACACGCAACTGCTTTGATATGCTTCGAAGTGGCGTCTAACTGCACATTGTTCAAATGAAAACGCTGTGTTTGGGAATTGGATTTAGCGATTTGAAAAATTCACTCATTGTAACTCACCACAATCCGCAGATTGTTTGCAAAGGATTTGCGTGTGTCTAACACGGTTTGCTTTCGCCAAGCGAGAAATGAAAAGTTTGCCTGTGTGGCCCCAGCGAGATAAGATTCACCATTCATTTCCACGTCTATTATTTGCAGATTTAACCTACTGCGTGACATTTGTTTTAATTCAACTTCAATTTATGGTCATTGTTTTACTGCAAACACACATGTACGTCACAACTTTGAGCTATTTAATTGTTCAGTTGTGCAGAGTTGACGATTGTTGATTTTAATTTCTCTAATTTAATTTGATGTTTGCCCCTGCCCTCTACCGACCGCCTACATCCCCTCCCTCACCCTTTGCGTTTTAACATCACATTTGTTTCGTTTGATGTTTGTGTTCGTTTTGCATCGGGCCTCTCAGTGTGCAAGGGCTCCTCTGTGCCTGAGCGGGTGGCAGAGGGAGCTTACCCTGGCCTCGTCTCGCTAGGGGAAGGGGCTCACGGTGGCGCAGGGTGTCACGGTGGGGTGCGTAATTGTGCAGCAAGCGAGAGGGGGGAGGCTGACGGTGGCGGTGGCACTATTTTTCTCTTACCTTGCTTAACTGCTCCGTTTACATTTTCAAGCCATGCATGCATCAGTCTTAACGTGACTTACCAGAAGGAACCCTTTTCCTTTCTGTTGTGCAACGTGTCAGAGTTTGAACGAGGACGCAGGGCAGAACTTGTTGCAGTGTTGTCAATTTTCTGAATATCAGTTCCTGTTCTTTTTTACATTGATGCTGACACGTTGAGTGCAGTGCTACTGCGGGAGATTATTAATTCAGGCCTGAGGCCGTTTCACTGGTTTTACGAGAGTTCGCGTGGCTCAAGAATGCCACGTCTGATTCTGTCGATAGGTGATAGGTGCGGCAGTCTATTCCTTATGTTTAGTGCACGATGCAGACGCTGCTGAAATTGAATTCTGAAATGGCAGGATGTGGACAAGGTCACTGCCACACGGACGCACTCTACGTGGACCACTGTTCAAGACCAGGTCACCGTAGGTGGCTTCTTATGTGCAGTAATAGTGGTATCTGAAGCCAGATCACCATTGTCCCCACTGCTGCGCAACTGTGTTGAGAAGGAGTAGTTTCTTGGTTATTTAAAGTTGGGTTCATGGGGCTTTTGTCTAACCACTGAATAAAGACGCTCACTGCATCGCGCGCTTTCAGATGCGCTTCTGTGGCCATCTGGAACGCTCTTCCTTCCGATATTAGGAACCCACTGGAGCTATGCACTTTTAATGCTCGATTTGAAACTAATTTATTTAGAACTTTAGTTTGTTGTCCTTCCCCCGCACCTCCGATTAGCATGATTGGCTATGTACGCGCAAAAGAAGGTAAACATACATACACACATCTTCTTGGTTCTTTCGGTAAAGTCACGTAGAAGGGAAGTAATAAAATAATAAAAATAAAACATAATAAAATAAAATAATTCTCACGACGTTTCGGCTACAACGCAAGCAGCCGTCTTCAGGTGAAGAATGAGACACTACCAAGCTAGGAGCTTAAATATAAGCTGCGTTGGAGGTGGAAGCTGCGTTGGAGGTGGAAGAGTGCCTTAACAAAAGAATGTGCATATGAAGAGGAATTTAGCATATTCATGGAAAATGCGTAGGAGGTGGGCGGGGGGGTTTCAAAGTCATATTATGCCCATGCATTATGCAGGATCAGCAGCACCAAGGGGGGGTGCAGGGAGTAGCAGTAACAAAGGAAAGGAATGTTAATGATATGTAGCTGCAGTTGCTCAACAACCACGTAGAAAACTAAAGTATAAACTACATAAAAACTAAAGTATAAACTGCATAGCACCATCACTATACTTACTATACTCTACAATAAGCTGAGTTACTAACAGCAAGTAATACATTACAATTCTACGTCGTAAAAATTATATAATATGCTTCCATCTAAACTTTATTCTCTTACATCACACGAGCATATACCGTACTATATACTGCCATAGATAAACCCAACATTAATTTATATACTGTATTGCTGTAAACCAACCTATACCTTATACATTTTAATATAACACTATGTATTATTCTACCCACCCTAATGTGTATCGAAATGGTTTATTACGTCCTTCCAATGATTGCTAAGCCAGAATCCATCTTCTCGGTTAAAATTGTCTCTGTGTTTGTATATGTGGATCGCCTCATGAACGAATCTCTCATGATAGCCAGATGGCTTGCAGAGAACCTCTGTCTTGGAGAAGTAAATATCATGTGAGCCCACTGAGTTGTAACAGTGATCTGCCACGGCTGAGGTGTTTGTCCTACCGTGTTTCAGGTCAGCTTTATGTTCACGGATGCGGTCCGAGACATGTCGTTTGGTTTCCCCAATGTAACTGCTACCACAGAGGAAACTTAGTTTGTAGACGCCAGGGTACTGTATGTCTGGAACCACATCTTTTACAGACGGTACCAGATCACGGATTTTATGTACTGTGTTGAATCAGACCTGGATCTTGTGTTTAATCAGGATTTTGGAGATCTTTTTTGTGACCCCAGCAATGTAGGGTAAGGTGATGGTCTTGAAAGGCTCCTCAACAGGATCCTTCTTGATGGTTGGAGTGATGGCTTTGCGGATTGTGTAGTCGGAGTAACCATTAGCCTTAAGAGCTTGGCGTACGTGTTTGAGTTCACTGGCAATGTGTTCATGGTCGGAGATGCATTGGGCTCTATGATATAGAGTCTTGATGAGGGAATTCTTCTGGGATGGCATAATATGACTTTGAAACCCCCCCGCCCACCTCCTACGCATTTTCCATGAATATGCTAAATTCCTCTTCATATGCACATTCTTTTTGTTAAGGCGCTCTTCCACCTCCAACGCAGCTTCCACCTCCAACGCAGCTTATATTTAAGCTCCTAGCTTGGTAGTGTCTCATTCTTCACCTGAAGACGGCTGCTTGCGTTGTAGCCGAAACGTCGTGAGAATTATTTTATTTTATTATGTTTTATTTTTATTATTTTATTACTTCCCTTCTACGTGACTTTACCGAAAGAACCAAGAAGATGAATCCCTGCAGTCACGAAAGCTTTAAATCGAAATACATACACACAGCACAGCAAACAAAGTATTCTGTGCTTTGTTAATGATATTGGTGGTAAGGTCGGCGGAAGGTTTGCTGTCATGTATTGGTAATTATACAAAGTAGGTAAAATACTGAGAAGAGTTGAACTTCAAATCTAGAAAGAGTTCAAATCTAGAAAGAGTTGAACTGTCATCTTGCAGGGAGGGGGCATTTGAGGTGGCACAAGTAAGCTCTGGCCCCCACTCTACACCCCCACCCTATGATCTTCCCTGCCCTGTCACGCATGCCTATGTTTTCCCACGGGTGCAATAAGCACTGCCCGTAGGTCTCGCTTGTGACGAGACGGTCTAATCTGCGAGCGCTCCGTGACTTGACGATCTGCACAATAAATAAATAAAAGGCTCGTAATTCTGAAATCTCACCACTGTCTGAGTTTGGAACTGCACTGGCGGGAGGCGGTGATGGACCCACTATCCCTCCCACACACACACACGGCTATGTGTCTACATGTGGTTTTGAGATGTGCGTGGGCGCTTATGCCGTCAGACATCTGGGATACAGTTCATCGCGTTATCGTCAGCTCTTTGGCGGGTAACGACAGGCACGGCTGAGCGGGGAAGCTCTCTCACGGACAGCTAAACCCGGGTGCCCGCGTGCCTACCGAGCCCGCGCACAACGGCGACCCGATGCTACGTCCATGCGCGCACGTCCCTGAAATGCAGCGACACAAAACCTTGTTAGGAGCTTCTCGTCTCCAACATCCATTTCAGAGGCAGCGGCAGCTAAAAGTGGCGCAGTGGCATGACTGCACAGACACGAGTCCGAGAGCTTCCATGTGGAAGAAGCGTGCCAGTGATTCCACTCCACAGCTCCCAGGGTGCGCTGTTCGCATCGTTTGCCATCAATCCCGGGATTGTGAAGCGTGGTAATTCACTGTCGTAGCGTTTATTTTCACACGCGCATACAGAATAAAGGTTTGGCCAGATTGCTTTGCATGAGCTCTCCCTGCCGGAAGCAGCAGTGAGCTTGGCAGTGACTAAGCAACCGTAATTAACCACACCTGCTGCAATTCGGCAGATACTGAAAATGGCTCAACGTTGTTTTAAAAATGTACAGCGTTTGTCACCACCAAAGCTCTCTGCCTTGAAGAAAACATTCGCTCGATCGTGGGCCTGCTGAATGCGTTTCCTGCTCTTCTCGGCGGCTCATTTATCATTGCCATTTCATTTATCACAGTGCGAGAGATGCGCATTTGTGCTCGTGCATAAAATGTAACGACTCTGTGTGAACCAGTCAATTAAGTAATTGCTGCAGGGAAACTATTATCCCAAACCATCGTCTGCTCAAGTTTTTCCAGGAAACCGCTCACACCTGTGACTGCCACGTAACTGAATGTCCCTGTTTATAGAGGCACTTGACACAATTCCCTCCGATACAAAGATTAATTGAATGGTTTCGCCATGACTGTTTCACGATTGGCTGATGCTGATTGGCCATCCACCGCAGTATTTCCACCTAATCTCCGACACCGTGTTCCTGCATTTTTACCTGAGCACTCTAATATTCCCCAGGTGTGTGCTATTATTGCTACTGTATATGGGAGCACCCTTACGATTCGTGGGAATAACGCTTTTTTTCCCCACCAGTGGGGTGTTCTTGTCGGTCGACTGTGCACAGTCTATACCAGTGAGCACTCGTTGTTCTAGCAGTGGAAACATTGGCTGCCTCGCCAGGATAATTACCGCCCCAATTGCTGATTGTGACATTCTCACCCCCCCCCCCCCACCAGTTCAAGGCTTGCAATGGTAAAAATCTGCACGTATTAAAAACAACTAACCAAAAAAAATATTTTCGTTGCACAATTTGGCAGCGCCGTATTGTTTCCATTGCCATCGTATTATCTGTAAAACGGCCTAATTTACCAAGTTTCTATATACACAAGCAAGTAAACAACGGAACAATAATGTAAAATGTTTATTATTTTATAATATACGCACACACACCAACGGGGTAGTTTTAATTAACTATTAACTATTTTTATTTTACCAGGTAAGGCCCACTGAGCTTATACAGCTTATTTCTCAGAAGCGACCTGGCCACAAATGATAGCTCAATGAATTGGCGTATCATTTAGGAATTTATAGCAGCCAAATACTCTAAACGCATGCCGATTCTAAATGTGAGGAGGAAAACCAGAGGACGTGGAGTAAAATCCACATGAGCACGGGGAGAAAGACATGCAGGGTCGTGATTGAATCTGTGACCTCCTGCATACCCGGCGAGGGAGTGAAAATTTCGCCACCGTGGCACCCCGATGGTGTGGGTGCTCCTAACTCTTCCAAGATGTCTGGCCAGAGTGGAAGAGTTGGTGAGATACCCTCTCGTGGAAGCACATTTTGCCAGCGGCGGCATGGGCAAGCAATTGCAGGGCTGTGCCTTTACCTTGTTACCGTTTCTCACACAAACAGAGCCGAATGCCTCCCGAACTTTGTGTTGGGGGGGCGGCAGTCCACACACGCCAACGCCGCCGTCTGTAAGAAGCAGGCGACGTTCCCAGGGTTGAATTTCAGCGCCACAACACCGTGCCGCAATTTCCTCATAAAGGATTTGGCATCCCGAGTGCTCAGCCCCATGCCAAGCATCTTCCCGCGTTGCAGGAGCACAACAGGAACCGTAGGGCCCAGCGTGGTGTGTAGAGATGCGCCCACGCGCGCGGGACGCCCGCGTGGCGCCCCGGCCAGCGCTACCGTCTTAGTAATTGCCGGGCTCCGATCGCCTTGAACTTGTCGGGGGGGTGGAGGGGTTGAGGGAGAGTACGGAGGCAGGGGGGGGGCCTCTGCCCTTTCTTTATTATTTACTTTCTCTCTGTGCGATTGATCGACTCGGGTCAGTCTGGATGCCTTGGCCTGAATTTGTAATCGAGACAGAGAAATGTATGGTTTAATGTTGACGTTAACAGATCATGGAGGGGGGCGCACGCGCAAGGCCCACGCTGCTGCTCGTGGTGTGCGGTGGGAGGCTACTGCTGGGTTTCTTGCACGGCTTCAAGTGTGCGCCAATGTGTCATTGGCATTTTTGTCACGAGACTGTAAAATTACAGTTGTAGCTCACAGGCTCTGTTATCCCCTTTACGCCTTGATACTTTTATGCAGATTCTTTGTGGAATATTCGTAAGAAAAAGTATATACCGCCTATGCATTCCCTCCACTATTTCAATATCACAATTAACGCGAGGCTTTTGTTTTTTTCAGCGTGGTATATTTGACTCATAAACAGATTCTTGAGTTGCTAAAAATACGTTCGCATTCCCTTTCACCGACAGATGAGCTGGGTGATCTGTGAGGACTGCATAGCGTCTAATAATAGCGATTTGTTCATAAGCTCTCATTGAGACTGTTTCTATACCATGCCAGCACCTTCTTCTCGAGAGAGAGAGAGAGAGACAGGGCGGGCACACTTGTGCGTTATCTTGCAAGCATACATTTCATTTACTGCAGGAGTTTAACAGCCAGTCGTCACCAATCACAGTTCAGCAGTTTTGAAAGTCACGTACGCTCTGACCCCTCCTGCCCCAATTCTGGGTTGAGTCACCAGTTTTCTCTTCCGTCCTCTTCTCCCGCAAGTTCACCCTGGTGTGGCACTCTACCAAGGGGCCCCGTCTGCTGCCGGTCTAACCCCGACGCTCCACTGACCCTTGTGCTCATTCTGCCCCCAACCCCTCTCCGCACCCCTTCTCTCTTCCCCTCTCCCGACGCTCGACGCGTAGGTGAGGACGGGATGGCCGGGGGTGAGTACCTCCGCCCGGAGGATCTCAAGGAGCTCGGTGACGACTCTCTTCCCTCGAGCCAGTTTCTAGCTGACAGCATCACTTACCTGGGCTCCGCCAGCCTGGCCAGGGGCCTCTCTGCCAGGTACGACCGATTTAGCTCATCACTCACGGCTGTTGCTGCTGCTGCGATGGCTCATGATCACAAGCCGCGGGAAGCTACTACCGCGCATCTCATTTAACGCAATCCCGTTGAGTGAGTTGCACTCACGCTCCGGTTGAATTCAAGGTCGTCACTCGACCACCACCATGATGCTGGTGATAGCTCTCTGATGTCGGGAAATGCTGATGTCGCGCGAACTCGTCACCCACCGGCACAGCTTCGAGTCAGCTCGTGAATGGGGTTTTGATGCAGCAGCAGCAATGATTTTGCCAGTACTCTTAGCATATCCACCGTGGCCTTTTCATGATACTTGTGCCTGCATACATATTAGGTCAAAGGTGCTTCTTTGCGATTACTTGCTGCTGGTTGAACGGGCCGCTACTAGAGGGAGCGCTCGAGGGTATTGGGGCCTACTATTCCATTCAAGCCAGACATCGTGCATGAATATCCATACATGTTAATTAAAGATTACATTTTTCAAAGGGAGTGACAAATGGCTACTCTGCTTTCGTCTTCTTCTACCCCCGTGTTCAAATTAATCTGACTGTCTGCTGTAGCAGAAATGCACAGCAGCAGGCGTTTCCACGGTGACAATGCAGCCTGTTATTCCCATTATACATCCCCAATAACACCAAGCTGGCAGAACAATCTGTATTCTTTGGTAACAATCGCCAGTTTGAACGTCAAAGTGTCAAATCGTGACCCTTTTTGTGTCCTTTCCATGTCACCTGACGCCTGCGCTTGAATGCGTAGATGCTGCGCAGTCAGCTGTCGGTTAAATTGCGGTTTTTTTTTGCACCCTCAACTTCACAGGCTCTGTGCCAGGTACCCGCATTGTGATTTTATCGCAGCTGCGTCTGCAGAGTTCGTGAAAGCAGGGTCGTTTCTGCACATTGTAAATACCGTACATACCGTGCTCGTCACCAATCAAGGAGGCGTTCTCCGCTTTGCGTTCACACGGGGCGCCCGTGCAGCCCACACTGTGGCCCTAGCGCTCGCTTCGCCGGTGCGCGTTTATATATTTTTTCTTCGCTCGCTCCTGTGCATTCCAGCAACTCTAACATTGCCGCTCCCGTTTGTTTCCGCGAGGCTGCGGGGCGCGCTGGCTCACTGGGTCACGACGACAAACAGCTCTGGCCTCGCTTGGCTTCGCCGCGTTGGGGCGACGCGGGGCTCACGACATCGCTGCGCGCGTTTCGTCCCCACGTTCTACCCCGTGTTCATATTGCGGCGTGCCTAGCTACCGGCCGCTGGCTCGACGTGCTGATTGATGGTGCCTGGAGGGCGCTCTGGCGGGCAGAATTTGGCGGGGGAAAAAAACTATAATTTTTCCCACGTGTTTTGAGCAAATGGGAACACTACGAGGAGGAGTAGGCACACGACGTTGACCCACTCCCGTCGAGCGGCGTTGTGGGGGTCTGTTGCGTGCGCGCTGTACGAGCCAGAAAACAGGTCGTCCTGCCCTGGTATTTCGAGCTCACTTGACGATTTCCCCACAACATGTATTACTTTTTATTAGCATTATCCCTGGGGAATGTGTGGAGAGTTCAGCCAATGAGCCTTGGACTCAGAAACACCTTGGAACCATACGGGAGACACAGTCGATGGTTAAATCATACGTGTTTATCAACTCAGAAAACCCTCTTTTTCTTCAGGAAGGGGCCCCTTGAAATATTTGGCCGTTTTGAGTTTGTTATTGAGCATTATTGTGCGTGGGAGTAGTTGGAGAAAACCCACAACCACGAGCGGATGACACTTAACAGCACGTGTCAAGGCCGAGCTGCAATTGTAAAGCTGGGCGTGCATTGCGCACATGGTGATGCACTCAGCTGACCTCCGAAACGCCCCGTTATGGGTGCTGAACCACGGCCATGTTGCTTCTAAACGCTCAATGGCCACCTTTACCAAACACCCACCGTCCCCTTCCTTCCTCCAACACCCTACCAGCCAGCTCACAGCCACGACACTCTCGCGGGGCTCAGCTACGAGCCGCACAGCAAGTTGAAGCGCCCCATCTGTTGCTCTGCGCCTGCAGATTTTCCATTGAATAACAACAATAATAATGACGACGATGATAGCGACAAGTTTAAAACTGAGTGTTCTCTTTTTTTCTTACTTTGTTTTTTCCTCTCCTGTTCCCTCCCTGGTTTGTATTCCTTCCTTCCCTCTGCTCCTCCGTTCTCCAGTTTGATGCCAAGGTAACGACTCTTCCTTCCCTGACCCCCCCCCTGCCCCTAACACCCCGGGCCTTGTTTTTTTTTTATAATTTGCTGTGTCCGTGCATTCATTGCAGCTGCTGAAGCAACTCATTTGCTTCGAGACTGTCGCGTGTCGTGTGTGTGCTTGGTGTTTCATGTGGGTGTGTGTGTGTGTTGTATATAAATATATATCGCTCGGTTTGTGTCATTCATTTATTTAACTGAGAAAAAAACATTTTCAAGAGGGAAAAAGGTGAGCTGTTACGAGGTTCTCACGTTGTGTCCGTGTCGTGGTTCCATGCGTGGTTCAATGACCTTGCTCCATGAGCTCATTGTTTCAAGAGTATTGCGAGACCGAGTGGCTCATGACTCATTCCCATCATTTGCTTTGATTAAACCTCAGCAACCTTGGATTCAAGGCATTTCATTACCTGCATGCCTAACTGCTGTGTTGTATTTTGTCTCTTTTGTCTGTCTGTTTTGACTTTCATTTGTTCCGACCTTGTTCTCACCCACTCCCCCACTCGACCACTCGCCCACTCATGTTATTATACATCTTCCCCTGTGCCCATGTGCATGGTCTGCGCGCGAATCGATTTGCGCACGTGCGTGGGCATGTCTGTGTGCGTGTGCCATCCAATATAATTCACCTCCCCTTTTACCGTTACCTCTACTGCACAATTGGTCCTGACCAACCGCACATTCTGTGACGAATTCACCCACGTGTATCCACTGCGCCCGGACTGTCCGGTGCACGTTCGTCTGCGAAATTCCCGTACGGCCGTGTCAATTGTGCAATTTTTTATTTAAATACCACACGCTCTGGTTTGCTACCTCCCGCTCACTCCCCACGTTGCTCCCTTCGCACCGCTCCTCTCTCCCGCTCCTCACCCGGGCCGCACGCACGCACGCACGCACCGCCTGCCCCACTCCGCAATGCACTACCTCCCGACTGCCCCGCGCCCTTCTTTGCTCTTCCGCTCGAGCAGCTTGCGTTCGTTCAGTTCCGACAGGTCGTTCACGCCCAGCCGCGGCTCGCTGCTCCGAGACAGTGGCTCGCTGCTCCGAGACAGTGGCTCGCTGCTCCGGGAGAGCGGGCCCCTGCTTCGCGACAGCGCTCACAACGAGGAGTTCCTCTCGCCGCCCGGCATGCAGGTACAGATGTTGTCACTCTCCCCGGCAAAAGCTTTGTCGGAAATTCCAGCTCACCTTGATTTGATGCACTTGGGAGCGGTGAGAAAAGTGAAATTGGGCTTGGGCAGGACACGTCGCCGAATAAAGGTATGATGGCCAACGGACAAGAATATAGCGATGGAGGGATGGCCAAGGAATGGAACTCTTCTGGGATGACGTCAACCGGGGAGATGGAGCGATTAAATCGATACATTGGAGTGCTGTGTCACAGGATCGTGGGAAATTGATGGCGGCGGCTTTAGGCCTTCATCCAGCAGTAGATGTATCATGGCTGATGATGCATTTACCTGCAGCCTCTGGTTGAATCCCAGAAGAGTTCCTCCACATTTAGCATCATAACCCTTGGCTTGCCAACGCCAGCATTGTACCTTAACTCTTACTTAACCCTGCCTCATTGAGAAATGTTATTGCATCACATTGCTGTGGAGAAATCTCTAAAATAATGCAATGTATATGTTTATTTGTACACTCTATCTGTGTACATTTAGTTGCGTTGATTAAAGCGCAGTTCCGATTCTGATGACCTGGGTTTGAGCCCGAGTGTCTGTAACTGCCCTGAACCTCCTCCCTTGGTTCGTTCATTTTAACCTGGAAATGCTTTGTAAATGGGGGGGGGGGGGGGGGGGGACACCCACGTGGATGACGGCCACGCGAGTCTCTCACCCCACCTCCCCATTTGTGTGCCTTAATAGGCACTCAGACGTTAGGAGTTTTCACAGCAAGACAAGATAAGCAGTGAAGAAGTCCGGAAAGGGGTCGTGGCAGGCGAGTGTCGTAGACATGGTTGGGCAGGACGGGGGAGGACTGGTTACCGATACAGGCGTCGGAGTGGTCTCCAGGAGCCGAGGGCCTGGGAGAGCATCATTGCAGATGTTGGAGGTCGCTGCGTGCCTCCTGTGCAGCAGCTTCTGGATCTGGCGGAGGGGGTTAGGGATGTATTGGCTAGGAGTTGCATGAGGTGGCCTCCGACGGTGACGTCTCGATGCCTCGATCGATGCGTTGTGGACGAAATTGTGGACCTCCCCATCTGTGGATGTCTGCGCGTGCACAGTCACGGCCGCTGTCGATGCCCCGAGATCTGGACCGAGCAGCCTCCTTGCGGCAGCAAAGTTGGACTCCGGGAATCACCGACAACGTTACCTTTCACCGCAGCCCGATTCAGTCTGGGTAAGAACGCTTCACCGGTCTCCCTCCGGCACGCAGCGGCGTGACGAACCGCCGCACACTCCGCTCCACCGGAACACACGAGCCGCTCGGTGCCTTCTTGCTCCAGCGGAGGATGCCGATGTTTGCCTCTGCTTCACGGGCAGGGGAGCTTCTCTTCGGCATCCTTCAGTTTCTTCTGCGTCGAACCCAAACTGCCGGAGATGCCTTCCCCCACTTGTCCACAGCAATGGGCTTGCGCTGAGTGGGCACTCAGACTCGTACACTTGTTTAACGTTGTGGCACACAATTCTCTTTGTGTAGGTTCAACGTGAGAGAAACACCGAGCCAAGCCCGATGGCACAATGGACGTAAATAAGTGCATGCGTTTAATAATAGGCATATTCAAGTAGCAGTGGCTTTGATAAGTAATTACAGGGCGGAACCTTTTACACAAAGGTATGCACCACCTGTATTCTGAACGTCCATGTATCTTATCAATATTTAATATATATTTAAATGTGTATTGAGTTTGACTGAGTCGCAGATGTAGACAGGGAGGCAACACATTTATTCACACGGGATAACTTAACAGAATAACAACCTATGGTGGTGACCACCATCAGTCTAACTGCACTAGTTACCACATGACTGTTACTACGGACCAGGACCAACAGTTTGGGTCCAGGTCCACGGCTTATATTCTCTGCGGCGTGGCCGGCTCCGCCCTTGGCCACGACCACCTTCCAGAATCCTCGGGAAGGATCTGGATCCCAACCACGTGACCACCCGTAGCCCCCACTTGGGCCCTTTGTAGACTTAACTGGTCACGTGTCCTCCCGGGTCAACCAGAGTGCCATGGCCTCGAGTAACCTCATCCCTCGGCCGGCACTCCCACATCCTATCCTGTAGGGGCCGGCACTGTACGCAAAGTATGGTGCCATCCAGCGCTATCAATCAGCGCTCACCGGGCCCCTCTAGGGCCGGTACTACGCCCACACCGCTGTGGTATCCGCGATGTCGTTACACCGCACGCCGTGCCTCTCTTGGGCCGGCACTGTACGTTGACATCCCACGATGTCACTACAAATGTATTGTATAGTTGGTTAAATGACGTGCTCGGCTGAATATCCTGTGTCTCTCTCGCAAGGGACAAACACGAAACACCGAACAACGTTGAGGTTTTCTCGCCGCACGTTTATCCTTCCGTCAACCAGCTAAAGAATCCCAATCATGTAACCTTCCCCCGCGTCCCACTGTTTCTGCCCCCCGCCCCCTGCCTACGTGGCCTCGTAGCTTCCTCGTGAGCTTCATGGTGGACGCCCGTGGCGGCTCAATGCGGGGCAGCCGTCACAACGGCCTGCGCATTGTGATCCCTCCGCGCAAGTGCGAGGCGCCGACGCGGGTCACGTGCCGGCTGGTGCGCCGGCCCCGCCTGGCCGTGCCGCCGCCCATGGTGGACGGGGAGGGCCTGGCAAGCCGCCTCGTGGAGGTGGGGCCCGCGGGGGCGCAGTTTCTCGGGTAAGAGACTGCACGGGCGCACGCGCGCGCCCCCCACCCCTCGCGCGCGAGACTTTGTCGCGAAAAATTGCTGGTTCGTTTTAGGAACGTCGTCGAATTAACATTTATTTGAGGGCTTTTAAGCTGCTGTTTAGGGCTCGGAGCGGACTTGTCTTAAGGAGATTATTCGGTTGTACGATACAGCTCACTCCAATTTGTTTCAGCAGTGGATCTCATGAGCAAGTTTCCTGAATGTCACTCTGATGGGCTGATTATTATCTCTTGATGCACCACTCCCATAGTTAGTGGAGTGAATAATAGTCAGCTCCACAGGAGTTTGACAGTGTGTCACTGTTTAAACTGACATTTTAATAAATGTTGTGATGCATCAGTTTATTCGCCCTCTGATATTGCTCACAGCTGTTACTGTTGATACTGTGTTTTACCTTGGAACTGCCCTTATTTCAGGACTTTATACAATTACTCTATAAAATTGGTTTTGTATAGCACCTAAATGTGACCACATCTCAACGCACTAGACATTACAAGGCCTTGTGGGTTGAGTGTACTTGAGATTTTTCTCAGAAACTTGAAGGTGTTGTATTTAAATGTGTATTTCAGTATTTATGATCGTAACGATGTTAATCGTGATACTGGTGCTGTTTTTGAAACGGAGTATATTTTCAATGCCGGCAGTCAGTTGCCCTAACAAATTACCATTGTGTCTCTGCAATCAACCACTGCACTGTTGTTTACAGGTTTGGTTTTTTTAAATGGAGATTTGATGAAAATGTATTTTTGATCAGTTTACATGCGTAAAATGTGCTCATTACAAATAACAATAATAATTAAACACGCATATAAAGTAATTTATTTCACCAGCCCAGTGGCAGTTTTCCATTGCGGAAACAAAAAAAGAACGTTCAAATCTGCACACAAGGAAATTATTAACTAAACTTTGTGCCGGTGTGTGAAAAGTACAAAAAATGTTTAGTTTTTTTTTTAAATGTCACGACTTGGTTTTTTCCTCCTGCTTATTTGCGGCTGCTGCTGCCACGAGCTTCGTTTTTGTGGCCCCTGCTGCTGCTGCAATGCCCAGCGCGTGGACACGCGAGCAGCCGCACTGCGCCGCAGTTTTGGCTTCAATCGCTTTCTTAATCTTTTTGCGCGATGGCCCTGCCGCGGCACTTTTTTTTATCTCCGGGTCGGGGCACAAATGCAGATTCGGGAAATGTTTTTTCCGCTGGGACAGGACGATTTTTAATTAGCGCCGGACAGCATCTAGAATGTCGCTGCATGTCCAAGGAGGAATATGATGGCTGTCCTTGGAGCGCAGCGCAAGGGATTTTTCTGTAGGGCAGCACGATTATTTATTCTCTAACGCTCGGTCAACTTTGTCTCCGTTTCCCACGCGTGTCTCCCTCTTTTTTGTCCCATCCAAATCTCTCTCTGTATCTGTCTCTCTCTCTCTCTCTCTCCTGCTCTGTCTGTCAGTCACTTCCTCTCTCTTTCACTCTCACACCGCTGCTTTTGATACAAACAACCTCCCCCCGTCCCTCCCCCCGTCCCTCAAACCCTTGCCCTCACCCCTGCCTCCCCATCGCCCTCTCCCTTATTAATCCCCTGCTTCCCCCAATTCCCCTTAACCGTCTCCCATCGCCCCCCCCCTCCCCCCCCCCCTTACCTCCCTGTGCCATCCGCTATCAGTAAGCTACACCTGCCGAGCACGCCCCCCCCTCTGAACGAGGGAGAGAGCTTGGTTAGCCGCCTGCTGCAGCTGGGCCCCGAGGGGACCTCTTTCATAGGGTAGGATGCCTAACGGCCCCCCCTTTGCGGCTGAGAAAGAGCCACGCTTTTATCTCCTCTTCCCGGGCCTCCCCCCCCCCCCCAACGCTGCCCCAAGACCCCACGCCCCAACCTCCCACTCACTTTTACGTTCCTCATATCATACAGCTTTCTTTGTACCTTTGGTTTTCTTCCTTTGTTGTGGTTTTTTTTAGTTTTTACCTTGATTTGTTTTCTGTTCCTGAAGCAGTGGATCGTGTTTGCCCTGAGTTGCTGCCATCCTGCCGAGTATTTTGATTTCCTATCGTTTAACCCTTTGGTTCCTTGCCGTCGTTCCAATAGGACTGGGAATGTGCAAGTCCGCATCGTAGTTAACAGCCTGAAAAAGACTTTGAGATCGATCTATATCTTTGCCTGTCAGGAGAGATTTGACGACTCTCTCCCTTGACACGCACAACGCATATGCCTGCTCCGATTGCCTTCGCTTTATTTTGACCCGACAACGTAAGCTTAACGTGCGCAGAGATTATTGTTTATTCCGGGCAACATTTGAGCACTTGCAGGCCTCGGTCCATTTGCCTCCTTCCCCGCGACGCCGCTTGCGAGTGAGGCCGCACGCTGCGCCGTGCCCACATAACCGCGGGCGTGGGCAGCCACCTTTGGAGAAGCAAATCAACCCCCGTGGGCCTGTGCTCAGCCTGGGTCACGCTGTGACCTCCGCTGATGTAGAGAGAGAGATAAATAAATCAAACCAAACTGCGTACAGTATATTGTACAAGCAGACGAACGCTCACATTTGGCAAACGCACAGCGTGTCGTCATGTAAATCTGCAATTTTCCCTTGCGTTCATTCGGTAATCTTAATGTATTGGCTTGTGGACAGTGTTTCCATATCTCCCGTTTGGCTGCTGGTGTGGGCAAGCAGACCGCACAGTTTCCCCATTCTGTGCCGAGCCAAGGAGCCCGGAAGTTGCTCGGACTCGAGGGAAGAAAAGTCCCTTGTCAAATCAAGCGGGAAACCAATTGTGCAAAAACAAATAAACATCTCGTTTGTTTCTTTGTTTAGTATCGCTACGTAATGTTTTCTTCCAGGGAGATTTACCATCACATTTCTCGCTAAATGGTTTTCATTGATTTAGTAGAGTAAGCCTAAATACCCTCAAGAGGTGCTCTCTAGGATTCTCTCTACTCGAGTTTCCTTCCGCCAACAGTGCCGTGAGCGTGCATATTTCAGGGCTGCACCTTTAAATATCCGCCTATAGAATTGGAAAGCCAATGAGAGATTATGATTTAGCACTTAATTTTGTCTCGTGGTTTGTTTCATTTTGCGACGCACTTTCAAGTGTTCAATTATCACATTTGTTTGGAGTTGGACCAATCGAGGCAATGGGTTTCCACCCACTGCTGTTGAAGCACAGGGTCAAAGGAGCGGACATTTGGCCTCACAGAGACCTCGGGGTCTGCAGTCAAGGGGGTATCCGTCCACAGCGCTTTGACCGTGATACCACCACGGAGGGCTTTCTCACATTCCCAGGCCTATTCAGGTTTTTCCGTTGAATAGTTTGCTGTTCACGACATACCTTTTTTATTCCCTATTTATTTTAATGGTACCTATTCGACTGGAAGTAAATGGAAATTGCCAATGATTAATTGCTTCGATAGTGCCTGTAAATGCGCGTTAATGGATGTTAATTACCTGATGTAATGCCGTTACGATCAATAATTTTGGACGTGTGCAAGATAAATGAAATTTGCAAGTACACTGTGTATTCCCAATTTCTGTGTTGTACAATAAAAGCAAGGCATGGGTTTAATGTATTGTGTGAAGTGGTAGTAATAGTATTAATGCATAAGCTTAAGCTGAGACAGCATGCCTAGATAACTACCTCACTACAGCACGGGCACTGTGTTTGGAAAGGGGCACAGTCCACATTCAGAGTGTTTGGCTGCGAGAAATGTCCACGCGATAAGCCACTTCGTTGAGCTGTCATTTGTTGCCAGGACACTTATGAAAAAAGATCTCTATAGCTCCAGTGGGCCTTACCTGGTAGCATAAAATATGTGTTTAATAGTTTTTTTTGTATATATATTTAAAAGTTTGTTCAGGTTTCTGTTTTTTAATGTTTAACACATGTCGTGAGCAGATGAGTAATACGCACAACCGTCAACGTCTCTCCGCCTCTGCTTCCCGTGTCCCCCCGTGCCGGGCTGGGTGGTCCCCCGCCGCCACGCAGGCCGGTGCTCGTGGAGATCCCGCACTTCGCTTCGTTGCGCGGCCGCGAGCGGGAGCTCGTCGTGCTGCGCAGCGGCGATGGAAAGACGTGGAAGGAGCACCAGAACGACTGCAAGAACGACGACCTCAACGACGTGCTCAACGGCATGGACGAAGGTGCAAGAAAAACCTCTCCAGGCCGGGCTCAAAAAAGCCACAAATGGGCTCTGGGCTGGAAGACCACCTGTGAAGGCTCTTGGAAATAAATGAATACGATGACTAATACATCATTGAAGGCTGCCCTGAAAAAAAAACAAATTTTTAAAACGTAATTGCAAAGCATGAATATCCGACCAGATCACTGTTCATGTGTGAAATAAGCTGCACAATGGTTACAGCATGCGATTATGCACTGGCAATTCTGAAGCTGTGTTCCTCTCTCTCTGTTGTAAGAAATTTGGCAAGCCCATTCTGTCGCCCTATAAAAAGGCTCTCCGCCCAATTAGTTTGGGGCTATTAGAGGTTTTATTTACTCGGCAGTGTGTGAGCTCCTGTGGGCTGTGCATGTTGTGGCCAAAACAGCCCTGTCTTGTGTGCTCAAGTGAGTCACTGAAATGATACTCGCACGGTTTGCTATCGCAAATAATTTACACAGTGACCCCAATGTTACTTTCATTATACTGGTAGGAACCTCCTGTTTACACCAGCCCACAGGGGATTATTGTGTCCGTCCGTCGTGCATCCAAAAATGGGAGGGGTGGGGCTGGGTGGAGAGGGGAGGGTAGGGAGGGGCTGGGTGGGGAGGGTGGGGAGGGGAGGGTGGGGAGGGGCTGGGTGGGGCTGGGTGGGGCTGGGTGGGAGGGGTGGGGATGGGTGGAGAGGGAATGGTCACCCCGTGGTGCCCTTATAAAACTCAACGTTTAACCTACTCACACCGGCTTGTGCCCGCTCTCACAGTCGGCCATATTTACGGAATACACCACGCCGCCGTTGACCCTGGCCATTGACCGAGCAACCCAACGTTCCTACCAGCTCCCTCCGCAGGAATGTGTTTATTATCGTCACGCTTGTTTATTCAGGAAAACCTCACCGGGTCTCAGCACTTCTTTTCAGAAGAGTCCTGGCCAAGTTTTCGCAGTAGAGGGCAGTGTTGCTCTGTGTCATCCGAACTGGGTAATTTGCAGGTAATTACTTTCAGCATTGGGACGTTTGGCCAATTATCAGTTACAAGATATGTTTTAGTTAGCTGTGGGAGGAAACCCATGCAGGACAGAGTGAGAACACGAAAGGTGGCCGAGTCGGGAATCGAACACAGGTACTCTCCCAGTGAGGCACGAGTGTTACCACTGCGCCACCCACTGTGCCAGGACATTGTACGTTGTCGTAACGTACTGCGGCCTGACTGTGAGTAATCTTTATGATCGCGTGGCCGTCGCGTGCTGCCTGTCACTGCGCACAGAGGACATGTGACTTGCAGCTTAATGGCCATCCATAAGAGAAGCCGCCACTGGGTATCGCCACGTCGTAAAAATTAAATTAGAAATCACATGAGGCATTTTAAATGCTGACAAATGTGACATGAAATATATTCTCCAAACGGAGAAAGTGCCAAATTTTACAAAGGAGCGTTGGTATTTTATAACAGTAATTGATTCAGAATATTGGCGAAATGCTTTTGCTTTATAAAAAAAAAAACAGATGCTTATTTGAACAGAATCTTCGACTGTTTCTCGTTTTAATATTTTAGAGGACATTTTTTTGCCCAATTGCAGCAAATAAAATGTAATCTTATTTGAGAAGGTTCATCCAGGGTGCGTATACCCCAAAAATATTTAAGATTATGGCTCAACCACCAGGCATAACTCTGCATAGCTTCTGCTAGGGCTAGGGGTGGGCAGTCGAAGGCAGTGCAGCAAATACCATTGTTGCACTTTACTTCTATGCTCCCACATATATACTCTCTACCTTCACCAACCCACACTGTTTAGCATGATGACGTATGGTCAGATGACCCCCATAGCCCACACGGTATGGGGAAGCCATCATCCAGCAGTGGACTGACACAAGGCTGTAAACTTTGATGCAGACGCTCACTGTCTTTAGCTCACACACCAGCATGTGCACGAAGACAAAGATCCTCCAGTGGGCATGCAGACTGTTAGGGCAAGTGCCGTTAGCGAGTAGCTATGAAGGCCGACACAGTACACGAGGGGGTGGGTGGCCAACACCACGCACGCCTTTGTCTCCCCAGTGGCAATGTTTACACACCAGACCAGGTTCTCATTTGAGGCTGAGTTGACGTCGGAGAGGCCCAGGACGAATTCAGATAATCGTCACTGGTGTTGGCCGGGAGCGGGAATCGAACTCGGGTCGCCGGGTTTTTATAGCACAGCGCGCGAACCGCTCCGCCACCACTCCCTACCTGTTAGCACCTGTGAAGACAGGCATGGCTCACAAGGAGGTAGTGGCCAGAACCACACCTGGCCACCTTTGTCTCCCCGCGTCATCGCTTTCCTGCCTCCTCCCCCCCACCCCACATCTCGGGCTCCCCTCTGCCGACCCCCATGCTGACCCCGTGCTGACCCCCATGCTGACCCCCACGCTGACCCCCGTGCTGACCCCCGTGCTGACCCAAGGGCTGACCCCCACACTGACCCCTACACTGACTCCCATGCCAACCCTGTATTGACCCCAGTGCTGACCCAAGCGCTGACCCCCGTGCTGACCCCCATGCCGACCCCCGTGCTGACCCCATGCTCGCTATCTCCCCCAGAGCTCGATTCGCTGGAGGAGCTCGAGAGGAAGCGCATCTGCCGCATTGTGACGCGCGACTTCCCGCAGTACTTCGCGGTGGTGTCGCGCGTGCGCCAGGAGAGCGAGGTAGTGGGGCCCGAGGGTGGCGTGCTCAGCTGCACCGTGGTGCCCGACGTGCGAGCCTCCTTCCCGCAGGGCGCCCTCACCAAACGCATCAAGGTCGGCCTCCAGGTGAGCGCCGCCACCGGCATGGCAACCCAAGCGTGGGCTCGTTTGTGTCCGGCGACAACACACGAGTGTGTCTGTCAGGTCTCAGTAAGTCTCAAGATTATTCTCGTACATTTTCTGTTTGCTTGTCATTTTTACGTGTGGAACAAGGTGAACAAAGCATGGGCCTTGCAAGTGAATATTAGTCTGCCATGACACAGCGATGTTGCTGTTGATTTTTTGCAATGAAGTCATTTGCAATGTCAATTTTTCTAATTCGTGCAAATTTGGACTGTGGTGCCGATACATTGCATGCTTTTTTTTATACGTCTTTTTCCCCACAGGATCATTCATGTCCACTGTACAGCAGGCGACGCACAGTGTGGTCATACACCTACTGTATTAACCAAGGTGGCCAGCGGCTAGAACCACAAACCTTTGAAACGAGTGGCTGAATGCACTGCCACTCGGCCACGTCACCGCCCCAGCAAATGAATTGACAGCATAATTATTGAATGAACAAGCAAGGCGATTGTCATTTTCACATGCAGTAGGCTTTCACGAGCAATATTATCCATAATAAAGGTTTTTTGGGTTATATTGCATAAACAAAAAGTGCCAATTAGTTACTACATCACACCGGTGTGTTGGAGAGTAAACCTGTGACATTTACAATTCGAGTACGGCGCTTGGGTGGTAACTGCAGCCAGCTTCATCAGGCGGGAGCCTTGGAATGCGAAGAAGTCCTCCTGTTTGGTCTTCAATAACGGGAGTAAAGGTAATGTCATCGCTGCAGTGGGCCTGTCAGGTTTCGAAGGAGATTGTGTGAATCTTTTGCAGGCCCACCCAGTGCCAGAGGACATGGTGAAAAAGGTCCTAGGCAACAAGGCGGCGTTCAGCCCCATCGTGACGGTGGAGCCGCGCCGCAGGAAGTTCCACAAGCCCATCACCATGACAATCCCCGTGCCGCAGTCCACGAGCGCCATCACGGCCGCGAGCGCCGACACGCGGGTCAACGGCTTCAACGAGACTGTGCCCGACACGCCGCCGCCGCTGCGGCTGCTGTGCAGCATCACCGGTGGGGGCGCTCACAACGACGCGCGTTGGTTTATTATGGGCGGCTGGGTGGTTGGTGCTGTCCGAACGCTCATGCCACCGCTGCGAGAAGCCCCCCCGGTTTCCATTGCCGAAGCGGGCATTCTTTCCGCGTGGAGTTTGTGCATTCCCTCCCTCTGTTCTGCATGGGTATCCTCCAGGTTCTGCGCTTTTTTTCCCATAGCTAAAAAAAAAACATGCAATGTTTCGGTGATTGGACAGACATCACGGTGCTGAAAATGTACCTGCAAATTACCCAATAGGGATTGCAGGACCCTCCTGAAAAATAATTTTGAGACTCAGTGAGGCTTTCCCAGGTAAACGAGCGAAATAAAAATAATTACGGAGAGCACATATTGCTTTCACACAGCCCTTTATCAACCCACTGCGAGATGAAGACCTCCCCATGCCGTGCGGGTCGGGGGAATTGTTTGACGATACTTCACCCCGCGCTGCTCCGTGTCAGTTGGTGAAGAGGGATGTCCAGGACTGGTTAAGATACCACTCACCACTCGTGTTTGCCATAGCCAGCAATCAAACTCAGACACCCGGGTTCATAGGACAGTGCGCGAATGAATGCGCCACTCCTCCCCTGTCCCACTATGCTCTTATGACATCGTTCCGTTTTAAACTTTACAGTGGGCGATGATTCGTCACGCTGTTTTGTTGGCATTTCCAATTGTGTCATCCGCATTTTCATTGGTTAGCAAAGCAAGGATGCCTTTATGTAATAAAAAAAATGATACTTAGAATTGTATGCATGTGCCCTAAAGCTGTACACATATTATACAAATATCTCCTGTGAAGGTGGGCACTTGATATTAATGAACACCTATTCAGGCCTGGAATGTGCACAAACGCGGTGGTGTGGTCAGCACCTCGCCTGGCCACTGAAGTTTAAGCACTACACGAGGTACACGTTTTAAGGCGAGTCAACCTAAGGGAGGCCCAGGCCCAGTTTCGATATTTATCACTGGATGTAGGCCGTGAACTGGAATTGAAGTCAGGATATCGGCTTCGTAGAACAGTGCACTCACCGCTACGCTACCTCACCCCATACATTAGAGGGCTCACTGTGATAGGACAGCCACACACTCACCAACCTCTTACCGTGTCCACACGGCTGATTCCTGTGGTCGCACAGGTGGAATTTCACCGGCGCACTGGGAAGACATCACCGGCACGACGCCTCTCACCATCACCACCTCAACAGTCTCCTTCACCACCAACGTTTCTGCCAGGTTACATGCACACACACGCACGTGCGCACACCAACTCAACCCATGACGGGTGTTTGTTTTCACTCGAGTCGAGTAAATGGCTGGCAAATTTTTCTTGTGACATTAATAACAATGAATCCGAGTGACAGTGAACTCAGTGTATTCGTTTTGTGCCAATGTGTTTACACGACATACCCAATGCCCCATTAAAAAGCTGGTCATTTGTGGACACATTGTGGCCACATGTTTGTATTCCTGGGGCCATTATAAACTCTCTTTTGCACATGACTGTAATTAATAAAACTTAGAAGTTTATTTTTAAATTAGTTGGCAAGGAAATCGTTTCGTAGATGTGCGGTGGATTGCTTCAATTTCTCCGTTGAATTTACAGAGTTGAGAGTGATTCATCACTGTGCGATCGGAGTTTCCTGCAATCACACCGCCGGTTTCCTTTTAATTTCCACTCGCAGAGGTTCCTAGTGAGCGGCTCTGCCATGAGACCTGCAGATTCGATATCACGTGGCCCAGTGTTTCCGAGGTACAGGTTCTCTCGTGGGATCGACAGTCGGGAGCCTGCTCAGGAGCGAGTCAGCGATCGAGTTCGGTTATGCTCCGAATTGCAACATCGCCGGTCTCTTCCCCCATCTGCTGCCCCGGTTCGGCCGCCCAGGTTCTGGCTGCTGTACTGCCGGCAGCCCCCGGAGGCCGTGAACCTGGCCAACCGGCTGTACCAGGAGGCTACCTGCGTACCGTATCTGGCCACGTTCGTGGTGTTCTCCAAGGCGGTGGAGGCGGTGGAGTCACGGCTGCGCTGCTTCTGCATGACGGACGACCGCGTCGATAAGACGCTGGAACAGCAGGAAAACTTCACGGAGGTGGCACGCAGCCGCGACGTGGAGGTGGGTACAGCTGGTTGTCGCTGGACGCTTGGCGTTTCACCACGCTCACAAACACAGCGACCGCACTCATAATCGCAGCCGCCGTACTGACAAGCACAACAACAGAAACAACCGTCATTCATCCCTAAGTGGTGGGGACATTATCACGGCGCTTGTGCCAAGCTCAGTGAATTTTGAGGCTACGTGAAGTGTCGAAGGCTCACTGACAGCAAGCCACAGAACAGACCCAGGTGCCATGGGTTGACTGATTGAGTTGACCGGCAGATGCACCAGCTGTGCTCTCCACTGTGCCAACTCTCTGCATTTTAGCCATCCAGCAGTCCGATCGTTGTTGTCGTTCCGCTGCCCCCTGTTTGTTGTTGGAGGGTGACTGCCTCCAACTCACCAGTAGCATCATTAACGAACCTCCTTCGCCGAGGCCGATCTTGACACCGTTAGTACCAGTCATCGGCAAGTCCAATTATCTCCACATCCTCCTGTATCACATGAGTCTATCTCTTCTCTAGCACGCACTGTGCCTGTTTAGCCCCTTCTATCCGGCCAAACAGAAGCTGCATGGGAATGCGGTGGCTAGGCATGCGGGCTACATGACTCAACCAACACAGCCTTGCCTGCCAGCAGAGCTCACTAATGGGACTGTGACCAGATATTTCAAGGATTTATGAGCTCACACAATCCAGTTTGGTTAAACCTATGCTGGATCATAGGCAGGCTAGCCTGAATTTTTCAAACCGGCGCAGATGTTCACTGCGGCCCAAGTGCCTATATCACGACCGGCTCAGGCATTAAAGTCACCTTATAAGACAACTATGTCCCAAAGGGTCACTTTAGACAGCACCCAGGACAGGAGGTCATGAAAGGCATCTGACTTATCAGTCTTGTCTACATCCATCCACTGATATTCATCTTATGTCAGTGCGTAAGCCACCACCATCTTCAACACCACCATTCTTCGCCTCTTGTTGATGGGCAGGCAAGCCCACAGCAATCTGGGTACTCGCAGCTTCCCTCACTTTGCTTCCACATTCCCACAACCCTTCATTATTTTGTTTAAAAGCAATGCCACTCACTCCCTGTTGTTTGGCAGTTTTCCTGCCCCGAGTGGAAGACTGTCCACCCCATGTATGCCAGAGAGGTCCAGGCGAAACTGGTCCATCATGAAGCTCCCTAATGATTGTGACCAGAGAGTCAGGGACTCCGAAAGCATGAAGAACAACCCAGAGCCCAGGCCTATTAATGGTATCATAGGCCTTGACCAGGTCAATAAAGCAGCGATGTAGGTCCTGTGGGAATTCCCTACACCTCTGCTGTAGCAGATGGACATAAAATATGGCATCTATGGTGGACCACCCTGGCCTGAAACCACATTGGGTCTCCGAAAGCCTCTACTCAGTTTGCCTGGCAAGGCAATGTTGAATAATAATCACCACCTTGCTCACCACCATGCTCACAAACACAGCCTCTCTCAAGGTGTGCGAGAGAGGGGATGGTCTAGTGGACCAGGGCTGGCTCAATTGTTGACACAGCAAGTTCAGTTTGTTCTCTTATAACCTGGCAGGAGTTGTGTCCCTGAAGAATGCCGCCTTTTGTAAAAATCGCGTTATAATAAATAATATATATTACAGGGTAAATCACAGTCTGCGATAACACGTGAGATGCGTACGCAGGCCGAACAAAGACCGAGGCACGTGGGTTGCATCTAAAAGCATCCAGCAGCATCCCACTGCCTTGTATGATGATGCTACGCCGAGGCAGCCGTACCACCACTTATTCCTACTCGCGCGACGTAGTTTAGTTCACTCATTCGCGTTATATACAAGGTTCATCCGGGTAATAAAAAAATATGTTCCCTAATACATTCATCGCATTATATACAATTCGAGTTATGAAAACAACACGCGGCGTCATAGGGAGAACAGACTGTGGACGACTGTCAATTGTACTTTGAGAGTGAGCGGCCCGTGCCTCGCTTGTCCTCTGCCGATCGCGTGTTCAGGTGATGGAGGGGAAGCCCATCTACGTGGAGTGCTTTGGCAACCTGGTGCCACTCACTAAATCAGGGCAGCAGCATTCCTTCAACTTCTATGCCTTCAAGGAGAACCGCCTGCCCTTCTACGTAAAGGTGAGAAGCGCAAATGTTTTGGTTTGAGTCATCGGGCCACTTGATTTCACATCAGTAAAATATCAATAACCAGCCACTTGTTACAATAACATTCACTCTCGAGATCATTGTGATGCGTGACACTTATACAATGAATATGCTGCATGTGTTAATTGAAAAGCATCTAAAAAGAGGAAAATGGAGTACAATTCCCACGAATAAAGTAAATTCATTTCAAATTTGGGAGACATGGGCATTGTCAGGATTCAAATTGGATAAATGTGTTTAACCATTAGAGGGCTGCAAGAAAGAGCTTAGTGTTCGAGATGGCCCGGGTGAGAAGGATTCTTGGAGATTTTAGACAGCGGAGACTGACAGTTGACGAAGTAACAAAACCGACTGGAAGTGAAAACAAATGTACTCGAGAAACGAAGGAAAAGAAAGATGACAGCCTCGTCGGGACTAATCTCGAGAATGAGCTGGGACGGGATCCCGGAGTTAGCGATGCTGCGCAATACACAAATGGAAAGAAACAGGAGCAGGGGATGATGCAGTCGGAGGGGGAGAAAGCGGAACAAGAGGCCTCGAAGAACTAGCAGTGAGACTGAAGGAAGCAGTAAAAATATCGGCTAGGGAAAGAGATGCAAGGGCGTAAATTAATTCGGCTCTTTTGAGCTGACGGATAACGCACTTGGCAATGACGGGAGGGTTGGCAGGGCAGAGAGGGGGAGAGATGGAAGTCTGCTGAATGTGTAGATGACAACTTAATGAAGAAGACAAAGTCGGTCTGAGGCAAAGGAGAAGAGGCAACTTCTGAACAAAATATTTGCATCTCACGTCGGGGTGGTTTTGTTTTGCGAGGGACGGCCGATTGATTGTGCGAGCGATGGCTCGGTGCGCAGGTGCGGGACGCTACGCAGGAACCGTGCGGACGCCTCAGCTTCATGAAGGACCCCAAGACAACGCGAGGTCTGCCTCAGCAGGCGATCTGTAACCTCAACATCACGATACCTCCTTACAAGAAGGTACAGCAATTCACTGGCTCTTTTGGAAAACAGACATTGTTGTTTGTTCGGAGTAGCACGGTGGCGGAGTGGTAACACTCTTGCCTCACAGCAATAAGGACCTGGATTCGATTCCCCAACTCGGGCACCTGTCTGTGTGGAGTTTGCAAGTTCTCCCCCTGTTGCATGGGCCCCTCCCACCTCTCCAGTTTCTTCCCCACAGATAAAAATAGCATGCATTGTATGTATGTTGAACTTCTTTCGCACCGTACACAGCGAACTGTGCTCATCGGAGGTGCATCGTAACTCGTATTAGCCAAACACATCCCAATGCTGAAAAATTATTGACATTTTCCTCGATTGGGTTTATGCATCGCTCCCCCCCCCCCCCCCCCCCCCACTGCAAAAACTTGGCAGGACCCTCCTACAACAAAGTCTTGAGACTCAGTGAGGCTTTCCTGGGTAGACAAGCTTCGTAATTCATAATATAGGTTTTTGGGTCAGATCGCGTTACTTATAAATGTGTCGTAACCCTCCACCACCCGACACGGCCAAACAGTAAAAAATGTGTCACGTTTTCAAAGGACAAATTAATTGACTTCTTTAGCCCACCGGTGTGCTGAAGAGAGAATCAACAGCATTTTAAATTTTGAGTAGTACGACGTTTCGCTGATAATTACAATCAGCTTCATCGGGCAAGAATGGTGAAGCTCTCCTGTTGCTTCCGGTCTTAAATAGAGCAGCATCAGGGTGACGTCATCATTTAATTCAATTCAATCTGGTGCAGTGATTCGAGGCAAGGAGGGGGAGGGTATTGTAATTATATAGATTGGTAATCATTCAATTGTTATTCATTGGTATTTGTTTCCCTTATAAGGAATTGTAATTGTATTTATTTGATAATACGCTTCCAGGCCGCACTAAGCCTGTAGCTGTCAGAGCGATTGAAATTATTTCTGTTTCTCTCAATTTCAATGGATTCTCTAATTAGTCTTGGCCAGTAATAATTAGTTTTACACAACACTTCAACGTTATCAAAATCAATTGAGTGTCCTTGTTGACAAGCATGCTCTGCCACTGCCGACAGTTGTGTTTGAGATAATTTAATGTTTCTTTGGTGTTCTTTTAGTCTTACACTGATGTTGCGTCCCGTCTGTCCAATATAACACTTCAACGTTTTCATAACGTTGATAACGTTGAAGTGTTGTGTAAAACTAATTATTACTGGCCAAGAATAATTAGAGAATCTATTGAAATTGAGAGAAACAGAAATAACTTCAATCGCTCTGACAGCTACAGGCTTCGTGCGGGCTGGAAGCGTATTATCAAATAAATACAATTACAATTCCTTATAAGGGAAACAAATACCAATGAATAACAATTGAATGATTACCAATCTATATAATTACAATACCCTCCCCCTCCTTGCCTCGAATCACTGCACCAGATTGAGTTGAATTAAATGATGACGTCACCCTGATGCTGCTGCTCTATTTAAGACCGGAAGCAACAGGAGAGCTTCACCATTCTTGCCCGATGAAGCTGATTGTAATTATCAGCGAAACATCGTACTACTCAAAATTTAAAATGCTGTTGATTCTCTCTTCAGCACACCGGTGGGCTAAAGAAGTCAATTAATTTGTCCTTTGAAAACGTGACACATTTTAAAATCCTTTATATTAAGTTCACTTGCTTGCTTGCGCGCTTATGACCGTGCAAATCTTTCGGTCGTTTTTTAACCCACTTCCCGTGATCCAATCAAGCTGACATTTTGCACACAGACTCGTTGTGCGTGACAGTTTATTTTCGTGAAAAAAAATTCCAAAATTTTACACTTTTTAGGAATTTTTTTTTATATTTAATTACCAATTGCTTAATGGTGGCAGGCAATCATCTGACCCATAGGTGGCAGCCATCTCAAGCCAGAGGACGAGAGGAATCTAGCCGCCCGTTTCAAAGACCAATGTCCTTATATACGACTTTCCTTATATTTAATTTAAAATACCAATGTGATAAAAATGAACTCTTACTCAAGAAAAACAGACATGAATAATAAAATAAAACCGATGCCACGCATATAAAGGATTTATAGTGAAAAACTTTGTTTTTACGGGTTAATTTTTTACTGTTTGGCCGTGTCGGGTGGTGGAGGGTTACGACACATTTATAAATAACACGATGTGACCCAAAAACCTATATTATGAATAATATTTGTCGCGAAAGTCTACGTGTTAAGCTTCGTAATATTATTAATCACACATGTGGCGACGTTTCCTCATTCTCCGACATGTTGTTTTATCATCCTCCAGGAGAATGAGTCTGAGAGAGACGATGAGGATGAGGTAAAGTTTACGGAGAGTTTTTCGCTGGCTGTGTTTCATCCGTCGTGTTTCATTGGTGCTTGTGGGCTATCAATCATTGTGTGAAGCATAAATATGACAGCACACAGACGAACAAACCTAAATAGATAATTTAATGTCTGTTCTATATTTTTCTACAATAAAGATATAGTGATACGATACGCAAATATATTTCCTAGTGTCCTTGAGTACCCTTGACAGTCAAACCTGCACACAACTCTGCTAATTTGCTCAATATGAACATTTGTAGTCATTGGTTTATATTTTATAAACTGTAAGGTGATTGTTTCATTATACGGCCGTTCACCTACTACATAAAATTGAAAACTTAGTGCTTTGAGATCGCTAATTTGAAAGTCTCTTCATGAAACGTTGTTCGTTATTATTCAAACTTCACAAATGTGAAAGGTAACATCGAAAACAGCAACGACGGTTTCAATGTGTACGGCATTATTTATTACAAAAACGAATAAAAATGTGGCAGGGTGGCAGCACAGTGGTAACGCTCGCGCCTCACAACAAGAAGGCCCTGGGTTCCATTCCTGATTTGGGTGCCTTTCTGTGTGGAGTTTGTTGTGTGCTCCTGCTGTGTTCAGCGTGAGTTTCCTCCGGGTTCTCCAGTTTCCTGCAATCGCTAAAAAAAAACAGCAAATGTAACTGATATTGGCCAAATATACCAATTATGACTCCATTGGGATTACACAGCAGCAGCAGCATCACCCCCTACTGAAAAAAACACTTGCCAGGACCCTCCTGAAAAAGAGTCTTGATTCTCAGTGAGGCTTTAGTAGGTAGCCAAGCACAGTAGTAGTAATGATAATACAAGATGGGTGAGGGTGTCAGGAGAGGGAGACACAGAGGCAGAGAGAAATAAACAATTTGGCACATCCGGGGTGAACCAACTGGGGCCCTGCACCAACAACAGCAAGGAGCCCCCAGGGATAGCCGGCGCAGCACCAACTGTCATCACAATCAGTATCTGTCAACTATTTTGGTGTTTCGTTAGTCTTGGGTCTAAATTTAATAACGACAGTAACCCATGCAAACCAGATTCGTTTAGATATCGTTTCGTGCAGTGGAATGGTGAACCACACACACATGAACAGGGCTTTAATGCATGCAATGTTTTCTTTACTAAAATCCGAAATACCGGTCATTAATATGCAACCAGTTGCTCGCTAACATTTCTAATACAGTTGCAAAGGTATTGGTATCAAAAAGCAAGTCCATCAGGCGATGCTCTGTATGCAAAAGCAATCAACATGAAACAACCCAATATATAAAGTAGTCAATGTGTATGCAGAACCGAAGTAGTTGTGATGCTTATTGATGAATTGACGTTAAGCACAGACGGGGTATATCGACTGCCTTCCACTCTACATTCATCCGCGTCTAGTGATGGGATATGGATATACTAATGTCTTGAATTGACCAAAATATACGAATTATTGTTTAAATTCTCGTCCGATCTTTCCCATTAGAAAGAGCAGTGTTCTCTCTCTCTCTTGAGGCAATATAGACTTTGCCAATATATTTGGACCTCCACAGTTTGGCCATAAATTCTCTTTTTTCAAAGATAAAGGTAGTTTATGTACATATGGCCTTGGTCCATGGCTGGTGCGGCGGCGCAGCTGATCGCTATGATGAGCACTTGTAGTAGGGGATATCTACGGCACATTGTGAGCCAACCTCAAGGCCTTTCTACAGGTTTCCCATTGTTACATAGCTCTCGAGCCAAAGTTAGACTCCTGTCTAAAAACTAAACTATTATTATTTACAAGGTAAGGCCCACTGAGCTATAAAGCTCGTTCTTCAGAAGCGACCTGGTCAAAATTGATAGCTCAACGAAGTAGGTCATTTTATAGCAGCCAAATGCTCTGCTTTTTTTTTATGAATGTTGAGGGAAAAACCAGAGGACCCGGAGAAAAATCCACACGACCACGGGAAGAATATAGAAACCCCAAATATACAGCAGGCATCAGGGTTAGGTTCAGACCTTCGACCTCCTTTATACCAGACGAGGCAGTTCACATCTCGCCACCGTGGTGCCCAAGGAACTTCTGAGCTGTGGTGTCAAGTTGCTTAACATGAGAACACTTTTATTCAAACAGCCATTTACGAATCATTTACAATTTTGATCATTATGATTAGTATAAAAAAACAATACGATTGAAACAATGAGTATTGAGTCCTACTTAACACTTAATGTGCTTTATATGATGGTTAAACCCACGGGGCAGTGTCAGAGGGCTGGGGCAGCCAGGGCAGTGTCAGAGGGCTGGGGCAGCCAGGGCAGTGCTCTTAACTCTAGCACAGGGTTGCAGTGCGGTACTGGGGCTTTGTAAATGGAAACTAAATGATCCACCGAGGCTGTCAGATAAGTTGACCGCGGAGTGCACAGAATCTGTGTCGCTCACCCCGTCAAGGCGCTAAGTTTAGTCGAGTGAAATTCTCTGCGTGCCACTTCAGATTTACGCCGCTGTCTCCCTGTTTATACGTCGGACTACTGGTTTGGTGTCACGTCAGGAAACTTCGTGGGGAGTAGAACAATGTCAGGTTTAATTTGTTCGCGATAAACTGTTTGCGTGTGTACACTGCGCAAAAGCAAGCAACACAGGGTGAACAAATGTACAGGAACATTTTCTGTGCACAGTTTTGCTGTGTATGCTATGTTTACATGTGAAATTACTCATTGGGGGTAGGAGGAGATTTAAACAATGATACAAAAAAATAACGTGTGGAATTATAATAACCGTGAATACACGAGTGCATGCCAGCTTCCGGTCTGAGCACAGAGGACATGTCATCTGATGACCGCACAACATCCTTGGGTGGGGAGTGACCAGGCAGCGCTTTGGCGGCGTGCGTGCGTGCTGCAGCTCCTCTAGTGGCTGTGCGTGTGTCCGCCCCTTACCCTAGCAGGAGCGGCTGGGCTACAGGCGGCAGCCCTACACGTCCCTGGCTTTACGTAAGCATTACGGCAGTCTGAACGCGCTGGGCTTGTTGAGTGAGTTCCATTCCATTACTAACCATCGCTGGCACGCGCGGGACACGGTGTTGCTCGCAGTGCACTGCTAGTGGGACTTGCGCACAGAAGAAGCTGCTTTGTCACGTCGCACATCTTGCAACGTGGCTGCGGCATGCATTTTCATTCGCCGAGTCGCTGCCGAGAGGTGGCAGGGTGGCTCAGAGGTCAGGGTGCTTGGCTGCTGCCACTGAGATCCTGGGTTAAATTCAGACGGTCACCCGTTGTTAAACTGGGCTCTCACGTGCAGTAAGTCGATTTGTTCGGCCCGGCCACCATTGGCTGCACGCAAATAAATCACCGCATTAACATTCGGGTCTGCACTTTATTTGGCAAAAAATTCCAGCTCTGAGATTGAAAAAATTATCAGTTTGTCACGTGACAAACGTTGGTCTATGTCGAGGGGTTGGAAAAATGCTGTTGCCTCCTGTGTGGACCAGAGGTCACTGGAGGGAGCCCTGTGACATCCGCCATGGGCCGCTCCATAACACACAGTGGGTTGTACCGCTCTGCGAGATGTCCGAAAGGACACTCCGTCTCGTGGCGTGACGCCGCTGAGAACACGCTCAGAATAAAACTTGAGCAGAAAGACAAATGTAAGGGGGAAGACGCCGCGTTGTTGACGTACCACGCCTCACCTTCCTCTGAGCTACAGTGCCAATCCATGACCTCTCCCACATTCCACTCAGAGATATGCACATTGCAACATTGGCCTCCATACCAGACACACGCAATCTAAATCTTATTTGGGCTGAAATGTTTTTGTTTAAATCTGTAGACAACAGTAATTCATTTTTGTTCCTAAACAGAAACTGATTATCTGGCTTTAACTACATGAACGGGTTATTCAACACACACGATTTGGCATCCTTTATACTCTACTGGTGTGTTTAATACCTGTTTGTTACAGTACAATTAGGGTTTATATATCATCGAAAAAATGTGACCACATCTTTTTGTTGTGTCGCACAGTGTCCCACTTGCAGTGCCGAGTGATTAATGTCTTTGCAACATACATTATTTTACATTGTGCATTTGATGATGTTTATTTGACTGTAATTTTACTCTTAAAAAAACTTTCATTTTTGGTTCCTTCAATGACCAGCTTAGCATTCACGTGTTGGCTGGTAAGGCGAGGGGTTATTTTCATTGGACCAATGCCTTTGGTAGGAAGCGTTAATTTAATTCAAAGTCACCTTTATCCAAGGTAGCTTTACAAGTGAAACGCTCCCTTCTTTATCAGAGCAGTTGCATTTGTAAAATGGCCTTTTTGCATGACGCACTTTGTACGTGCACATTTTGTGTGATGTTTTCCCTATCTCATCAGTCACACCTGTAAACCACCCTGCCATTTAATCACAACACGATTTTGCATCTTGTGTCTCTTCACGTACCATTGTTTACCATCGCAGTGGTAGAGAGAAGCTTTTAAAAAACATCTTCTTACTGAAGGATCAAACTCATTACCGTAAAGCTTCAACCATGTGGCGTGATGTTGTGCGACGATGGTGTTGTGGTGTCAGCCGTGGAACCTTATGAAGTGAGCTTGTAGCTAATCAGGATATAAATACACCTGCTCACATGGGTGTCTTTAAGAAGACAAACGCTCAGTGCTGAGAACAAGACTGAGGAGTTGAGACTGAACGAGGCTGAGCTCAAGAATCGTCGTCCCTGATTGGCTGCATGCTCACTGCAGCCATCTCTCTGTTTTACTGTTCAGAAACTAAACAGTACAAAGTTTTTTTTCACTACATATTATACCTAGGTCATATTGAAATTTTTGACAGTAGTGTTGATTGACTGTTTTAAAATACTGCAATCATCGATATGTATTGTTTTGTTTTGTAATCTCCTAAGATGTTAAATATCATTGTGCAGTTGCGTGTAGAGCAAATCGTTGTCCTTTTACACGCATATTGTTTCAGATAAGATCTCTGAGACGCAATTTGAGCTCCACTGTGTACGGTGAAATGAGGCAGCCTAGGATTGTATTAAGCTCTGCAATCAGACTAAGTCAGCTAAAACAGCATGGAGCACGTTGATAAAATCTGTGTGGTGAGCTATTCATAATTCAGTGGAAGGAAACTGAAAACCCCATTGCTACAACTGACCTCACCAGTCTGCAAAACCAAGCAAGTATTGCCTATTTCACCATAAAAAGTGGAGTTCTCATTGGATCCCATCACCCTTACTGTTTACGTATTTTTGACAATGTATAGGAGTTCTCCTTGTCTGACCAGCCTTTCTCTTCTCTTGTCACACTTTGGTTTTGTTTCTACATATTTTATTTCGTATCATTTTATTTACTTATGATTTGAAAAAAAAAATCTCCATTATTTAAGGCGGCTCGGATGGTCTGAGGCCCAGGTCGTACGTGGGGAGTCCATACGTCGCCAGCCCATTGCGCGTAAAATCAGCCGTGGTGTTCCCCGCCACCTCCACCAGCCAGGAACTGCTGAGGGACGTTGGTGAGATGAGGCGCGACCTCATGAGGGTCACGTCCATCCTCAAGAGTGACGGCGGCCTTGCCGGCATGGGCAAGGAGGCGGTAAGGTCGCCAAAGCTCGACGTCAGGGTCAGGATGGCTGCGGGTGGCAGGCCGGAGGAGAACGTCAGCGGAGAGCCGTTGGAGATCATGGAGAAGGTCAGAGAGGATCTGGAGAAAGTGAGCGAGATATTGAAAAAGGACAACTACGGGGACGTGAGAGTGTTGCAGAGGTCGCATCAGGAAGAGGGGCGGCTCGCGCGCTTTATAAACCGAGAGAGTGGAATTATAATCAGTGATGAAGAAGTGGAAGACGCGAGCAAAAGATACTCCGCATCTGTTCGCTACTATGATCAGAAGTCTGCAATGTTTGATGTTACTGCTGCAAGTCACAAGGGCTCCATCAAAGACACGACTAAAACTGTTTCTTTTTCATGTGAAGACATTAAGAGCGACATGAATAAGCGGGTGGGCTTCTACCAAGACTCGTCCAACGAGAGCCACACAAGTGTTGCAGGGCGAAAAGAATTCCTCGTGAAGGAAAAAGGATCCATTTCATCCGAAGAAAAGAAACTAGGCAGCAGACTTCCAGGTTCAATTAAAGTCCTTAATGAGTCTCCACCATGGTCACCACTGAAAAGGGTGAGAAATGACGGCGATCTTGAAAAGCCTTACAACTCCTATCAAACGGTATGCAGAAGGGATGTCCTTAGCAGAGACAGGCCTGAGAGACTGGATCTGGCCTTTGAGAAAAGGCAGACGAGCAGGCCAGATGAACATCCACATGGCGCTCAAAGTAAAAATGTGACGTCCTCAAGTCAAGCTAAATATGGCCTGCCAGCGGGCAGTGCAGATTCTGTCAAGTATGGAGCTTCCAAAGGCACGTGGCAGCCTGACTCCGCTCTGTCGCCCCCTTCATCGGACCTGCCGCTGATATCTCCGGTGGTCGAGGAGAAGCCCATCGGGCCCATTCGCGACAAGGTGCGTGCGCTGCAGATGAGAGTGGATGCCGAAGCAGAAGAGAAGAAGCGAGGGCTGCATAAGGATGCGCACAAAAAAGACGAAGTGGCCACCAGATACATGTTGGGAAGAACGACTTCTCAAGGTCAGAGCAGCAGCAGCACGACTTCGCCTACAGCTCCAGAAATTATAGAAGAGACCGTGTCTGTGAAGGACCTCATGAAAGTGTTCCAGTCTGGCAAAGATCCCTCGAAGGAGCACGCCGGTCTGTATGAACACAAATCCTCCTTCTCTGGTGACAGCGCAAGAGGGACGGAGTGGAGACCTGGAACTCCCGAACGGAAGCCATTAACTCCAGAGTCGCCGATAAGGATGCCGTTCAAAAGCTGGAAACCCCCCTCTGACAGCCCAAAGAGAATGAGCGAGATCGCTGGCGACATGGCAAGCCCAACAAGGGCAGCCCGGAGCCACTTTAAAATGCTGGAGAGTCCAACTCTTCAACGGAAGATTAAAGGGCCAGAAGACGAGACGAAAGTTTACAAGCGAATCATAATGCTAGACGACGAGGACTGTGGCGAAAAACAATTCATGGCGGCAAAATTTGAGAATCTACCGCACTCCCCAGAAAGCCCACCTTCACCTGCTCCCCGCAGGAGATCACCTGTGTCTCCAGATAGCCAAAGATCGCCGGTCAGCAGACTGTGCATTGGCTTGAGGAAGCTGGAGGGCCCAAATTCACCAGACGAGCACACCACAGAAAGCCATAAGTCCCCTTTAGGCTATAGGTCTCCACTGGGTCATAGGTCACCAGAAGGTATAAAAACACCCATAAGTCTACGATCTCCCACAGGACAAAGAACACCAGAGAAGCAGAGGTCCCCTTTAGGTAGCCGATATCAGGGCATTCTCAAGTCTCCAGAATGTCATAGGTCACCAGAAATCCTCAAATCATCCCGAGGTCAGCACACTCCAATGGGGTGCAGGTCTCCAGACAGTTACAGGTCAAGCGAAAGCCACCGGTCACCTGATAACCCAGGCTATCGAGGAGAAGAAGAAGGAGAGTTGACAGCCGACGAGTCTCTCCCGTCGTACCTGGACTCATCGCACCTGGACACCCCTCTATCTCAGGAGGAAGACAGTCGCCCGGGCTCTGCCCAACTGATGACCGACGAGTCGTACCGCTCACTGCGGTACCTCACTCAGCAGTCGGTCGAGTACGTGGAGGATGAATTCACGGAAATTCGCGGGGAGGGTTACCAGTTTGCTGAGAAAATGCTGCTGTCGGAGTGCACTGATCAGACCCATTCAGACAGTGAAGAGACCTTCTTGGATTGCTTCGCTACAGGGACGGTGAGAAGGGGGTCGAAGGATGTTCACAAGGAAACGAAGGAGCCTGGCAAGCAGATGGATAAAGTCCCCAGACAATGCGTCTCTCCTGCTCAGAGCAACGCCAAAGGGAAGACGTACCACGACAACGACCCGGCACCCGGAAGCAACCATCTGAGGGGATTCTCGTCAGAGAGGAAGGGGTCTCCAGACAGAGAATCGTATCGTTACAGAGAAGACCGAGTGGACAAAACCGTCAAGGAGGCAGCCGAGAAGCTCACCGAGGTATCGCAGTATTTTCGTGACAAAGCCGAAAAGTTAAACGATGAACTCCAGTCGCCCGAGAGAAAAAGGAGAAGCCCCGTGAGGCAGGACTCCGGCTTGACGGGGTCTGAACCTGGCAGTCCCATCAAGCAGGTCTACAATGTGACCAGGCAGGAGCCTGGCAGCCCAGTTCGTCAGATGTCCAGCCTGGCTAAAGCCGAGCCAGGCAGCCCGGTGCGGCAAGTGTACAACGTGTCTAAGCAGGAGCCGGTGAGTCCGGTCCGGCAGGTCTCCAGTCTCGTGAAGCCAGAACCAGGGAGCCCGTCGAGACAAGCATCTCCCTTAGCAAAGCACGAGGTCGGCGCCAGTGCCAGACTGGGTCCTTCACAAGTGCAGGTGGAACCAAAGAGTGGAGACCCCCAAGGGTCCTCATCCACGAGTCCCGGCAAACAAACGGGGGGACCACCGCCGAGTGCCGATCACGACAGCACCGTGAAGCCCAGGGTCTTCCCGAGGTCTTCCATCCCCGTCCGGGAAGGACACGGATCAGCCTCTTATAAAGACTACAGGACGAAGCGGATCACAGAGGCGAGGGAGGCGGTTTTTTTGGATGAAGAGCATGACGACGGGCAGTCGGCAAGGGGCTCCAGCATAAAGCTAGTGGAAAAAAAAACGATCGATGTCCAGAAAAGTCCAAGAGTAGCTAGAGTCATCCAGGAGGAGAAGGTAGACAATGATCAATTCAGGCAGTTCCGATCACCTCCATCACAAAGGTTAGAATCTCACCCTGAGAAAGTGGCCATCAGCTCTTTACATGGAAAATTGACGTCACCAGCGATCGGCGATGGACTAAGAGAGGCCCAATGGAGCAGCGAGATGGACAAGGATCACGCAACGGCTCCTGACACTCACTGCTTGGTGCATTTGGAAGGCGAGTCATCGAGTTCCAGAGCAGGATGTACGACAGAAGAGCACACAAAGCAAAATGCGAGGGCCCACAAAAGTGTTTCGAGGAGTCCCAAGCATGAAGATAAAAGTGAAACAAGCCACGTCAAATCCGAGAGCTCTGGTAATGGAAGAAAGCATGAAGTTCAGCGATCTGGAAAATATTCTACCTCCTCTACAACGGAAAGAGCGCAGAAATCACCCGAGAAAAGGACGTCGCCATCGACATCCAGGCGGTATTACTCTAGAAGCGAGCACAAAACCCAAGTGGCTTCTTCTAATGCATACAAGAGAACTAAAGAAAATGCTGACATTGACAAGAGCCAGTGGGATGGACAAAACCGACGCTCCACCACTGACAGCGAACGTGACATGGAAGATGACTCCATGATCTCCGAGAAGGAGCGCTCCACCGTGGAGGAAAAGGAAGACATTTCTCCGTCGGCATGCACCGACGATGCGGGGAAGGGGAACGAGGGCGACAACGGTGTCGCCAGCCCCGAGCAGTCGACAGTGGAGCCGGGCGCCGCAGATGCCGTTCGGCTGGAACGGTCGACGAGCGAGAATGCCGAATCGGCCGCCTGCCACAGAGCCGTGAGCGACACGGAGAGAGAGAAAGAGGTGGAATTCATTAAGCCAATCAGCGATGACAAACACGGCATGAACCTGGGAAAGAAGTCACCGTCCCAGGTCGGTCTGGCCGATTTCACCGTGCAGGAGCAGCACGGCACTGAGGTGCGCAGCAGAGTGCAGGTTGGCGTGAGCCGCACGCCAAGCGGGGGGGACTCGAACCCAGGTTCGCCGCCAGCGGCAGTGTTATCAAAAGTGTTGAACCCCGAGGAACAGAAAATTGTGCAGTGCAGCTCTTCGTCTTCTGACTTTGAGAGGCTGGCCGTGAAGGCGGCAGTCACATTATTGTCTGCGGTGGAAGGCTCCGAGCAATCGGGCGATGAAGCAATGGCCATGGTGAAGTCTCTGTGCAGTGAGGAGAAGATGATGGAGCACCTTGCGCTGACCGAAGAGCAAGTAAAATCGCTCGCGCAGGAATCTTCCACGTGCCAGACCTTTGACCCCGCCGGTGTTCCTCTCACGGAGAAGGAGAAGATGCAGCAACTGTTGGTGAGTGAGAGCAAGGCGTTGATGGAGGCGGAGCACAAGTTCACGACAGACGTGCAGTGCTTCTCAACGACGGTCGACACCCTGACCTATAGTTCAACGGAGAAAAAGGTCACAGCCATTGTGACGTCAAAGGATTTTGTAGGACCTTGTGCTCAGCAGTCACAGGGCAACGTGATTAAAACTGCCAGTACATCTGAGACCGGTCCCAAGAAGACTCCGTGTGAAGCCTCGAGTAAACAGTGTGAACCACAGTCTCCTAACCAAGACGTGGACAAAGAGCCTCGGATGCATAAAGTTGAGCCCGAGAGTTCTGTTAAATGTGGCTCTTCACCAATGCAGCAAAACGACTTTGCAAAGAGACATGAAGCATTAGAGTGTAAAACTAATCGCGGTGAGCTGACAGCTGAACAACGCAAAGCAAACTCTACTCACGAGCCTCCGACCTACGCTTCGGTTTTCCCAACGAAATCTGGAGAGCCCAGCAGCGCGGTGTCCACACCGGATCATCATCAAAAAGAGAGAACGTTTGAATTTCCTCCACCTCCTCCCATCACCATGCTGGACGAGGAGCAAATGCCGCCTATGATGGAGCTGGCTGGCGAGGAAGGAATGACGTCTTCATCCTCGGCATGTGACTCAGAGGTCACACTGCTGATGTGCCATAGGGAGGCGCGGAAGTCAAGGCACGCCGAGCCCAATATCAAAGTGCAGCCTCCATCGCCCGTGCAGTTTAGCGCAGAGGATCTGAATCACCCGGCCTCTGCTGAGCCAAATCGGTCACCCATCTCCCTCAAGAAGTACACGTTTAAGCTGTTTAACGACGACGAACAGAAAGAAAGAGCCAAGAGGAAGGACGAAGGTGAGAAGACAGCAACCCGTAAAGCCCCCGGCGTCGATTCAAGGCAAGTGGCATCAGACGCTCCGGGAGACAGGGATACGCCACAGGACACTCAGCCGACCGAGCGCTCGTTCACCACCACAGCGGAGTTCTCGCATGACACCGACGCCACCGAGGTGGACTCTCTCGACGGGTACGAGCTGCCCAGCGAAGAGGACGAAAATACCGTTGCAGAGGCGAGCAACAACAATAGGCTGCTCGACTGGGCGGCCGAGGTCCGCGACGCGACCATGGGCAAAACCGACTGGTTTCCCGTGGACGGGTCGGGCTTTTCCTTACACGACCGCGAGCCACCGCAGGGACGAAAACCTACAAGTGCCCACACAAAAACGGAGGAATCAGGTGAGAAGCAGTCGGACAGCACCGCAGAGAACTTTACACTAGAAGGCCGTCACCCAGATCGGACCCCGTTTGGTAATGTTTATCCTTTTCCCTCCAACTTAGCGGGCAAGGCGGTGAAGTTTGACCCGTGGACTACAATTCGCGACGAGGAGGAAGGCCGCAGCGAGCACGGCCACGCCGCGGAGCCGAAGCCGTTCCGGCTCGCGCTGCACAACGAGAGCGTGCAGAAGTCTCCGGCCAACTCCCCTGACGACCTCACCCCGACGGCCCGCACCCCGACCGACCCCGAGAGCACCCCAACGAGCGAGCGCAACATGTTTCCCTTCCCGTTCCGAGAGGGGAAGATGTTCGAGATGACTCGCAGCGGCGCCATCGACGTGGGCAAGAGGGAGGAGAACGACGTGGCCAAGGACGCGAGGCCGCAGTGCCTGCCCATTGGTGAGGGAGGCGCCCAGCCGGGGAGCGTGGCGGTGGGGGCTGCGCCCCTGCAGGCAGCTGCTGACACGCCGGCCTCCTCCCCGCAGGGCGCCGAGGAATCCACGGACCCCTTCAAGTCGTCGCTGTGGACGGAGCAAGAGCTGAAATCTCTCCGTGGGGCCACGCAGGACCCATTTGCGACGCTCTGGGACTCTCTTGAGGAAAAGATAGTATCGTCCATGACCACGAAATCCGAGTCCAAGTCGCGGATTCCCATAAAGATGGGAGTCTCCGCCTCGGCCAAGGTCATCAAGAAGGACACGTTGAGTGCGGAAGCGCCCGACGATAAAAATCCAGACTCGTCCACAAGTTCTGTCGAGTCAGCAAATGCATTGGGGACGGAGTTGTGCACGTCGCCAAAGCCAGAGCCATTAGACGCACATGCGGTGAACAACGTCAACAGTAAACTAACGTACCTTGAGACCAAGGAATTTTCTGATAAACATAATTTAGACAAAGCTGTAGCAGACACCAGAAGCAGCAGCAGCAAAGCATTTGACCAGAGAGCTGAGAGCAGTGGTCGCCCCTTAGCCTCTGGGAGACTTGGAGAGGGGGATTTCGCACCCAAACCCCTACCTAGAGAGAAACACTCTGCGCAAGAAAGGCAACAGCAAGTCACAGTGGCCACTGCGCAGGGACAGGGCCCAGCAGCTCAGGATCGCCTGATTCCCAGACCAGGTGACAATCCAGCTGCACAGCACCTCTCAGAGTCGTCGGAGCGGGCTAAAGTTCATGCTTTTCCACACGCTGAGCAAACTGCTCCAAGTCAGACTTCGCTGGTGGGTGAGCAGGGCAACAAAAAGCCAGCACTTTCTCCCATTAAGCACGCTCCCCACGTAGTGGCGTCGCCCAGCAAGCAGGCAACGAGGGTGGCCGTGGCCTCGCAGCACAGGCCAAGCACGCTGCCAGAGAATGCTCACATAGCCAAGTACACCGCTGTGACGGCCAAAGTGAGCCACTCGTCCCCCAAGCACGACACGAAGCATTCCCCCACCCATTCGCCCAACAAGGGCCCAATGCACACTGTTCACACACTCAAGCAGTCCGCAGCACACACTGCCCACGCATCACCGGTGCATCCCTCGTCAGAGGCCATGCACCCTCCCCTGCCCTCAAAGCAGCTGCCTGTGGACTCTGGTCATCCGGTGCATTCACATTCCGCCTCAGGTGAGCAGGCCGTTCAGGACGACTCGCACACGTATCGCTCCTGCTCGCCTTCTGAACAGTCCCTGACTCAAATTCCCCTACACGACGATTTAACGTCGAGCCAAACCTCCAGCGCTTCAGAGCAGATTCCCCCAGCAAAATCTGCGCACACGGAGAAGCACAGCACTTCACACGCGGCCAGTGCTGCCGCGACGCACTCCACGTCGAGCACCAAGCAGATCCCGAGGGCCTTTGACCCACATGCCGACGTGAACCGAAAGCCACTTTCCACGCACCCCTCTCCCCCGCATGGCGCGCTTGCCCAGAAGCACCCTCCCGTGCATGCCGACCACTCCGCGAAGCATGCCCCCTCCGCGAGCATGCACGACGCAAAGCAGGTCCCTGTACCGGCGGAGCGCACGTCCAAGTTGCACGGCAGGCCCGGCGAGAGTCCAACGAAGCAGCACGCTTCTTCGCTGGAGCACGTGGGTGCCAAGCGGGTGCCTTCGCCAACCCACAGGCATGCCACCAAGGCGAGCGTCTCCCCGAGACATCACGAGCAGGCACAGGTCAGCCCCTCCAAAAGGTACACCGGACAAATGTCGAGGCAGACCGCTGAGCAGTCGCAAGCTGACAAGTCGAAATCTAAACTGCCCATCAAGTCAAAATATTCGAGATCCGAGGCGTCAGGGGTAAGCACTGAGACAAGCGTGTTGAGGGTCGCAGAGGTTAGGAGTAGGGTCGCAGAGGTCAGGACAAAGGTCACGGCAAGTAAGGAGAAATCTATAGTGCGAACAAAGTCAGAGTCAGAGCAGCAGATTAAATCCAGGATACCCGTTCGCCACAGGAGTTCGGATTCCGATTCGGATGGAAAATTCCAATCGGAAAAGGCTCAGCTGAAAAAAGGGAGACCATCGACTGCGAAACCAAAAACTTTCCAATCCAAGCTGCCGGTGAAAGCAAAGCCTGAGCAGACGCAGACGGTCACGGCTTACCCCATCGTGGACGAAGCGGCAACCTGCAGCCCTGCCCTTCCGGAGGCTTTCCGGCACTCCATCGAGTACTTCGAGGGCGTCAGCAGGGAGGCGTCGCGGCTCGCCGATCGGCTATCCCTGCAGGAGGGCCGGGGCGACGACGCGGCAGCGGCGTCCACGGAGGACGAAGACAGCAACGTGTATGACGTGTCGACCGAGTCGCCCAACCCGCCCTCGGACGAGCGCTCGCCCAGCAACAGCAGCAGCAGCTTCAGAAGTCGACCCATCGAGAGCAGCCCGGGCTCGTCGTCCGACGCGACTCCAGCCAAGAACGGAACTAGTTTGTAGCCATTTTACTTCTGGTGCCAGACTGACGTCCGCGATCAGTCCTGCGCGCCGCACACGCCATCTCCATTCGTCTGGTGCTCCATTGTCTCCATTGTTTCCATTGTCTGTGACGTCTTCGCATGCATGCTTGTACGCGCCTGGACGCCCCCGTGTGGATGTGCGTCGGTGACGTCGGCCTGCCGAACGCCGATGCGTCTATGTGGCCATGAGCGCCCAATGTTATTCTCATTTGCGGTGCACTTTTGCCCACGACAAGAAATGTCACGATCGTGAACACGTCCTGTAAAAAAGGTGCTGAGGAGTGCTGTCAAAATACAATTTTGCAAATTGAGAGCAAGCAAACTCTTGTTTATAAGTGTACAGCGTTCCATGGTGGAGCTATTGAGTGTGCAGGCAGTGCAACTGCACTGGGGCCCAGGGGCCAGAGGAGCCCCAGGATGTAAAGAGGGCAGAGAAATTGGACTGGGGCGGAGGGTGCCATTTCATTCCTGGCACCAGGACCCGTGCCAACCATGTTACGCCACTGGCAGCTATTGGTTGTTGCAATTAAAACTTGTTTGAAACAAAATATATGCATTTCAAAAATTGCTTTTGCTGTATTTTGACTGTTTACAACTGAAGAGAGTTTGCTCTGATGCTGTACAATATAAACCGACTTGTTCACTTTGTCAACTGACTGCACGTTTGAAAAACAAAGCCCGCGTCATTTCCCTCTTCTGTTTTTCAAACGGTGTTGTGTACGACCACCTCAGAACGTTTGTTTTCATGAAACATGTGCACCGGGTCTCTGCTGCATCTGCCCGTCAATTGGCGGAGATGCTGCTGTGTGTCATTCACGTACGGCACGGCGCTACATTAACTCACCCCGGCCTCGGCAGCGAGATGCCTCCGTGGGTAACAGGCAGCAGCAGCAGCAGACGAAATTCCGCCACACTGCGCGCACCCTGCATGCTATGTAGTGCATGCCATCTGCTGCAACTTCCACGTGCAATGTCCTTGATCCCATGCAATCGTCTGTGAAATGTGTCAACGTTGTTTCCTCTCGTTTATCGGCTTCCCAATATGCATGCACCCAACTGCCCCATCCATTCATCCTCCATAATTGACATGAACACATGCTATGCTGCATCTTTTTCCCCGTGACTGTAATTGGGTGATCTCATGAAAGCATTGTTGTAAATATCCTACTGCATACCCCAATAGGCACATTTTCCTCAAGAGGATTGTGTTAATTTGCTGATGAACATGGTTTGTGATTATTTTTTTCAGCTGCTGGTCACAGTCCGAGTGAGAGGACCAGCTTGCGGTTGTCAGAAATCGCAGGACATTTGGGCATTAGCTGGCCTGGTAAGATATGCATGCATCCGATCGTGCGTTATTGTAGGGCTGGCAATAATAACAGATAATACGTAGCACAGTTTAATAGATGCTAATAGTTTTAAGCATAGGCTTGGCTGTATTTGTGCGAAATGTAAGATTTGCGGCCCATTAGAATTTACATCAGCCATTCATAAATAATCATCTAAATGTGGGCTGTGGAACCTTTTGCTTACTGAGGGCTATATCAGACTTTCAAATACTTTTGGCCGGCAACCACTGATGAACACAGGCATCCGGTCACTGCTGTCTTTGCATGAGGCCCTTGCAGTGACAAAAGTGACTCAGCGCGGTTGAATTGAGACACAGCATTTTTTTCCAGATGTAAAACATTCCCCTCTCGAACCTGATTAGTGCGGCTGAGATATTTGCAGCGATGGGTTAAATATCACTTGAATGCCATTTTTAAGTGGTAAGCCTCATTTGGCCGTGGTCCATACGCATTTAGACACTCGGCGAGACAGATTTCACGTGACGCAATTTTAACTGCCGTGTATTTAATAAAAAATGTTTTACCCAAACCTGTGGACGATTCCATCATGCGGCTGCGCAGAGCTGGCCCGTGAGCTGAGTTTCCACGAGGACCAAATCAACCGGATTCGGATGGAGAACCCCATCTCGGTGGCGGAGCAGGGCCACGAGCTACTCCGCCAGTGGACGGCGCACGACGGCCCGGCCGCCACCGGTGCGTCCCGCCTTGCCCGGCATGCGCTCGCTAGCTCACGTCACCAAGCGTTGCCAAGCGTCGTCACACGCGTTGGCCCCCCACCTCCTTGGTTTTGCACCGTTACGCTCATTCTCATCTAACGTCTGATGCCACCTTCCTGCCTTGTTAACAGTTTTTCATACATATGTATGTCAGACTGATACTGACCCGCACCTCCGATTATATAAGTAAGTAAAGTAAGTAAGAACATTTGTTATTGGCTACTGTTATGAGTGCAGTTCATCACGAATGCACATTGATCACACATTGAAGTAGACTCTCTAAAACAACACCATTTTGAGTCTGTTGCAGAACTGGCTCAGACTCAGGGATGGATCCCGAGTGTGAGCCGGTAGCGTGTTTCAGGTCTTTAGGCCAGAGACCCCGAAACTGCGCTGGCCATATCGCGGTTTACATGGCTGCGGGTACAGCAGCAGGTCACCACGAGCCGGTACGCACTGATCGGGGAGATAGGACGGAGCAGATCGATGGAGATTCTTGAAGATGAGTAGGCATAATTTATACGCAATCCTGTATTTAATAGGTAGCCAGTGCAGCTCATCACGGATCATATTTCTGTTTCTTTACTATCAGAGAAATCAAACTCCACCTATGATGGAAGGGTTAGCTTGACGTTGCCTTCTTCCTCTGCAGTGGAGAAGCTGAAAGTGGCCCTCACGCGGATCCACCGGCTCGACATCGTGAGCCTCGTGGAGAGAGGGGCCGGACGGGGCGCACGCTCCTACAGCGAGATCGAGGGAACGATCGCATTGGATGAGTCTGACGGTGAGCGCACGCGAGCGAGCGATAGCGAGCAACCCAACACCGTGATGCGCAACGAGGTCTGAATTAGCGTCCCCGGCACAGTCAAAGGTACAGGGATTAGGGGTCTGCGTTCCACTGCACGGATTCAGCAGGCGAGGCGTTTGGCAGCGTCGCGTTTCATTTTCCAACAGTGCCCGCTTTTGCCATTGTTTCCATTGCGCTTGAGTTCGCAGTTTCGTTTTCACCTTCATTTTGTTGTTGTTGTGGATGTGAAGGCATTTTTGTTCATTTTACCATTTAATTCACCGTTCATGTTTATTTTGTGTTTGTTCATCGTTCTTCACGAACGCCGTCAAGGAGTCTCCCCCCCGCCCGATGAGTTGCCTTCCCCCTTGTTCCCGGGGTCGGCCGCCCGACCCAAACTGAGCTGGGGGCCAGACACGACCGTAGAGGTCAACGGGACACCTCCACTGTCGCCGGTGGCTCCGGGGACGGCCGACGAGGCCGGGCGTAACTTGGCGCCCATGGTCGCGTCGGAGGATGATCTTTCCCTCGGAGATTCAGGTTTTATATTTTACTTTTGTTATTTTCCTTTTCCTTACATTTCGTTTTCTTTCCTGTATACTTATCTGTTTAATACCAAACAATGCAATATTTTTCCCATCGTGAAAGCATGTGTAGCAACAGCACCATATGCTCATGTACTTTTGACGTGTGTTGTTTGAACCATCATCATTGTGCGTTCATGAGGCAGCAGCGTTGGATGTTCAACGCAATGCCCTCCGATGGATGGGACGCGGGTTCAAATCCCGGTTGTGTACGAGGGATCCACCCAGAGGCGTAGCTAGGGGGGGGCAGGGGGGTACACGTGTCCCCGGGCGCCAAGGTAAAGGGGGCGCCAAAATGAGGCTTACAACGTTACATTATAACTTATTGCGGCGGGCGCGGCAGCCTGAAACTACTGCACAAATCTACACCTCAACCTAAAAGTTTATATATCCCGCCACACACAGCCTACATGTCATGTAATTACATTTTGGTATGCGCGCCTATTAAGAACTTACATGGAAGAACGTCCCAAACAACAAACAGGCGCAGTCTTTCAGCCTTAGTCACTGGCCTGTTTTTTGGTGGCGGAAACTACGACATGATGATGAACTTGTTGACAGTAACGGGGAAGATGAGATAGAAGAATCTTCTGATAGAGACGCTGAAAATACTCATTATGATGCTGTTCCTGCTGTACTAAGGTTTCACAATGTTGGCTACTTAGAATTTGATAAAACGACAAAGCTATCGAAAATATCACAACCTCTTCGCAATGAAATGATTACTCTCGGATCCTTGCCTTTTCAGCACAGAGACAATCTATCATCAGTATTCAGAGAACGTTCAATTACATCAGCATGGTTTAAACGCCGACTAGCGAACGGAGAGGAAGTGAATCGTTCGTGGCTATTATATTCACCAATCAATAAAGCTGCTTACTGTTTCTGTTGTCTATTATTTACATCATCGAGTTCAAACTCACAAGCTTCGTTTGAGTTAACAAACGGTTTCAACAAGTGGAGAAAGCCAGAAAAACTAAATTCTCATGAAAACAATCCTAGCCACCGCACGGAAGGAAGCCGAACGAAGGATAATTGATGGTACTGGAATTTGACGCAGTGGTTCAAGCTCAGATTCATTTGGAAAAATAACGTTGGCGAGATATATTGCAAAGGATACTCACCTGTGTTAAGTTTCTGGTTTCAAAAAATTTGGCACTACGTGGCCATGAGGAAAATTTGAATGCGGAAAAATGTTCGAAACTTTCTCGCGCTGATCAAACTCGTTGCTCAGTATGACCCATTGTTAGCAAAAGACGTGCAGCACGCAGGAGAAAATCTGGGATCAGTTTCTTATTTGTCACCGGAAATCCAGAATGAATTTATCCACATACTTGCGTCGACTGTAAAGAACCAATTGTTGAGTGATATCAGGAAAAACAAGTACTATGGTATCTTACTTGACTCAACTCCTGATCTCGGACATCGGGAACAGCTTTCTCAGGTCGTAAGATTTGTGGATGTGGATTTTCAAACTAAAAAAGTAACTATCAAATAATATTTTTTAGGTTATATCGATATACATGCAAAAGATGCAGCAAACCTAAAAAGAGTCATCGTCGAGAGACTGAAATCTGACAACGTACCTCTAGCCGAATGTCGGGCACAATGTTATGACAATGCTGCTGTGATGACTGGGCATATATCCGGCCTTCAACAACGAATATGTGACAAAAATTACAGAGCATTGTTTGTCAACTGTGACAACCACAGCTTAAACTTAGCAGGAGTACACTCAGCTTAACAGGATCCACTTGTCGTCACATTTTTTGGAACAGTTGAAAGTATATATTTGTTTTTCTCTCGTTCAACAATTCGTTGGGAAGAGTTAAAAAAAGCTGTGCCCATCACAGTAAAGCGGGAGTCTGAAACACGCTGGAGTACACAATCAGAAGCTGTTAAAGCTATCTATGAAGGACTGGATGAACTAGTATGGCTGCTAGACAAATTATCGGAGGACGTAACTATGATGCCTGAAACCAGAAGTGATGCAGACAAGTTACAGGCATGCGTATTAAATTTTAACTTCATAGTTTTATTACATTTCTGGAATGTCATTCTTGGAAACATTGATCGTGTTCAGAAGCGCTTACAGAATCCTACTATGAATTTCAAGGAAGCAGCAACTGATCTTGAATCTTTGGAGCATGAATTTGTCAAGCTTCGTGATGATTTGAGCCAAGTTGCTGTAGAAAACGCCAAAATAAGATGCACAGCCTGGGGGATCGATGTGGACAGAAGAATTAGGCGACGTCAGAAGATGCCAGGAGAACTGGCATGAAATGCAGGACTTTCAGCAGAAGAACAAATTGTGCACGTTATGAAGAGAGTTTTTGATCGACTTCGACAGGAGATGTCAACACGGTTTTTACGACTAAAAGACCTGAACACGAAATTTGGATCTATCCGACACAGATGTCGATGCAATTCGTCGAAATTGCACAGATTTTGGAAATTTCTATGACACCGACATCAATGGCCACGAACTTTTCACAGAAATTGGAGATTGCAAAATGCTGCTCAGTAATCAGAATTAAGTTCTACCAGACACTCCTTTGGATCTTCTTAGTTTTATTGTGTTTTATGGAGACGACATATTTCCGAATTTGCGAATTTCATTGCAAATTTCATTATCAATAGCAGTTTCAATTGCAAGCTGTGAGCGGTCGTTCAGCAAATTGAAACTTATTTTGTCGTATTTGCGAGCTTCAATGGGACAAGATCGTCTCAGCGATCTTGCTCTTCTTAGCGTTGAAAGATAAACATTGTAAAAAAACAGATTTTGATTACGTGATTAACCAGTTTGCGACAGTGAAATCAAGAAAAATTAATATTTTGTAGACTATGTCAACCAGTCTACGACAGTGACTGAGTGAGCCATGTAATATAATTTCTATAAATTTGCTTCTTTATATAAAATGTTTCATTAAAATTTAAATTGTTATTCCTTATTCGATGTAATAGGAAAATGTGATTAAAGGGGGGGGGGGGGGCGCCAATTTTATAGTTCGTCCCCGGGCGCAAAATATCCTAGCTACGCCTCTGGATCCACCTCTCCACGATGCTCGCCATATCTCCTCAAGCATGCCCTGTCGGCCTTAATAGGCGCTCGCCAACAGCACTTTGTACCAACAGTCTACAAAGCCAATCTTGAGACCTGTGCACGTTTGTAACTGTGAGGGTATGTGTGTGTTATCAGGGTTGGACAGTCCTGCCGTGAGCGTGAGGACAGGAGCGATGCCAGTAGTCAGCCGGGACGGCATCAACATGGACGACACAAGGTGCTCACCGCCACTAATGCGTCGCACAGCAACGCGGGCGGCAGGGTGGCGCAGTGCTAGCACTTCCGCCTCGCAGGAGGAACGAACCTGGGTTCCATTCCCGACTCGGGCCACCTTTTTGTTTGGAATTATATGTTCTCTCCCTGTTCTGCATGGGTTTTCTCTAGATTATGCGGTTTCCTCCTGGAGTAAAAATGAAATAAACGTTTCATGTCAATGGTATTGGCCAAATATTCCAATGCTGAAAAATAACCAGCAAATTACTCAATTGGGATTACACATGACATCGCCCCTGACTGCAAACATTTTTGGGATTGAAAGCACTCTAAAGAATCTGGTTAATTTTAACATAACTTTATTTAAATATTACAATATGATATAATTTACTACTATAATGAGCCAAGAATGTCTGTGTCTCCCGCACGTGACGTCAATCCACGTCGACCAGCCCCCCTCATTAATAATCATGAACAGGTGACGTCCTCCAAATGGACACCCCCCCGCCATTAATAATAATTAGCGGGTGACGTCGCTCCACATGGGGGGGCAAGGTGCCTCCACCCCCCCTCCTCAGCATCAACTCACAGCCCTCACTACAAAGGCAGAACCCTCACGTCATGCGATCTTCGTAACGCTATTGAGACATAGAAGTAAAAAGGAGGTCATGATGAACAAGGGATTATCACACTTAAATGAAATAAGTCTGTGTCACCGCGCTCTTACAAACTGCACACGAATGGATGCAATGAATATCACGTAGCGGTCTGCTTTTCGCTTGCAAGTTTCAGATTTACTGCAATACACCCATCATTGGATGGGCAAAAGGCTAATATGTAAATAGCATCTCAGTCTGACGCATTGCAATGATGGTGTAGAGCAGCGTTTTGCACTAATTTTCAGAGGGGGGCCACTTTCGCTGATAAGACATCATCAGAGTGAGGGCTGCTACACATTTGAAACCATTGGGATTTTGACAGGACGATGATAATGGGTTGTTTTCACTATTTGTGTATTGGCGGAGGGCCGCATCTCAGGAGCTGCACTAAAGGGGCCGCCAGTGGCCCACGGGCATTGCAATGAAGAACACTTGTGTAGAGACACAGTATGCCTAATTATTTTAATGAGAGAGAGGGATGCAAGTCCGTCATAGCCAGAGGAAACATGGGTTGTCTTGAGCCTGGACTTGAGCAGGGACAAGGAGTCAACAGCACGGATCGCCTGGGTGCTTCCGGTGAAGTAGAGCTTAAACTCTCGTCGCTGGCAGTTTGTAATTAACTCTAAGATGCTTCCTTGCCACTTCACATGACCGTGCAGTGTGCGGAGGAGAGACGAGGCTGAGCAGCTGGTGGTGGGACAGACCAAGCCATTTGGATCTCACAAACACCTGGAGACGGACGGGCCGGGCAGAGGGCTTCACGCCATGGATGGAAAACCCGGGGCTCCCAGCAGCAGAGAGGTATAGTTTGACTTGACCTCTCACCCGAGTTGAATTCAGTAAGAAGGGCAGCAATAGGAGGCAGGGTGGTGCAGTGGTGACGTTTTTGCCTCATGGCAAGAGGGACCCGAGTTTGATTCACGACTTGGAGCACCTTTCCTTTTGGAGTTGTGTATGTTCTCCCCCTGCTCCTCATGGGTTTCCTGTGGGTACTCCAGTTTTCTCCCAAAGCAACAAATATTATACAATGTAACTGGTATTAGCTAAACTTCCCAATGCTGAGAATTACCTACAAATTACCCAATTGGCATTACACATAACTATCACCTACGACTGCGAAACACTTGGCCGGACCCTCCTGAAAAAAAGAGTCCTGAGACTCAGCGAGGCCTTCCTTGGTAAAAAAAAAGGCAATCGTAATAATAGCAAATACAGTGCGTGGTGTGTGTCCGGTGGCGCACGTGCCATCGTCACAGCTTCACGATGTGAAGGAGGAGGTCCCAGGTCCCGTGAAGGTGCAGTCTTACCTCAGTTCGCCGCTCCCTAGCGGCATCGCCAGGCCGAGATTATAACTCACTTGCTGCACTTTGTATCATAAGCCCTGCCGGCCATTTGGTATCTGACTTGTCGCACCGCGGGTGGCGAGATGTTAACTACCTCGCCTGGTATACAGGAGGTCATGGGTTCTATCCCGACCCTGACGCCTGTTGTATATTTGGAGTTTGCATGTCTCTCTCCCCGTGGTCACGTGGATTGTTCTCCGGGTCCTCCGGTATTTACTTTCGACATTTAGAAACATGCGTTTAGAGTATTTGGCTGCTATAAATTTCCACTTGATGAGACGCTTTGCTGAGCTATCATTTGTGGTCAGGTTGCTTCTGAAAAAGAGCTCTATAGCTCAGTGAGCCTTAACTGGTAAAATAAAAAAATAGTTTAAAATATTTTTCGTTTTGACTTCCCGCTTTTTTTTCCACCACAGTCGGATGCAGCAGAACCCAACGCAGGGTTTACAGTTTGCCCGGCACACACACAGGGACAACGGATTGCGTGTGAATTGTATGGGAAGCTGTGGTTAATTGCACGGGTGTGCAATAAACTGCTCCTTGAATACTGTGGGGAAAGGAATCATATTTCGATTTGTGGGCTTTGAATTAAACTTCTCCGTGGCTAATAGTGCGTCATCGTGTGTCCTGGTCTCTTGCCTATTCCCTGCGTTGGCAAGACGAATTGCTGTTAAGTGGCATTGCTGGCCGAGACCTACGGAGGAATGTAACACGTTAGCATTAGTATTGACATAAAATAGAGCTGCAAGTGGGAATTTAATAATAACACAGAACCGTTTTTATGGATATGGTTTTGGCAGTCTCATTATCGAGTCCACTTGACACTTTAGTATATGTCTCCGTGAAATGAAATTGCTTCCCGTATCAAATGTCGGTTTTCATTGGAATCGCAATAAATCTAGCTTAACTTGATGTGTAACAAATTTTGTTCATATGCTTGGGCTCAATGAAAATATTGTATCGTGTCTTGTCAGGGAAGATATGCCGTTGTCTCCAGAGTTTAGAAGGCATGAATAGTGGTCTCTTTTCGGCAGGTTATTTTCTATTGGTAAAATAAATTAGTTGCACTGCTGATCACAAACATATACTACATTTTAATTTTTCTTATTTTTAATGTATATTTCAGGGTCTTTGCGCACCATTTGGAATGTACGATCTAGGATCATGTTTATTATTTATGTTTATCCGAAATTATTATTATTGAGTGAAGTAAAATGAAAATATTTCTGAGTTGTGACACCAGCGTCTTTACAGTGGCAGGTTGGACGCACAGCACCACCAATGCTACCGTTGCTTTCACCTTTTCTCGAGACTCCCCTCTTTGGCAGTCTCTCTCTCGTAAATCGCTGCCATGGAATGAAACGGATAACGTGACATTGATTAAGCTGCCTGCGGTGCAGTGAGAACGGCTAAAAATAAAAAAGCTGCGATGCTTAAGGCATATTTTTTTGTAAAGCCTCCCCACCTACCTGCAAGTGATAATCCTCATGCGGCGGTCATTGGCCATCTCCCCCCGGGAAGGAGGGGTTGCGGGGGGCAGCGTGCCCGAACGTGGCTGCGGTCTGGCGGTCATTTTTAGCCCAGGGGACGCCGAGTCCCGAGCGGCAGCAGCAGGAGAAGGTGACGGTGGCAGTTGCTCTTCTCGATCTCTCGCTGCCGGCTGGACACACCGCCGTGGGCCGGCGCGGAGAGGACGATGCTTTGGGCGCTCGCCGTGCTCCTCCTGAGGCAGCTGCTTTCCTTGCCGCTCGTGGTGGCAGCGGTGGCGGCAGCGTGTGTGACGCTGCTCTGCTTTGTCCTCTCGCCCTCCACCTCGGGGGTGCGCTCGTGCGCGCAGAGAGACTGCGGTGGTGCGGTGCCCGCGTGCGCGCCCGACGCCCCCCCCTCTCAATCCGCACCTCAGTCCGCTTCCGGCTCTGGCTCGGAGGAGGAGCAGACGGTCACCACCAGGGTGATCCGCCGACGTGTAATTGTTCAGGTATCCTTGCGGCGCAGGTAGCATTAGTATATGTGTGTGTGTGTATATACTGTGCGTCTGCATAGATGTGCAACCCGCATCAGTGTCGATTATTTATTTGTTGTTTTAAAGGCTTGTTCCAAGAACATTTTGAACCTCTCTTTGCTTGCTTAGGGTGGACAAGTGCTCTGATTTTAAGAACGCCTTGCAGTGCTGTGTAATTTGTTGTTATGTTTGTCCCTTGGATTGAGATTTGTTTTCTTCAGCATTTTACTTTAAATCTTAAAGAATGTTTTAAGAAGACATTGTATACAGTATACCGTAGTTACTTTCTTAAGTCCTTAGACCACAAGAACAACAAATAGTTGTGTCATCCACATTTTGGGCTTATTTTAAATGCTAATTTTTATGTACTCACTTATAAAATAAAGAATGATACTTTGCACCTGTAAAAGGTATACTGCATATATCATTTGTAACCTGTGTAAGACAGTGCAATGTCTATTTACCAAGCCACTCAGCAGTGTGGTCTTATGACCCTTGCCAACTCTTCTTCATCACTTTAGTTTCGACTTTCTTGAGAAAAAACATAAAAGCTGAAACGTCACCTTTATCATGACCAGGCACAGACGCCTGCAGAATGATGTGGGCCTATTTAATTGTACGTCTAAAGTATTTTCATTCTATAATCATTAGTACGGTATATGTCCTATCTTAACATTCCATACAACATAGACATTGCACCATGACCCCTTGCACGATTCGTTCTGAGCTTTCAGTTCCTTGTCTCCATTACTCTACTCGTTCATTTTCATCCACGCATTTGAAAGTGGTGCATGAGCTTGGATTAAATACGAATTGAGGGATACTTTGAGGATTTATGTAAAACGTAATTCACGGTGCCCCTGATGCGGGTAACATTGGCAAGCAAAATGCGACCTCTTTGTAGTGGGTGAGACCTGTTCAACCCCGCAAGTCCTGTCTTACATGGCCGCAGGGCGACAAGCCGCTGGATCTCCCTGCTGGGCCTGTGTGTGTGGAAGAATTTACCGACGAACAGGGAAACCTCGTCACTCGAAAAGTAACATCCTTTCTATTCATTGCATTTATCATGCCGGCGTGCCACTGTTTCGTTATTCATACATACATAACATTTTCACCGTGTTTTGATGTTTACTTGGATTCGTTACCAGAGTTACAATGTCGTGCTCTACCCGTGTTGATTAGCGCTTGTTCAAGTTGGGATTGTCTTTCAGTGTACCCTCAGCTTGGAAATGTAATTATCACCGGTTTTATGATTTTGTCGTTGAGCTTTGTAACAAAAACACTGTCGTGTGCATTACAGTAGCTTCATCAACATAAACAATCCCCAAGATTTAAATTTGCATAATGCTTGCTCTAAATCACAACGTGGCCTCGCTGCGGTGGCCAGGTGACGCGCAAACTGATTCGCCGCGTCACTGCCCCCGACGGCTCAGCGAGGGAAGAGGTCATCACGCAGGCCACGGACCCTGACGCTTACGCCAGGATGCAGGCCGGAAGCCTGAACGCAGGGCTCGAAGGACCCCTCACGGTATAAAACACCCTCCCTTGCTGAAGCCTTCATTCTGTATCTAGCTCTGCAGGAACAGATGTTTTTTTAGGCAATTCGAATTTTCCACCTTTTTTTAGGCAGTTTACGTTTTTTTGCTCAAGTGATTTTTGGGTGTGGATTTTTGCTTTTGCGTTAGTTTCTTGTTTCTGGGGTCATGCTTCCACCGGGCTGATGCAGCAGCCTGTTGTATTTGTTTGTGTGGTTTAGACATTTGTTCAATGAATTGGATGTGACGGTGCACAGCTTTAATACAAAACTTTGGATTATTTTATGTTTTCATAATATTTTTTTGGGTTAGATCGCGTAAATATAAATGTGTCGTTAAGCACCACCTGACACAGCCAATTAGTAAGGTTTGCCACGTAAACAGAACATGCCAATTCGTTACTAGCACAGCACACCGGGGTGTTGGAGAGAAAATTGTAAATGTTGTGGATTTGCTCTCCAACACACGGGTGTGCTGTACTAGGAACAAATTGGCATGTTCTGTTTATGTGGATGGTGGCGGGTTTAACGACACATTCATATTTACGCGATCAAACCGAAAGAAACCTACATTATGGATGACATTGGTTGCGAAAGCCTACGTGTTAAACTTTTATGTTTTGTTCGTTAAAATATTTTACCCAGGATAATCCCTTGAGGTTGGTGTCCTGGATACTTGGGCAGGGGCAGGGTTGATGGATCACACGGCATCGTGTGTGTGATGCCTACCTGAGGAGCAGTGGAACTCAACTAGGACTCTGTGAAACAAGTGTAGCGCTGATGTATCATCGCAATGTTTTGGAGTTTTAATGGCTTTCCCCGGGTTCTCTAGTTTCCCTTCCACGTGATTTTCAGTTAAGTGCATGAAAAATATTGTCAAATAGGATTTAGAACAATATTCTAAGCAGGACAATCTTGGAAAAAAGACTGGTAGGTGAAGGAAATTAATGTAGAAAATGTATTAAATGTGGAAAAATGTTTATCGTAATCCAGCCTTGTTCCATTCCTCCTGCTCAGTGTTGTCCCCCGTGATTAACAACTCTGCTCTATTCTATGTCTTGTCCCCCTCGCAATTCCGCCCTCCTGCAGAGCCGTGCCGATGATCGCATTGTCACAAAGGTCGTCACCAAAACGATCATTCAGGGTGAGAGGACAGAGGTGCATTCTGGGGGTGTGAGAAAGATAGCAAATGCTGCCAAGGTCAAAAAAAGTGTTCACAAGGTAACGCTCTGTGGGCCTTTGCAGCTGGGTCATAAACACGTGGCAATAGCATAGGCTTTGCAAACCTTTTAAGGCAGTGGCGTAGTGTGGTTAACATGGGCCCTGGTGCAATAATCAATTGGGGCCCTCTATCCAATGCCCCCCCCCTCTTCATAACCCTGGTGCCCTGGACCCCCACTGGCCCAACGAGCCTGGTTGCATTTGTACTGCCTGCAAACTGGAGCGTGCAAGCAGCTTACGCTACTGTTTGTAAAGTTCACGTTGGATTGGTGGAACAGGTAAGCAGCGTTGTCTGGGCCACGAACCCATCCGATGCTGGAACGCCGTACTCCCCTGCCCGTCACAATTATTCATCGTCGACTTTGGTATGCAAACAGGTTTGCAATGCCTACGTTGGCTTCGATCAAAACATGTGCTCACTGCGTGCTCTTTTCAACAGCCCAGTGAGCCCATTCAACCAGGGGCGTGAACTCTAAAAAAGAATCTCAGAAAATGCCTACTGGGTAGTCTGGGGTTTGAGCTGACATCTTTTAGTTAAATTACTCTCTCCACATATGAATATAGTGTGTGTGACCAAAAGCACCAGAAATGTTCACGATCTCGTCAGATCTTGAATGCTAAGCAGGTTTTGTGCCTGGATTAGTGCTTGTTGGCTAAGTGGCTATGTTATGGTCAGCAAATGGCAGTCAACCTAAATCCACTGTTGTACTTCTATGCTCCCACATATATTCTACTAGCCATCACCAACCCCCACTGACTAGAATGGTGAAGTATGGTCAAATAACCACAACAGTCCCGCACTATGGGAGGAGGCCCTTCTTTAACGATGGATTACTGGACGTCTGGGGAACAGAGCTCCATAGCTCATGGGATTCTTCCAGTCTTAATACAGATTCTGATTCTAGATTGAAAAGATCTGTACGTATCCACGTGTGAAACATTGTCGAAATATGCATGCGTTGGCTGTACAGATATTGTATGTGCGATTATGTTTATTGTCAGAAGGTGCTGACAATCTACAATAAGTTTGCTCCCCTTGTATAAGAAAGGATACAGCGTAACAAAATAATTATTAATCTAAGTTTATATTGCATATGTAATTGCAACGGATGTATTTGCATTTGTCACAGTGATTCTGTAAAAAAATGGACTTTAGATTCGTATGAATGTAATAAAATTCTGCCTTTGTTTGTCCTATCTGCTCGATATCGTAACAGAGTAACGGTGCAAAACCGCAGCACTGACTGCCCAAGTGGAGCTTCCACGGAGCGAGGAAGGGCCACACAGCTTGGAGAGGGATTCTGGAAACGTGCCACACGAGACTGGAAGGCGACTTCGTGCAGCAAAAAAAAATCAAACGTGTAGAGGGGGAGAGATGATTGTGATCCTTGGTGAGTGCAGATTGTGAGTGGCTTGGGGAGGCCTTGAGCAATGCTGCGTTGGGTGTGGCCCGTACTGGGTTAGAGGTACCATTTAGTGCACTGCATGATGCAACAAACAAAAAAATGCTTTATTTTAAATTTCCATGTTTAATTTTCAGCCAAAGACACTCTTTCTTGTTGAAACATTTTTATTTTTTGTGAATCACTTTCCTGTAAAAAAAAGTTCAATAAAAAAGGGGAAAAAAATTGTCAAACACAAGTTTTGAAGGTCGTAAAATCCATTAATTTTAATCCACCGCCACATTGGTATGTTATAAGGTGATTTTGAAAAAAGAATAAAATTATAACTTATTACTACTACTAAAACTTGTTATGCTTTATTAGAGCACAGTAATTTAGCTGGGCTAAATGATGTATGGTATTGTATTGCGTATTCAAGAGGCGTTGCAGATTACTGGCCTGGGATCGGGCAGACAAATCACACAATCCTGTATATAAGACTGCCATGTTATTGCTTGTAACAATTATGTTGATGCAGCCTTGGCATGGAGGTCATTACTTCCTTGAGCTTATTATGTCCCCCACCCCTCTTAACTTAAATGGCCATCATTGACACACAATGTAAACACAAACATGTACATAGGAGTTGCCATTGAATGTACTGTAGTGATGCCATGCACCGTGACACTCATTCTGTATAAATCTCACAAGCAAAAAAGGTTTGTTTTAAAATACCGAAAAACAAATTTAACAAAACAATTATGAAAAAAGTATGCATATTCAGCACTTATTTGCAAAACTGAGATCTTGTATATGAAGAATGCAAACGCTGCCATCACAAGATCAGCTGTAAACAATGCTTGTATTTGAGTTTTCATCGTTCAAATCGCCATTATACACACGATAAGCGCTGAAGCACTATTTAAAGGGACGAAATTACGTTTGAGAAAATTGCCAATTATCATGCCTGCTGCATGCACTTCTACATTAAAAAGATGTATGTATGATGACTCACTTATACTGTATAACTAAATTGCGTAGTTACTTGTGCGTTCTGTGGACTTATTTTCAGTGGCTGGGATTTCTCTTATACAAAAGCATTCATCTCTTTAATTTTAATGAGAAGGAAAATAAACTGCGTTTTGGGGTCAATACGAGAGACGGAAAGTGCACATTTTGGTTGGCCACGCACTTGATGGCAGTAAGCCAGCCCCCACTTACTCCCAGAACACACAGACGTTTGCATGGGTTACCTATCCCATTCTGAGTAATGCTTCATTTTAACCAACGTCAACTCAAATAGGACTTGTTATTTTATTTTACATGTGTACTTTACGTCAATGCAGCTGTTGGTTTAGCCGCCTGTCAACATGTTGGCATTGACAAGGTAATATTCTCGAATAAAATAATTTTCCAAACTTGGTCATCTTTGGATGGAATATCAAAACATCGGTAAGGGCTGTTCATTGCAAGCAATTATGGTTTTAACGTGCAGGCAAAAATGAAAAAAAAATCAAGAGTACATTACGGCTCAAGTGGAAGTTCATAGTTTGTGTGTAAAGTACAATATATATTTTTCCTATAACTTCAGAAAGTGGAGCAAGTACTGTACTTTTATTTGTCCAGAAAAAGATTGGAAAGTGCCTAAAAAACCAAAATTCCCAAAATTGAACCGTAGGGTTTTTTTTAGAGCTTAGTTTGTATGACTAATAACCGCACTTCCCACCGTCCCTTGAACTGTGGTCACTGTCTGTGAATCAAAAACACGCCTGCTCACCACCCACCACCACCACCCCCCACACACACACTATAGCGCGCGTCTGTTTGTAAAAAAAATTAAACAAAAAAACATTACCACTTGCGGGCATTTCAATTTAGGTAAAAGGGTCATTTCTGTTTGCTTATTTCACTTTGCTTTGTTAAAAATCCTGCTTTAGTGGGCTACATTGAAATGCGTAATTTATGATGAGATAATTGTAGTGATAATGGAACATAGATCACTGACTTGTTACTCACAATAAAGTATTTGTGTCTTAAACATGTCTTCATCTGGTCCCATTAAACACAATCGTGTATATTTTTCTGCAATACATATGTATGCCGACTTTGCAGTGTAAATAACGAACCATGTAACGCATGCATTTGTATACATGTGCAAAGGCAATTGAAAACTACCTTTGGGATGTTGTGCAAAGTAAAACAAAAATTATTGTATTTTCAAAATTAAATGCAATCATTATTGTAAAATTATTACATAAGTACATGTTCTAGTTTCATGTAATCATAACAATATAGAATGTACCAGTGGCGGAGGTGTCAGCATTCGGCAGTGGGGGCCCTGCCACAGTACAGGGGTGGGGGAGGGGGCTTGCAAACAATGTTAAGTATCATAATTTTGTGACAACCCTGCAACGTGTGATGTACTCATTCCCCTTGTAGGATAGAGCTATCAAAGGCTTTAAATTATCGTTTTAATCATGAGTTCATTGACCTTCCTTAAATCAAATCCTCTGCCCAGGTGAGAGCTGTTTGGGTTTTGTTGGCAATTGGCATTCTTGTTTTGACCCAGGTGTGATCCTTACCGAGATTAATTATCTCTTCATTGGTATCCTCCCGCCCTTTGAGATCCAATGTCTCGTTGTGAATGATGCCCTTAATGTAATCATATTAGAGCCCATCGATATGCATTGTGGTGACACCATTTAACCAAAGTGACAGCCCATTTTGAGGTCTCTGAATGTTGTCCTTAATCTAGCAGATGAGGGCCAACTGAGACCAGCTGCCGAGACGCTTTAGCCTGCAGGTAAGACCCCGCTGAGATTCTCCATTTAATGTAATCAATGTCTTTGTTTAAAGCGCGAGCCAACTGAGATTAATTATCTTGTTGGTTCATCTTCTTCGGCAGACAGCCATTGAGATTAATTACAAATTAAACAAGATTCTGCACTCAGGTTAGCCAGGTGAGAGCATGCCCATTCATGATCCATTATCCACTTCCTTTACTTAACCACATTAAAGCCGATTGAGATAGCAATACATCCCAACGTAACTTATTTAAGGGAGGCTGGGCGAGTCTGAGTTGTTGTTCCCAATGTATCTGTGGCTGACTGCAACGCACATCGTCTGCTCGTTTTGGTGCACAATGGCCAACGCCTACAGCCAGTAATGACGTCATATGTTTAATTGCTGTCAGAAGCAGGCGCCGTCGAAAAAAATATCAATTGAACTTTTAAAATCGGTTAAGGCGGCGGTAAAAAAAAAAATTACAATAAAAACAATCCAAATGTAACAGGTACGGCGTCATGTAGACATTCCATTACGGTCTGCATTGTATGACGTCACAAAGGTTATGCAACCTGATGGGCAAGGGATACACGCCTTCATATCACGAGAGCCGTATGACGTCACAACGGGTATGTCACCGGGCGGGCCGGAATGACGTCTCACGGCGCGCGCAAGAAAAGCGACATCACGCGAGCCGACGGGCGGACGGCTCCCGTGTCAACGATCGTCGGCGGGATGACGTCATGGGGTATTTAAAGCGCGCGTGCGGCGGTGGCCACGTGACAGAGGCGGTCGCAGCTGCTGCTGGCGGCTGAGCTTGGAGCAATATTTTGGGGTAAAAAAAAATGTTGTTCAGCACGGAGAGAAAATGTTTATTATTGATCGTAGTGAACGGCGCAGCGATGATTTTCTCCGTCTAAATGGCACAGTCGCCTAATGGCTGCATCGTCTTGCGTGTGTGTGGAAGCGGTGGGGTTTTTTTTTATATTGCAATGAATCGGGCGTTGTGAATGCAGCTGTGCGTGTCTTGTGCATCTCGTAGGGGAGAACGGTCGTGATTGCTGCACGCGCGGTTTTCGTCTTCAACGTGGAGTGTAAAACGCCCCTGTGATGGGAGATTTAACGTTTGTATCGCCGTGTGATAATTGTTGAGTTGATTTAAAAAAACTAATTTAAAAGCTATTTTTGGTGGTCGCTTTGGTGTCGATAACCACGCTGTTTGCGCGTATTCTTTCTCGAAGTCTTTTGCCGTGTGTCCTAATGCATTTCATTGCCTCTCCTTCCCGCACTGAAGTAGCGATCGCTTATTGCTGCAGCATTGTCTTCATTTAACCAATGTTGACAGCCCGCTGACATCAACACGCTTTGCTCGGCTGGACTTTTGGTAGAATCTAAATAAGCTATTTACCAGCGTGTACATGCGTTGGCGCATTATACAGTCGAGTTGTATTTAATGCAGTACACACGAATTGGGTGTTTCAAACATTCCTGCTGCATTGTATTGCTCAATTTGACCAAGTGAGCGCTGGGCGAATACCCTCGCACCAGGAGGGGATGAACGCGCACGCATCCGCACGGGTGGATTCAAGAATCCACACTGTCCTGGCCACCTCGCCGACCCCAAAGTGGGCTTTGGGGAGTTTGATGAATACTTTCTCTTGCGCGATCCACTTTGACCCTCGCCTCCACGAGCGCAGGGCGTTAAGAGGGGCAATTAGCGTGGGGACATTTGAGAGGCGCCGGGTGGTGCATGGCCACACGATGGCGACGACACAACGTGAAGCAACAAAGCGACACGCCAGACGCGATGTGGTAAACGACGACGATCGCTCCACGTGCGCGCGTCCCTGCACGGGGGAAAGGCAGCGACGCCCATCGCAAATTGTGCTCGAGCCCAGCAGGAGCCCTTCTAACAATGATCGCATGGCGTTGTATGGCTTGACTGGCAATCTCTAAGTGGGTGCTACCGAGTCTGCCTGCATCGCCGAGTGGGGGGCTTAGCCGCCAGCGATCCACTGGGGGTTTCGGGGATCGGGTGGTGGTGGTGATGGCCACGTCATTGGTCTTGCGCACAGAGGCAGCAATGGGTCGTCGTCCCGGGAGGCCACTCCCGCCGGCCCTGAACCTGGCCGCACTCTTGCTGCTGCTGCTCACGGGGGAGCCCCGCAGCCTCGCGGAGGCCCAGCGGGCCCCGTGTAACGCGAGCGCGACCCCCCCGGGTGGGTTGTTCAGCTTCTGCCCGCTCTCGATGGACGGGCGTCCCGTGCCCCTCGAGCGGTACCGGGGCCGCACCACCCTCGTCGTCAACGTGGCCACCTTCTGAGGGCTCACGAGGACGCAGGTACGTGCTTGGGAGAGCGAAAGCGTTGTTTACACGTCCACTCACCTGTCCACACACCTGTCCACACACCTGTCCGTCGAAACAATCTCAATAATGGTTTGCCTTCTCAGCATCCGAGTCCGGCGTCTTTGTCATCAGAAGCATCGGAATTCCTGAATCTGCGACGTCATCTTTATCAGAATCGATCATAATAAGTACTGTATCCACATAATGATGAGTATAAAGGTACAGCAGTGATCTGAATCGCCTGACTCGCAACTGCGTCAGAATAATTTAAATCGTCATCTCAATACGAATAGATGACATCGGTCGGCTACGTACGGCGCGAAATAAGTTCAACAAACATAATATACTGTAAGTAATGATTATTGAATCTTAAGAATAATCGTATTAATAGCCATCAAACAGTGATCCACTAGGGCAGTGCGGTCTCGTGACGGTCCTCCAGGTGGGCCCCGGGGCTGTGATGCCAACGCGGGTAATATTAACAACGTTTATCCCGTTTGTTTCGGACATTAAGTTAATATTTAACTTATTATATAAAAAAAAGAAGTTGGGCAAAACTATCCTGATTAAACTACCCTAACCATAAAATATTAATTATCCCCTCTGATAAAAAAAAATATTGCTGCGTAAAAAAACCCAACATGTTTTATGTGAATCATTTTGTATTGCTGGCATTTAGAGATAATTTTAATGCGTTTTATCACCAGAGGTGTGGTTTCTGGGTGGTCCCTGCATCCACCTGGGTGGTCCACTGGCCAAAACAAGCTTTTTGAAACACTGCACTAGCGTTAGGGTGTTCTAATGGCAACTCTTAGTAAATCATGCACCGTATTAATAATCTTAAAAGCCTTAGATCACTACGTTTCAGGTAGATTATAATTATCAACGAGATAAGTGCCCCATTATTATCATCATCTTCGGTCATAGTCTATCCACTGGTGAATGTTTCCCCAACGGCATCGCGATTTTTGTATGATGACAATGTAACCCTCGTTGGAATGGCCATCCGAATCGTCTGATTATTTATCAGCTACCTCATCAACTTCCCCTGAATCGGCATCCTCATGTAAACCTCGGAGGAATCCGCATGAGCTTTACAATCACGTGATTGCCGCCATTCATAACTCGACCCATGAGCATGTAATGGAGCTTGCCCTGTGAATCCCACAACATGTGCTCTGCTTTCACTGCTCTGTTTTACACACGTACATTTTATTTGCACATTTTTCAAAATAGTATGGATAAAATGCACATTTTAATTTGTTTTTTTACTTCTAAGATATATTTTAAATATAATTGATTTAAGACCAGAAGTTGAATTGTGTTTTTTTATGGTTAATTATTTTTTCCCACTTAAAAATGGTAACCTGGCATCACGGGCATAAATCATGTTTCAGTCTCCGTCTCCTGTCTTATCGATGTCATGAATGTTACAACATTGTACATCACGTTAGCATTCAATATGTGTATTACAATATATGTATATTCATAACCATCATTGTGAGCAATTCTGCAGATTGTTAAACATAACCCAAAATTCCTGAAAATGTTTTACTGTTTTGTTCATATGTAGCCTAATACAATGGCACGACGTTAGCCTCTCTGGTGATTTACACATCCTGATAAATTGCCATCTGTGCAACAGGATAATTGCACATTAATTACAGGAATTTCATCTGTTCCAGAAGGACAATCGTGAATCTGAACAAAATCCTGACTGGTCTGTGAAACGGCTATAATCACAAGATAATTTTTTTTAATATCTGTGAAAACCTCAGTTTATATATTTTTGGAGAGTATTGCAGTGGGTTGACCAATTATGTTAAGGAGAGGTTTGCGTATGGGACGAAACTTGAGTATTTGGAAAAAAGCTAAATGTGGCGTGACACTCAAAGGGTCACAGATACGGGGTTACTGAACCTGCCTCTAGATGCCGATGTCTCCTGGCCACCACGCACCTCTCGGTGGCTTTTCAGAGTTTCACAAATCCGTACGATACACCAATCGTTGATGACAGGCGTGTGTGATTTGAAGGACGCTGGATTTGTTCTATGGCATGCTTTATTGATGTTTGTTGTTTCTGCACTCGCTTACCACGGATCGCTCTTGTAAAATAGCCGGGGAAACTGACTAAACGGGGATTATGCATGGAACAAATACACTGAAATGACTAAGGGTATGAAATCGTCATCAAAGCCTTGGCAATCGTTCTCTCGTATTTTACCATTACATAAGCACAATTGCTGATAGTACATATCACAGTTTTTACAATGTTTTTCACATAACACCAGAGGTGGGACAAAGTCATTGTTATGCAAGTCCAAGTCGAGTCTGAAGTCCTCAAATTCATGACTCGAGTCTGACTCGAGTCCAAGTCACATGACTCGAGTCCACACCTCAGAGGTGGGACAAAGTCATTGTTATGCAAGTCCAAGTCGAGTCTGAAGTCATCAAATTCATGACTCGAGTCTGACTCGAGTCCAAGTCACATGACTCGAGTCCACACCTCTGCATAACACTATATTAATAATGCATTTTGCGAAATATATTTTTTTTGTTTAGTTTTTCACTTCCATTTATAGACTGCAATGTGTGCATAATGTCAAGGTCTCGGTCGCGCAATGATGTAAACAAAGCATAAAAATGCATGCAGAGTTGCGAAAGGCAACACATTCACAAGTCACGCAAAGTGGGAGGGGGGGGGGAAGTGATTTATTATAAATTGCACAAGCAGCTGTACAAATGACTGGCCTCCTACACTTCCATATCAGTGCGTTGAGTCACAATCATTTGTTATTTCCAATACTGTATGTCACTGGAGAATATATTTGAGTAAACTTTTAAGTCAAAGGCCAGTCCTCTTTCTATTCGCTCAAATACCCAGTGGTATTTACTCCACGCATAGGACAGGACATTCCAGAACGAATTATCCAGCAATGTTTACGTTTGCGGTTGAAGAGAAGTTAAATCATGTCTAAGAGTCTTGATTCGTGTGCTCACGCGGTCTGCAGTACCCCCTCCTAAATGCACTGATGGAGGAATTCTCACAGCACGGCCTGGTCATCCTGGGCTTCCCATGTAACCAGTTTGGCCTGCAGGAGCCTGGTAAGGACTTGAGAGAGTTGTGTGTTTGCGAGGCAAAATCCTCTTCTTGATTTCAATCTTAATGCACATGGCTGCTGGCTGGCTTGACTCCTCTTTTCTACGTGTATTGTTTACAAACTGTATGTAACCTGATAAGTGAGCTCTAGCATGTTTGTAAAAGTGATTAGGAGTTGCAAAGACGTGGCAGTGCAAAAAGCTGCAACTCTCAGAACAAAAACTCGGCCACATTAATCATTAACACTCTCAATTCAATAAAGCTCAAATTGACATATGTTTACACTAAATAGACGATGTGCCTCTTCACATATTTTCCTTGTAAACTAAGTATAGTATTTTTACAAACCCTATAGGCCATTTTCACACTCGCGTGTGTGTATCTTTATTGCAGTCTACGTGTCAAACGAATCGCTGTGAATGTGAATCCTCCCTCCTCTCTTGGTCTGCGAAGGGACGGACGCTGCTGAGATTTTGAACGGCTTGCGCTATGTGCGCCCTGGCGGCGGGTTCGTGCCCAACTTCCCCCTGTTCAAGAGGATTGACGTGAACGGAGACTCCGAGGCCCCACTCTACACGTTTCTCAAGGTGCTCGTTCACCCGACGCGGGGCTCCCGTGGTGACAAAAGCCAACATACAGCCCCATTCAGAGCTTTGTGGGGTGGCTTTCTCGCAGAATTGGGAACAAATTGGTTGGTAAGAATACAAAGCGTACAGTAAAAAAGCAGGTCATACGATCAGTCTCAGCCATTTTGGAAATTGTGAACGACCTTGTGAAAGACCCAACGCGAAGCTCATAGTCCACCCTAGACCGCATCCGAACAAACTATGGCAGATGCAGATACCTGATGCACAAATGGAAAATTTCAAACTCTCCAGTGTGCGACTGTGGTCATCCAGAACAGACTGTATAATGTATAACAACGCAATGCCCGGTCCACAAATACGAAGGAGACATCACAGCAATACGCTCCCCTGCTCCTTACGCGGTTATCTGGCTTGACCAGCTGAATGTGAAGTTGTAGTTGTTGCTCTGCAGCTGCATCAGCAGCCATGTGGAAGAAGATTTACAAATGTACTAATTTACCTTTTAAGTTTTAGTTGCATATGCAGATCTATCCCTGGAATGAGATCAGTCTCTAGCTGATATCTCATGCTGGGTGTAATCTGCACGCAAACACGTATAAAAGTCGCAATTGTACTTGCTTTTCAACATTCGGTTTAATGAAAAAGATCATTGATAGGCACATTTGCCTACGTGATAACTTGATCTGCTTGGCTGCATCGAGTGGTGGAGGGCTCTTATTGACTGTACACCGACACTATCAAACGCAAAATAAACCAATTTTGAGTCGTCTTAAAAACATTGTTCATATCCATAATTGCCGGTGGATTGCCGATTTACACTCTGCTTTGTGCATGCGTCTTTAACCCGGTGACAGGCGTCCTGCCCAGCCCCTGTCGAAAGATTTGAAAAGATGAAATCTCTCTTCTACGAGCCACTCAAGTCCAGCGACCTGCGGTGGAACTTTGACAAGTTTCTCGTGGACGCTCAGGGACGGCCCTATATGCGGTAATGCATACACGTGTGTGTCCCAGAGCTCCTTTACCACGACTGTTTGATATGACACATTGTGACTGAGCTGAAAATAAAACCATGATTCGGTTGAAGATGCTGACGGTTATTTAGATGATTAACATGACGATTTTCATCATTATTTTGACCGAGTTCAAAGTTATTCAGATAATTCAGAGGATTCAGATGACTTTACTTTTATTGTTCAGGTAATGCTTCTGATGAAAATGGTGATGATTCAAACGATTCGGATATATCGTGCGATTCAGATCTTTACCATGTTTAATGTGTCGATTTTTTATTGGTGAAAAAATTATCGTTAAATTTCCCACTTGTTATTTCATACAGCATTCTAAACACAATTGAGGATTTTTTATTGGATCTTAGCAAATTCACAATTTTTTACACAGCAAATACGCCCCCTACTGAAAATATTTGGCAAGACGCTACTGCATAAGAGTTGAGACTAAAGCTTTCCTGGGTAAACAATCCTAATAATTACCCTTCAAATCTTACCCATTGTAGTGCATCATGGGAAAATAATCGGTGGGCATAGCTGCATTTGTGATATATATATATATTTGTGCACTGCGTATGTTGTGAAGCCTCCATTTAATCTCGTTCTGAAAATAGAACGGTTGTGCAATTACTACATTGAACATTGTTGACTTCAGATGAATAATCCCTGTTTGGGTCATCGCCGCTGCTGTAACTTGTCCCACAGGTATGATCGCCTGGCACCGTTTGAACTCGTCAGGGGTGACCTCGTGCAGCTGCTGAGATCGCAGACGAGCCGAACGAATCGCGTCACGACCCGCGCCCAGGCCTACACCTATGCCTTCAGACGCCGCCAGTAGCCGCAGTGCTTTGTGTAGCTCCTTTCTGTCGCTTGTGTGTGGCTTGCGTAAGTAAGTTTATTTTCGGATAAAAAAACAATTATACCTTTGTTGCATTGAGATTAGTAACGTTTTGCCAGAATTTAAAATGCCTGCTAAAAATTTATCATATACATTTTAGAAACTAGAAACTGAAAAGTGCCAATATAAATTGTTTTTGCATTTTACATATTGTGAACTTAAGGATAAACAAGTAAAATGTAAGCTAGTTTGTCATGTGCAATCTACATAATTTGGATAAACCTCAAATTAACTCCAATGTAAAAAAAAAGTGCACGTTAGGTACAGTATTGTTATATTGTTAACACCAGTGCTGCTTTGCAGGCATTAAACTCTGGGTAGCACAATTGGGCATTGTCAATATTTAGCACCGGCAACCTCATTTCGCGATGCACGACTCATCTGCAAGCATGGCCCTGTGCGTGTCCTTTAAAGCCACGGAGGCGTTTGGGCCTTTGTTACACACCAAACACTGATCACGTAAGAATAAGTCGTTCAAATGTTGGCCACTTCCTCCGAGAGCAAGGGATTGTGACGGGTGCTTGGGAAAGGCTATGGCCACCGAGCCACCCTGAGTTGCGGAGGCGTTAGGGGGTACTGGCTCGCTTGGCATTGTGCATTTTGCCAAACGGACCGAACCCCACCACCTCTGCCCTTGCTCTCGGCACTCCCACTGTGCAGGTGTTGAGATACTGCTACTGCACATGAACAGGGCCAGCGTGCAGAGGTGTGTGCACGTGTTCAGGGTTGCCGCCTTCCAGATTTACCTGTTGTATTGTATGCCATGTTCTCTGCTTGTGATTCGTAATAAAGCATCATTCTGCTGTTGCATTGTAATGTTTGAGTGAGCAGTGGTTGTCAGATCTTTAATGAATTCACAAAAGTTGACCCTTGGCCACCTCTGTAGAATGATTTATGCTGCCTGCTGCACGTATGAGTGCTTTAATTTTCTTAATTCAACGGGGAAGTTCATGGTTGAAACACCACATGGGTGGAATTGGGTTTGTTTTTCAAGTCGCTGTCATGAGTTGCAGATTAGGTTTTTTTCTGCTTACGAGTTTCCTCTTCAGGACATAACTCCTTCCTGTTTAAACCACGACTTCCTCTGACCCACCACTTTATCAACCCACTTAGGGGCCATCCATTTAGTACGTACGCAAAAATCTGTCAACTTGACCCTCCCCCTTCCCTGTACGCACGTGGAATTTTTACACCCCCCTCCACCTGCGTGCGTACGTACGCCTGACGCCCCCCCTCCCGAATCCTATAGAACGGCCGATAATTAATCCATGCAGAAACGATCAAGGATGAATAATTTTAACGTGTTTTAGCAAACAGTCCACAGCCGGACTACTAACTCATTTGAAGGCCAATGTAGACAAATTATTATCGAGGCTTCACCCCACTCTCCCCCCGTTTCCTAAGGGTACGTACATTGTCAGTAGACCCCCCATACGCAAACGTACGCATTTGGGTTAACCCCCCCCCCCTCCATTCGTACATAATGAATGGCCCCTTAAGCCCCCTCATTTAGGATCCACCCCTTAGGACTTGTTTTTAAAGGTGGAGCTGCAGCAGAGTTGATTTGAGACCACGCGAGTGGGTAGCATACATCAATCCCATCGGGTTCACATCTGAGACTCCCGACTGAAAAACTTGTCACCGCAGGCAAGAATTCTTTTGGAGAAAAGGGGAGTTTACATACCAGCAATAGGCCAATGTACACCTAATGAACAACACTCGTGAAATAATCACCTTGGACAGTTCCAAATATGATTTTTAAAAAGAGAATTCGAGTCATGTTTAACCACAGGCATTTTTTTTATTAATGATTTGCAAAAAGGGCATTAAATCACTTGCCCAATAGAACAGACGTGAAAAATCCATTCGTACGTTTAAACTGGCGCCATTCACTCGAACATTCAATGTACTTGAGTTGTGGCTTCCAGCTTTAGAAAGTTCAAAATCAAATTGATATCGCAATGCTACTAAAAATTAACAACATTTACAAAATGCAAGTATTCATAGGATTTGCATCATGGCAAACAGTTTATGGCAGCACTGCTACTCCTAGCCACAAAATGGGAGCACAAACACCCCAGAGTAAACTTTATAAATCTTCAGACCCATTTGAAATGTTGCTGTTTGTAAATATTACACGATTTAACTGTATTTGGTGTTTTTACTATGCAAAAAATCAGGCTTTTGCATGACTTTGTGTACACGGGATAGTTTCAAGCAACTGGCAAAACATAAATTAAAAAAGATATGTAGATTTTTTTCCCCCCATCATGCTTATGGTTAAAGGACACACTATTTTGGCATTCAAAAATTACATTCAAATAATAAACTAAAATTGTGTCATGGTTAGTGGTCTGAGCAAACAGTACTCACTGTAACATAATCACTCACAGCCCTCATTATGAACAATTACACTGAAGGCAAGACCTTGAAAAACGAGCCCTATTTTTGTCAGTACAGCTTGTAAAACAACTATCCGAAAGTGAGGGGTTTTTTCAGTTTACCCCCCCCTCCTGATCAGAAGTCAGCCTGCTGGGGCAAGCCTTGGGGTATGCTCGTGAAGACACACTGCGCATCTCAACGGCTCTTAGCAAGAACGCAAGTAGGAGATTGGTGAGAGATGCCACCGCAGGGCAATTTTTGTTGCAGTTGCAAAGGATTTTTTAACGAAATTTTTTGATATTTATAACACTTACACCCGCTATATCTTAATGACGTTTGTCATGGCAAACAAAAACTGAGTCTTCAAGAGGGGGCAAGATAATTACAGTGATCTCGAGGGATATTTTAGGTTCGTGAAGCCGTGTGAGCAGAGCAAACAAAAAAAGACGTCTGGTGGGGGTGGAAGGAGATTTGGGACCTGAATTGATGTGGTGGAGGGAAGCAAAAGTATACATACATTGAAGAGGTAATTCGTTGCTAAAATCGACAGGTGAGAAACAGCAGTGCGAGCAGTGCACGTGATATTGGAAATGTTGAATGGCCACGGGTGTGAGTCGAGATGAGTTGGGAGAGATCTGTGGATTGCACGAGTGACTGGAAGGTGGCACAAAAGGGAATTTGAAGGATAGTCGCGACATGGATGCCAAAATGACCGGCAAGGAGTGGAGAGACTCAAGGTCAAGAGTCTGACAAGCTTGGGTTTGGCCTTTGTTTTAAAAAACAAGCCGATTTAAATTACATCAACAACTAAAATACCAATAATTAAGGAAACTAAATAAACCCTTAATTTAAAATTTTAACGTTTAAATCTAAATCGCCATTTGGCAGTAACAGTACAAGAGCGTCACCACGAGATGGCAGTATACACTGGAAGTCGTGATGTTTAACTGCCTGACCTGTAAGATGTGTGATTTTCATTTTTACACTCAAATACTCTGCCTTCGTGGGCTACAGCTGGACAGCTTTCGAAAGCTTCCACCACATTAGATTTCTGTAAAACTATTGCTCTTAAAAGAAAACCATGACCATTTTCACAGAGTATCACGGAAAATACAACAGCAGATAAAAAACTTACGAGTCCACTTAGCAAGAATAATGAGGCCTTTGTTTCATAAACTGCACATGGGGTGCAATTATGAATATGCAAAAACAAATGATCGAAAGCCAGCTTGAGTAAATATACCAGTAATGTTGGCTACAGTCGATTTGCCAACAACGGTTTTGTGTACAAATTTAAGGAGTTAGTGTGATAGTTGGCCAGGGATTTCAGGTGCTGAATTATATCCAACAGATACTGATGCCCTCATTGACTGCTGTCATATCTCCCTCGCACCATCATATTCAGAAGTGGGCCAACCTGCAAATAGAGAAGGGGACAACATCACACCAATCAACTCTGGGTAAAGTAAAGAAGGAATAAATTCCCTTTATCCAAGAGAGCCTCACCGAGTTTTAAGACTTTTACCAGAGACCTGCATTTTGAGATGTTTGGTGGCCAATTCCATTATTGAGTGTTTTGCATGCAGGAGGAAACCAGAGCATGTGGACAATAACTCACCCAAACGAGTGAATTTGCTACACTGCCATTTTCTCAGCCATTTCACAGCCCAGTGGGTTTGGGAGTATAAATCAAATCTACTTGATCCATCAACCCCTTGCCTCTCACATGATCGATTAGAGGCGTGTGCCAGCCACGTCTTGTTGGTGTCAGTTGTGTTTATTCTGTCCACTTGCGATGACGTCCATGTCTGACTTTTTCCAGAAGGGGGCCACATGTCGCGATTTACGGACGCAGATTCAAAACGGATTTCGTTTTCTGCCAGTGCGATTCCCCCAACATGGTTTGTTTATATTTGAGATGCGAGAATGCTGTTACATAGCACATGTAATGACTGGCGCTTTCAAACATTTCAAGTCCTAAAATCACGAGTATAAGACATCTGCCATAAGTAGAAAGTACAAATATAACTGGAATAGGCAAACAAAAAATTCCCACGTGGACGATTGGATGATAATATTTAAATGTCCCATGGCTACTGCAGATTTTGGATGGTTCAAAATTCTACATCTGTGGGGATGCTCTACGTATGCTAACCCAATTTATATCGTCTTCTCAATGTCTGAGCAAAACATGACCGCTAGCATGTAATCATGCTAATCAATCTATGTTAATATTCCTTCAAAATGCAATTGAATTTTATAAGCTTATCAGAAATATTATGTAGAACAGCTGGTCTGTGGCACGTATACCAATTACAGTCCAAGACGCAAGAGTGTAAAATATATAGAGTGTAAAATATATCTCATTTCGGTTCATTTAAGTGCATGAGGGTTCTCCAGGCTGCCAAGAGGGTCAAGGAGGCCCAGGAACAGATGCCAAGGGAAGATTGCCGCGACGCACCCCGATTCATTAATGACAGTCAAGCCCCACTGTGGAGTCCGCGGTTACGTGATGCTGCTCATGTCCACCCCCCACTGGGCAGCCCTGGGTGTCATGGTGCCCATTAATGGTACGAGTTAATGGCACTCTCTACGTGCCACCCAGTGTAACGTTTCAACATGAAGATATTAGCATCTCCCAGTTGCAGGGCAGATTGGGATTGCTCATGTTACCTCGTGAGGGTCTCCGAGGGCCTCTCCCAACATCTTTTCGATGTTCCGTGTGATGGCCACTTTTTGGAAGGCCTTCAGAGGGTAGTCGATCTTCTTTGGGGCGGGAGCAGCCTGTGGGAATTTCGAAAGAGACACTGGAAGAGCGACTATCACCACGTATGAATGCACATATACACGTACAATTTATTTTGCACTGTACGTAGCCAACCTTGCTAATCGGAGGTGCGGAGGGGGGACAACAAACTATGCTCGGAAGTGCAATCTGTGTGCACGTGTGGGCAGATTACCACACGGGCAGATTACCTCGCACATGCTTGGGTACGAGAACTAGACGAATCTCACGATTCCTGGACTGGAATCTCAATTTGGCTCCTGGAATGGAATATGATGCCAAAGGGGATCGTGGGATCTTTTTGAACTGCAGGGAAGGCCAGGCTACACATTCAGCCCACCATTGAAACATATGGCCTATGCCCAGGGAATACATTTTAATATAGAATCTGGTTGATATCGTTTAGCTGGAATCTAGACCAATACTAGCCAGCTGGTATGGACCTTATTTACCATAAAAATGTATGGACAATGCCTAGTACATGGAATTGGCAGGTTCCCAAACAATTCCACCGTGGCGTTCGGGCAAGATTGGAGGGCCCGTAGCACAGTCAGCCCATGTTGAACTTCTTTCGCACCGTACGTAGCCAACTGTGCTAATGGGAGTTGCGGAAAGGAATCGTCACTACCTTGAATGGGGATTCTGCTGGACATTTCCTAGGCACCCAAAGAATACCATTAACTTCAATGGAGATTCAGAGATCACCCGTGAAGTAAATGGGATTGCGGTGGACATCCCACACCATAAGACAATCCCCGTTAAAATACTTTAAACTGTGTAATTGAGAATCCCCCACGAGGGATGATACCTGCAAGAATCACCCAACACTCGAGGGGTAGGCAGCGGATGCAATTCCCTTGCCTGGTCAAATTGCTCCAGACACACCAATCGGAGAGCCGCACATGAAAACACCCCACTGCTACCTGAACAGCAGTGGGGTGTGGGCAAGTGATGCCAACGCAAGCAGATGGGGCGATTGACATGCGGCGTCCTGTGCCACCAGCAACCAGGATAATCAAAAGATACGATGGATCAAATTTTTATATAGATATTGTTTTCTCATCAGAGATTTCCAAGCAGGGGGCAGGATGGCCAGCACAATAGGTAAACAACAGAGTGCACAGGAGTTTGCAGGAACTCGTGATGAACTAACCTTGTACCAGAAGTTGACAGATATGGTGATGCCTCCATCCAGCAGAGACTCAATGTGATGCCACCTAAAATGTGACAGACAGCCATGCAACGGGCATCCATTATGGGCGAGGGGCAGCTTTAAAACACAGCATCTGTAACGCGCACTACACGAACGATACGTTTGCCATAGTGCAAGCCAGTTGATCGCGGTGCAATGTGTTTGTAATCAAGGTGTGCAAGGTTGCAAACACTGGAAGCCGCTCTTCTTGGGTAATACAGACATGGCTCTACAATCGTGAAACGTGTTCAAACCGCAGTAAAGTACAAGTGCGGTGATAGCCACCCTCAATCTGATCACAAACGGCTGCCAGGCGACCGGTTACTGATAGCAACATCACCGGGGGTCACAATGTTACCGTTGCACTGGCGACCTCAAGGATAGAGTAACACGTTTACGTTATAGGGGTACAGTATGCAGTGGGAGGCTTTGTATTATCCCTGTTGCTATGACAACTGTACACAGCACCTTGTCACATCCACTGCTGGATGAGGGTCCTCCCAACACCATGCTGGCCACAGGAGTTACTTGACCAAACTTCACCACGCTGGTCAGTGTGGGTTCGTGAAGGTCGCGGGCCATAGGAATTTGAGCAAAGTGCAGAAAGGATTTTACTACACTGCCCTCTGCTGCCCGAAACGTAGCACCGCAGCAGCAGCAGCCTATAACATATTTTATGCACGGCGTTCGCCCATTTAAGCGCTATCCAGACTCTCACTTCTGCTCAGCTTCTGGAATTGGGCATATTCCACTTGATTTGGCCAACCATCAATAGGTTCTTCAACTACTACCATGATTACTAAGCCGATAAACTTTACGAGCGGACTCAACCAAAACGATGGTTTTGTCTCATCCCGACTGCTTAACCACCACACTGATTAGCATGGTTGGCTATGTATGGTGCGAAAGAAGTTATACATACAACCACACACTCGCCCAATATCAACCACTCTCTCGCCACATTACAGGCCACTTTTCTTTCTGCCCTCTGCTCGACTTTGGAATGCCCTCCGTATTCGCTTCCCAAAATCTCACGACTTTGCTCAAATAAAAACAACGTGTGAACGCTTATCGACTACAACTTTAACAGCGCCGTTTTGTTGCCGGTCATTTGGCATTTTGGCCCCTTTTTGGGTCTCCTGGGCTCAGCAACCGAGTTAAAATATCCATTTATAAATGAAGTCAATTACCAGTACATGGGAATGTACAGAACATCTCCTGGGCCGACCACCGTTTCGTATCCAATTGCCTTGCGGAAGTTCGGAAACCGCTCGTAGTCTGGATTTTCAAAGTCGACCTAGAAGAGAATGAAAGTTTTTTTTCAGGGGGGAAGGCACAAGAGGCACACAGTCAGTAAAAACGCTGGCCTCATGGAAAAAAAAACTGAATGGGCAGTTAGCGATCCGCATTTCATACGCAAAGCTATGCACAACATCTGAGCCACACATCACAAGATGAAAGTTTTAAATTGTTAAAACAAATAACTATATTGACTTTAACACGTAGGCTTTCGCGACCAATATCCAGAAGAGGTTTTGGGTTAGATCGCGTAAATATATAAATGTGTCATTAAAACCCACCACAGCCAACTAGTAAGGGTTGTCACGTAAACAGAACGTGGCCAATTCGTCACTAGTACAGCACACTGGTGTGTTGGAGAGCCAAGCCACAACATTTACAAACCGAGTATGACATTTCGCCAGTAATTACGTGACAACCCTTACTAGTTGTCTGTGTCGGGTGGTGGCGGGTTTTAACGACACATTTATATAAGTACGCGTCTAACCCAAAAACCTCTATATATATAAAAAAGGGACATTCGTGAATACGTGTGTCTGTTCGAAATGTTTAGCATACTTCCCAACATGCAACAAACTTGAAATTTGGCATGTGGGTCGCTTCCAGACTGTACACAATGCAAAATTATAAAAATAGACTTTTGTATTTTGGGGGGGGGGGTGCAATAATGGATATATTTTTCACGGCAAGTGAGCGGTGACGTCACATCTGTGATGTCACCCGCAAGCGACAGCCGTTACGCAGTGTGCCTGCTGACGTCACGCACCCCCCCCCCCCCCCCCACCGCGTAGGCCGTGTATTAATCCAAGACAAGAATCCAAGTCTCGGGCGAAGCCGGGTAGTAAAGCTAGTTATGAATATATTGACTTTATTCATCTATGGCCTGCAGGGGGCAATCTATATAATCGGTCAATCGGAGCAGCTCGAACTGACAGAGCAAGGTCTGTGCATAAAACTTGGGCAGAGCCACGTGACAATTGCCATTTCGGGCAATAAATATGGTCAGCTGAAAGTCACAAATTCCAATAAAGCCCTTTGGAGTTTTTTTTTGTCAAAATGTTATTGCACTTGACTGCGGTTCAAAGTTCAATCCGCAGTAACATCCCACATACAGTGCCCCCCTGGCAAACTAGCGCATGGTGGCCCTGCTCTCTTGACTCACGGTTGGCCGTATCTAGTTGTCGTAACAACTCCGAGCAATACCTTACAGCAACCCAACCCAACTGAGACAAATCTACACGACGAGGAGGAGCACTGCACCTCCCAGTGACCCACTTCTCATGTGTTTCTCTTTAACTTAGTCAAGCGCAAATGGCAGTGTGTATGCGGGCCCCATGGCTTCCTGTTGCCATGTAAGGGGGAGGGCATTTGTGAGAGGTCTGAAGCCTTTTCCTACGCGAGATAAAAAGGCAATTCGTCCACAGCACAGATCGTGGGGATAAGGCAGGCACTCCGGGACTCTGCGGGTTTTACGGCTAACGTGCCCTTCTGTGCTTTGCTAGCAAGAGGCGGAGGTTCTGCATGCATTGGTCGGGGCAGGAACCGACTGCTGTCACAGCCAGACAAATGTACATGGGATCACTGGGGCGGGTGGGAGACGGTGGGAGGGAGAGTAACGGAGAGGGGGCCCATGCAATAGGGGACAGAGCGCATTCGCGAATCACTCCAAAGCACAGCAACAGATTGTATACTGCGTTTACACACAATTACGTAAAATGTGGTGTTTCCAATTCCACAAAAAATTACTTCCATTAAAAAGAAGTGTGTGCTGGTGAAAAAATAATCATCGTTTCGTACAATAATCAACAAACTATTTTTTTTTCATTTCAGTTAAGGTATTTTAAATAACTAATATTTATAAAAAAAAATTGAGCCAGGCTGAGCCAGACTTGGGCAAGGACACAGCCCCATCACATTTCACCCAGGCACTTTCACAGCAAATGTATTTAAAATAAATTTAAACTTTAAATATTATCAATGATTTGCATACTGTTTAAGACACTATTCCATGAGACTTTACATTAACATGAAATAATAAATAATTCTAACCACTTTAAAGAACTCTGAATGATCATCTTTCACATTGGCAATGTGTGTGGTTCGTGTAGCTGTTTCACACACTGGATCGTGACTTTAAAAGGTGCAAATAACAGGCAGACGATGTGGAGCCAAGTGACATTAACCTGCCCAGCCAAAACATTCCACATTTGGCAGTCGAATAAATCAGACGGCATGAGGCGCACGCCGCAGTCCCCAGCGCGAACCAACCGACTTCGTTAAGCGGCCGAAATTACACGTTTCATTTCAGACGTCACGTTAGGTCAATTTCCACCGCTGACCGACATAACTTGTTTATAGTAGATGTTTTGGTGAGTTGGTACATTTTAAAAATAAACAAAATTAAATAATAGCGAGGGGAAAAAGCCTGTACTATATTATGTACCTTGCTCTAGCTGTTATTTTCATTATAACTAGTATGCTTGTTCGCCCAGGAAAGCCTCACTAAGTTTCAAGACCGAGCTTTTCAGGAGGGTCCTGCGAAATTCCACAGTCGGGGGGCGACTTCGCTGCCACTGCTGCTGCTGCTGAGTGATCCCAACCGAGTGATTTTCAGGCAATTTTTGATCATTGGGATGTTTGGCCAATACAGATTTCCCTCACTTTACGCGGCTCCCGCTGTATATGCGGCTAACCTATTTTTACCAAAAATTCGATATATATATTGCACGGTTTCTATTTACTCTACATGCGGCTATGCGGTCAGAGATGGGACATTGTGCATACACTACTGTACACGCTACTAGGCGGGCAGCTGTCTCGTATAATTTTGCTTTGCGCGCCCCTTTTTGTTGGGATGCATTCACCGCACAAAGTGAGGGAAACCCGTACATTGCATGGTTTTTAGCCTACGGGAGAAAACTGGAGAACCGAAAAGAAAACCATGCCAAACAGAGGGAGAACATACAAACTCCACTCCGAATGGTGCCCGACTCAGGAATCGAACTCAGGACCTTCTGGCTGTGAGGCACGAGTGTTACCGCTGCACCACCCTGCCGCCAAAATTGTAAGTAATATTTACAGTAAACAGCGTCTAGATGTTTATGTATCAACGACACTTTTACAAACAAACATTAAAAGAAAAAACTTCCATGACAAAATAAACGGCATTGTTACTATGACGGACCTACTTAATCTAACACAGCTGTCTTGTGTATGGACAGTGTTTTAGACACAAGGGTTACATTTACCATTGACGAGATATTTCCACATCATAGGTGCACACGCACAAGGCAATGCACGCAACAGAAAGGCTGCACATTAACAAATATCCTGCCCACTGAACGCTCAGCTGAATCCATGCCACGGCTTACATAACTCGGAGCCCCTGGCACTCGCATAGAGTCCCCAACCAACATGACTTTAAAACCTCTGACTGACCACAATTGCACATCATCACCACTCCATTATTTAACTTTTTGGGTTTTTTTTGTTGCCAACAGCAAAGTGCAAAACGACTGCCTCAGATACTGGACTGTGATTTACAATGTCCAAACATGGATGTCTTGCTTCTCTTGCTTGAATATTCATGGCACTCGGGGTCAAGAGAAGTAGGTGGAAAAATATGGCAATATAATTGATCCAAAAATAAAAAACGAAAGGCCCTGACAAACGCATTCACTGCAGCACACTCGTAGGTATTGTTTTGACGCAGTGCCAAAACAATAATCTATCAAGCACATAACTGGAGATGACTGCAAGTAATCAGAAATGATTATGCTCCACATTTTTTTAAGTTAATAAGCTCATTATCAAACGTATGCTCTTGCTCAAATGGTGACCATTAGGCCACATTTCACAGCGCATTATATGTAATTCAAGCCTGCTTGTTTTGGATTTTTTTCTAAAGGGTTAGGTAAATACCTAAAACAATGTCTTGCTTGCATAAGGTTACCACGAGTCGCAAAGTGTCCCAGTTTCATGCATACCTATATCCCTTCATTACTGTCTGAGACTATAAATGCTGTAATTTAGCTCTCTTGCAATTTTTTTAAATATTTTAGAAACCCTGCTATCGTTATGCACAATCCCAGGAGTTCTATGAAAGCCACTAATCGACTCGGAAGTGCTGTAGGCAGACGCAACTGCGGCACAGTCGTTTCAACGGGTCGGCTGTTTGGGTGGGCACTTGCCTGGCTCTGCCGGTCACACGGGTGGTGAATGGGATACGGGTAGAGACAGTCAAACTGTTCCGGCGGGAAGAGAATGCAGCGCTTGTAGCCCTTGACCTGCGCAAAGAAGTTCTGCTGCTCGTCGTAGTGGCACGGTGTCACGTTCCCTGCGCGCACGCGCGCACACGCACACACACGTAGGACTCTCGTTAAATCACAAGCCGCAGGGATAGTATATACGCACACACGGACGCACTGCCGCCCGTTAAAACACAACCAAACCGAACTGAAGACTCGCATAGGCGGAGGTGTATGCTAACAAGGACACAGATCTCTCATTTAGATTTCAGGGCGGTTGTGGCACGTGCTGTTAGTGAACACCTTCGAAGGCCACCACTAGGCCATGCCCTGCCACCTGTGTCTCTTCAAAGAAGTGTTCAATACTAATGGGGGGGGGAGGGTACATGGTGAGCAAAGTCAGGTCATGGTAGGCCAGAAAAACATGCCATTACATCTTATCAACTAGTTGCCTAGTCTATGAATTACTGATCCTTAAAGAAACTTGGCAGTTAATAGCTATTTATTTTGAATTTGTTTGACCTCATATCGCAGACTGATGCAACCAGACCAGTGGCTATGCTACGAAGACCTTAACAACACTTGTGTGGATCCACCCTGCAGGGCTGTACTATTTCCAACAAGGACTGAATCCAACTTTGGTAAGGCACTGCCTTACCAACACATACTTCACCTGGAATGGTACATTTTACAAACAAAGTGAGGGTACCCCTATGGGTCCTCCCTTATCGCCAGTGGTAGCGAATGTTTTCATGGAGACATTTGAGACAGATGCCATCCAGACATCCACCCTACGTCCTTCCTTGTGGAAGAGATACGTGGATGAGAGGTTTGTTATCTGCCCACAAGGCCTGCCAGCACTGAACCAATTTCACAACCGCGTCAATTCCATACACCCATCTATCAAATTCACCATGGAAGTGGAAAAGGATGGCAAGCTCCCATTCCTGGATGTTTTGATCGAGAAGAGACCTGATGGCTTGTTGGGACATTCGGTCAACAGGAAAGCCACCCATACGGATGCCTATCTAAAGCCTGACTCCCACCACCATCCAGCCCAGAAGAATTCCCTCATCAAAACACTAAACCATAGGGCCAGTTGCATCTCCGACCAGCACCACCTAGCCAGTGAGTTGGAGCATGTACACCAAGCCCTCAGGATGAACGGATACTCAGACCGTACAATCTGCAAAGCTGTCTGCCCAGCCATGCGGAGACAACCTTCTGAGGATCCAACCAAAACCATCACTTTACTGTACAAAGCAGGGGTTACCAAAAATATTTCCAAAATCTTAAACAAACACAAGACCCAGGTTCGTTTCAACACAGCACACAAAATCCGTGATTTAATCCCATCTGTAAAGGATGTGATTCCTGACATACAATACCCTGGTGTCTACAAACCGAGTTGTGGTTGCGGCAGCAGTTACATTGGAGAAATAAAATTACAAGACGGAGGTACTCTGAAAACCTACCGGCTACCTTCAAAGATTTGTTCATGAAGCCATCCAGATATATAAACACAGACACAACTTCAACCGAGAGGATGGGTACAAACTGAGCAATCATTGGAAGGACGTTATTAACCAGGTAAAGTCTTAACTGACTGTGATGTTACCATCTTACCTGCCTATGTCAGCTGTTATTTCCGACTATGTGTCGCTCTCTCTATGCCTCTCTTATATCTCTCATGCTCACATGTCCTTTGCATTGCACTCTCATGCCTTGGGATTGCACTCTCATGCTCACATGTCCTTTGGATTGCACTCTCATACTCACATGCCCTTTGGATTGCACCCGTTGGGTTGCACTCCCTCGACGAGGAGGCCGCTCTCTTCCTATCTTACAGTTACATGCTAATTTCTCACATTAACATCATGCTCATCGCTCACATTAACATAGCCACTTCCGTGCCCTCGTTGAGGAGGCCGCTTTCCTGTCTTACAGTTACATGCTAATTTCTCACATTAACATCACTAGCCCCGGCCACTTCTTTATGACCCTTGGGCTACACCCATTTCAAACCTTTTTAAAAAGTCTGCCTCAGCAGCAGACCATGCCTTCCCACCTGATGATGGACGTTTGTGTTGCGCCCGAAACGTCGTGATTAATTTCATTTTATACCTACGTGACTTTACCGAAAGAACCAAAGAGTATGGATTCCTGCAGTTACGAAAGCTTCCAATCAAGATTATTTCCAATTGCTAACTCACTTAAGCCGAGTGGACCTTGGTGAGGACCATGATAAGTTCTGATACCACTCACCAGTGATGGTAATCATGGCTTGGATTGAAACATTTAAGTCGCTGGGTTTGTAGCGTAGTGAAATAACCACAATTGCAAGTCAGCACAGTGGTCACATTTGTGCCTCGCAGAAAATAGGGCCTGGGTTCACTTCCGTGTCGGGCGCCTTCCTGCGATGTCTTTACATGTTCTCCCCATGTCCTGCATGGGTTTTCTCAAGGTTCTCCGGTTTCCTCCAACGAAAAAAAAACGGGCAATGTATCTATCTGGTATTAGCTAAACAATCCCATTGCTGAAGATGCTGTCTCAAGTCACTCAATTGAGATTACACACAGCAGCATCTTCACCCTCAAGTGCAAAGACTTGGCAGGACCCTCCTAAAAAATAGAGACTTAGGAAGGCTTTCCTGGGTAAACATGCATAAAATAAAAACAAATTTAATGATAATGCCACTGCTTCTTATATGTGCAGTACACATGCACGAGCGCACACACAACTTGTATTTACTTAAGAGCTTCTTGGCAGCTACACCAATGCATTTAACCGCTGCACATGTTCTCAACATCAAAGGGACGAATCTCTTTCCACCCCCTGCTTAGTGGGGCGTGGCATCCCAGACTTGAATGCTGCATGAACAAAAAAATGCCTTAATATATGCTATATATTTTCTAAGTTAAAGCATATGCTCTTCCATAAAACAGTTTAAATTGCATGTGCAATCTAAGTTTGTCCCTTTTTTTTTCAAGATCCATGTAAAAAAAATTGCACTCTTCGCCTTCGGGAGTTTCTTTGGGGGGTATTTATTAAAATGACAAGCCATCGTTATAGTGACGGTTAAAAATGCATTCGATGGCAAGGCACACTCTGTCATGCGATGAATAATTCATGCTCATGGCCATTAATTTTGTATTACACTGGCGCATTCTCTTTGCCTTTCGCAGCCATTGTTATAAGAAAAAAAATATTGAACGGGAAAAAAAGAGGAAGAAAGGTTAATTCACTGGCGCGTATACACTGTACCGAGTTTCATACGTAGAAGCAGTCCCATCACCGTTGCCTTGAGAGCAAAATTTCAGATGGCGCACGCACCACGACCACCCCAACACCAGCGCGCTCATCATACCACTGAATGGCACGATAGGAGCTTCAAAGTTGTCTCACAGGTTGATTTGACAATTGATATTGGTTCCATAACCTATGATCATGCCTCAATATACGACATGAGCAAGCTAAATATCTTTTTTTTTACTAGGTAAGGCTCCACTGAGCTATGTAGCTCTTTTTCAGAAGTGACTTGGCCACAAATCAAAACTCAACAAAGTGGCTTATTACGTGGAAATGATAGCAGCCAAATACAATAAATGCATATTTCTAAATGTGGAGGGGAAAACTGGAGGACCTGGAGAAAAATCCACGTGACCACAGGGAAAACACACAAACTGCAAATATACAGGCGTCAGGGTTGGGATCGAACCCACGACCTCCTGTATACCAGGCGAGACAGTTAACATCTCGTCACCATGGCACCCCAAGCACGATCGGTCCCTCATTCACACGGGGACAAAACCAGTCGACCTTCGATCCCCATGAGCCAAGGTTGACTGGGAGCTCTGAAAGAAAGCCTTGGTTGTCGAAGCGGAGAGCATATAAATGGGAGTAGAGTGAGATGAGAGGGGAGAGGTAGGAGATCTCACAAAGGGGAGTAGAGTGAGATACGACAGCAGGGGTAAGTCCATAGAGCATGTTGACATCAATATGGGTATTTAGTTTGGGAGCCAAAAGTGTGGGATGAGGCGATTTGCATTGCATGTTGTTTTTTTTTAAATGTATTTTGAACTTCTTTCACACCCTAAGTAGCCAACAGTGCATGAGGGTAAGGAGTTTTGCAATGGCATTTTGGATCCTGTGGAGCTTGCAGGTGAGGGATTTGTGGAGGCCGTGATGTTGAGTTATGATAGTCAAGATCGGTGTGTGACAAAAGCATGGGTGAGCAGCGGCCGGGGGCGAGGACGGGAGAGAACTAGTGCCGAGGAGGAGGGAGGTCCCGCAGATTTGAGATGTATCCCAAGACAACGAGTGCTCAGGAGTCGTTGATGACTCTGAGATTTTGCACACTTCAATGACTCCAAGATGTAACTCTAATATAGAAAATAATTCATCTCCACATTCGACCCTGGAGAGTTCCAACTAAAAGGGTAATCACAACATTGAAAAGTGATGCACACGTTTGTGCTTATACACACACACAACTATCTTAAATTATTATGAGAAACATTGCCCACAGATGTTTTATTTATGCAAAAACATGACACCCATTTTCAGGAAGCATATGCAATAATAATGCACATTATTTTCCACAGCCCTGTGTGAAAGTATGAAGTGATCAAATATACTCAACAACGCAAATCGATGAAAAATAAGAATAAGTTTTACCCTTTCTAACAATAAAAGTGTTAAGATATTCAAAAGTCTGGATTAACCACACGTACTTGTGGTCTAACACTGGTGAGACAAGGCCATAAAGAAGGCTGTCTCTGGTGTAGGCCAATCAGTTTAAAAAACACTGCATACATTATCACAGCATACCTACTCTAATCACCCAAGAATGTTTGTCCTTAATGCTCGTGACGTCACTACACATAGATCAGCCCCCCTCATTAATATTCATGCACAGGTGACGTCACTCTACATGGAGCACCGTCCCCCCTCTTTAATATAATCACGAGTGGGTGACATCACTCCACATCGAACAGCCCCCCTCATTAATAATAATTATAAGCTGACGTCCTCCAAATGGACACCCCTCCCCCCATTCATCATAATAAGCGGCTGACGTCACTCCACA